CAGCATCTGCTATAGCATGATCTGTGCGGCATCTATGATGTCGTAGATGTTCATCAAGCAAGGTGATCAACTTCTGCTTATTAACCTTGTTGGAAAGAAAGTCCTGCTTCTTTCCATTGAAGACCATAGACCCTGAGACTTGTACAGAGGCTCCAACACGTGATCCTGCTCTTCGCTGTTGCGTTGTATCCTTGGTGCTTGGACCGCTGAGATAACCGTCAAATACCACGACTGGCTTACATACTTGACATACTGCTCAGATATCTCATCATATGTTGACCCTCGGCTCCACATGATTCTGTGAAGCAAAACTCCTCCATCTAGGACATACTGGACGTCTCCAGGCGGTATGAACATTCCTTGAGGCATCAGACTCCAAATTTCATCAATAAGTTGAACCTTATTTGCTAGTCCACTTATTCTGGAAGAGCGCCGGGGATAGCTACATAACTCATATTGGAATGCTTCTGATTGTTCCCAATGTTATAAGTCTCTGAAAGAGCAGCTAGGGATCTATTTGAACCATTCCCTCTTTTGTTTTTACTGAGATGCTATCAGACAAGGTGACAGCTTGATCCTTCTTCCTGAATGTATATTCTGCAACACGTTTTCCAACCATATTATTCAAGATCTACTCTCCCACCTGTCTTGCAGAGTTCATATCGACAGTGCAATCAGCTGTTACACCAGTCACAATACTGTGCTGTGCTGGATTCTCATTAAAGTGGTTTCTTTGTGTTAAGAAGTTCAGGAGCACTCTTGTGTCTGCCATGTCCTTCTTCTGTCCTGCCTCGGACATATCCTTGTGTTGGTCCTTCTTCTTTGTTTGCTCTGGCCCCTCATCATGCTGCTCACTGGTCATGTACTTTACCGATAAGAAATCCTGCATTGCCAAGTTGACCTCAGAACAGGCATTAGATGATAGCGGCCACATATGACGCTGTGTCTGGGTAATACTGCAACCTCTTGTAAGGCCACAAGTAGTCTTCAGACTTCTCATCACTACCTGTTCAATAAGTATATCTTCAGAGAGCCCGACCCAGTATCTATCTGACCTTGTAACGACGTGGAAACCATTTTGGCAGTGCTGATAAACTTCTTTATGCTATTTCTCAAGATTTTCCATCTTGCTCAAGTAGATGTGAACAGATTTAGTGTAGTTAGGGTGAACATATCTTGCATTGACTTCAGAAGTAGGTTCCATTTACCAGTACGTTCAGCTTTGATATACTGCAGCCTCATAATAGAAGTGTGTTTGGTTTACATGGCATCTTGCTGCTTTCAGTTGTTGCTTTATGTCTTGCAACACCTGAGAATCCTGTATACTCTCGATGGTAATAGACCCAGCCATCAAGTCATCATAGAGTTTACCAGCAGCTATCAGGATATCTGGCATTGGTGCATAAGTTGCATTTTCACCTGCAGAATCTTCAGTTTCACGTGAAGAATCCGAGGTCGTTCCTTTTTGTTCATCAAACACTGTGGAATCATCTACCAGCATTTATAGTACATTCTGTGCCTTACTACTACCTTCTTCTGATTCTTGATCTGCTGTGCCATTTTCTTGATCACTGCTCTGATGAACAATATCATATGACATAGACAAATTGGATGCCTCAGTGGTAACTTGCACAGATTCAAGATCACTTTCTGCAGATGTATCTGTGTTTTCAGTACCTTTCTGGTCTGATGTAACACACAGAGGTGGAATGCTAAATGCATGAGATACAAGCATAGCATGAAGGGCTCCCACTACAAGTAAGTGTGCACGTACAGCCTGAGAAATCGTTTTACCACTTAATATGTGCACGACTGTATTGCTTGCATATATGCACTCTAGCAATTCTTTCAGACCTGAGTCTACCATAAGATGTCCTATTGCACTCACAAAGCTCATTTCTGTATGAAAGCCACCCATTCTAAGTACAAGTTCCTTTGTCTCGTCGTTCTTGCAGGCACTTTCTTGAATTATCAGAGCTTTCTGAAACAGTGGTTGAACAAATGTGAATTGGTGTGACATTGTACTGCCTGGCATGTGAAGTAACAAACAGCAGCGTTCAGTACCGACAGGTCTTGCCAGTTTGGTCCATGTCAGTCATCGGCAAAAACTGTATGGATGATTTCCCTGCACCAACTGCATCAACCCTGACCAGAGAGGGCGAGGTGATCTGAGAGGCAAAGATATGCTCCACAAGAGATCAACATTCCCACATGCATCCTCAGCAAGATGATCTTGTAACTTTCCATATCGTAGTGAGGGCAGTCGGGTAGCCTAGTGGTATAAGCGTTCGCTCGTCACGCCGAAGACCCGGGTTCGATTCCCGACATGGGTACAATGTGTGAAGCCCATTTCTGGTGTCCCCCGCCGTGATATTGCTGGAATATTGCTAAAAGCGGCGTAAAACCATACTCACTCACTCACTCACTCCATATCGTAGTGACTGCAGACCATCACATTCAGGCACAAATTGCTTGATCTCTATGCGACCAGAAGTAGCAAGTTGCTCTGAGGTGGTAGTTAGTCTTGAAATAGGCTTTGAACTGAATGTACCAGGGGTTCCTGTGTTATGACCATCTAGGGTGCGTACATTATAATCTGACCCGTGAAGATTCCGGGGTAGAATAGGTCTTCAGCAACCCATACTTGCCGTAAAAGGCGACTATACTTGTAAAAGGCTACTAAAGGGATCGGGTGGTCAGGCTCGCTGACTTGGTTGATACATGTCATCGATCCAAATTGCGTGGATCGATGTTCATGATATTAATCACTGGATTGTCTGGTCCAGACTAGATTATTTACAGACCGCCGTCATATAGCTGGAATATTGCTGAGTGCGGCGCTAAACAACAAACCAACCAACCAAACAACATTATGATCCACGTTGTCAGGTGCATATTGAACAAAGTTATTGAGTGTCAGATTTGGAATTTCCACCCCACTGTTGACTGTTGCACTGCGCTCATACAATGCAACCTCTGGGTAGCTGCATTCTGCATTGCATCTGTACCTGCAAATAGACCTTGGAGGAAAACTCTCAAATATTCTGGCAGGAATGAGTTGTCCTCTTCAACCGAAGCCATTTCTGTATAAGTAGGATAGGTTTCTTTCTGCTTTTTTGACAGATTTCACGTCATTCTTGATCAGCTTTGCAGTAGCTTATCTCCCCACAGCTCTCAGCTGGATGTGCCTGGTCTAAGTGGAATTTATTAATTACAGTTTGTGCAGTGCTCCAAAAGGTGACAATATTTGGCTTCACATCTATCTCAGTTATTATAATTTTGTCACAGAACTTTTTTTTTGATCTGTTTCTTCATGTGAGGAAAGCTGTGGGGCTCGGCGTTAGTGTCAACTAGGAAGTCACCCAAAATTTTTATGGGGTCATGTATGGTGGTCTGCTCCTCATCATTTACCCCAAGGTACTTCATTACTTTCATGAAAGCTTCAGCTTGCACTCCATCGTGTGGTCTTCCAAGTTTGGCTTGCTTTGCAGATCTACTTTCACTTGCAAGATACTTTTTGAGGAATCTGCTTCTGTGTTCTGAAATTCACACTGCAAGCTTGATGGTAGACTGCATCTGCCGCATGAGGTCAGTGATAAAGTCTATTCTGGCTTTAACTTTCTGTGCCCAGTTATCATTTCTATTTGTAAAGTTTGTAACACTGATGTCTGAAAGTAAAATGTTTTGACTGGTACTAACTTGACAATATTTGTCACCCGTACCACAAAATATGGAGTGTTCATAGTACTTGAAGGGGGAGTCTGCAGATCTTAATGTGGGAGATGTCAGCATCACATTTCCTCTTGTGATTGTATGATGCAATACACTTAGCATTGCAGTGTTCTTGTCGGCACTTCTTGTGCACCTTCTGTCCAGGTACTGTACTGGTATCCACACCTCTTTGTTCACTGGCTCCCTGGATCCCGTCACATCCTTTTTGGGTGAGAGTAGCATGTTCTTGGTCTTTGGATATGACTTTAGCAGAGGGCACATTGGGGTACATCCATCTTTACTTAACCTGAAATTAGAAGGAACTTGAAAATGACACCAAATGCACTCAAAAAAGTTATTGACAACACCTTTGCCAGTCTCATATCCAATAAAAGAGTAAAGATTTTTTTTTTAAATGGCCACCATTTTGAAATTATGCAAATTGAAAATGAAGAAATGGTAACAGGATGTAAATACAATGCCCGCCATTTTGAACTTATGCTAAGAAATGAGTCGATAACGTTGACCCCCAAAACTTGGGTGTAGACACCAGAATTAAGTCTCTACCTATCCTAGGTTCTGATTGCCTAAAAAGACCAAATCTAATACGGCGCCAAGCCATGATGGTATTCGAAACCGGTACTTGTGTCCTAACGCCATTACTTCTGGCGTTTGGGTTTGACTAGGCAGCGCTTCCTGGGAGAAGTCCCATTTGCTGTCTAGGCTGCGTGTAGAGGGGGCAAGGGTCCTGAGCTGATGATGAGCCTAACCAGCCTGACTGTGCAAGGATCACCCAAACCCTCTTTGCTGCATTTGTAAAATTTTAATCTGAACCTAATAATAATAATAATAATAATGATTCTGGAGAAAATACTCTGAAAAAACCCTGTTTCAGATCTCTTAAGATGAAAATTATATTGTTCAATGTTCTGAACATAGTGTGTTGTAAAAGCGTAAGTTCTGAAGCAGTGACAGAACAAATATCCTGTCTCTGAAACACATCCCAGAACTGCACTTGTTCTTCTGGTGGTCACTGTTGACACTACAGAAGTAAACTGACGAGTAGTCAAAGCCGTTGATCATATTGACTTCAAACATAAACAGAAAAGATATCTGTAGAATAGTGATCACGTTCAGTCGTTAAATACTGTTTTCATCTTCGTTAGTTCTCCTGATTCAATAAAACGCCCCAAACATATTTTGTTTTAAAGTTCCATAATCCTATTTGAGCAATCCCACCATCGCGGCCCGTTCCGACTTTCTCAGCCTGACACGCCCGATAACGACCTTTAAATCCAGAATGCACATACTGTAGTAAGTAGTTACACAGTACTCGCAGGTCAGTGTGTTGTAGTTTCGGAATGGATATATCATATATCATTGCGATATGGTTTCTCCTGTTGCAGTGCAGGCTAAGCCTCGGTAAGTAAGAATTATGTTATAATGTAGGCATTGTTTTCACTCTGACTCCGTCCTTCCTACATCTAATGCACATATAAACAAGTGCGTATGTGTTTACGTTCGTCACACGTACGGTGAGGGATGCAAATCTATGTGTTATTATCCTTCTGTATAGTCAATAAACGTACATTACCATATGGGGTAACTTTAGGCTTATGTAGTTCGCGTTAGAATAAACACATATTCTAATCTCTTTCCCACGAAAGAATCCGAGACAAACTGAAGCCGTAATTTAAAGAAACCAGCGCGGGCGAATAAGGATCAGCTTACACTAGGCTCGAGGTCGATGAAAAGGTGGTCACTCAGTGCAGGAAAACGGCCCACACAAGCAATTGTAGGATGACAGTTATACTCTGAAGATTTAATATGATTATGTTATTAGGAAGAGAGTGACGTGACCTAATGGATCTTGTTTAACGAAAAACAACAAGCCTGTTAATATCGGTGTCTGGACCAGAAAAACTAAAACGCCTGGTATCATCATTATTGTACAGTGATTCAAAATCACACGCTTATTATATTCTAGGTATCATATAATGGATTCTGCTTTGGGCAGATATAGGATTTTTCAACTTTAACTGACCGTGTGTCCGCATGTTACAACTTGATTGCATGTAAACTACCAATCAGACTGCTCATTTTCTTTACAAGATTTTCGTCTGAATGCAAATACCAAAATAATAGCTACAAAAGTCTGTCCGCTTCTCATTCTCAAATATGTATGCTCTCCCTCCATGTTGGTTTTGAAAGGTGACGTTGGTAGACTTTTCTTTGCAACAACCCAGATAGCGGAAAGGTTTGAGTATTTCTGCCTGAGCATGTGACAGGTTTGTCCCCAGACTTTATGGTACCTCCCGACCAATATTACCAGACATTGTAACATTACCAGACACTGTACCTAAGACAGTTGGTGTCACACAAGAAGGACAAGCCTCTCCTTCTTTATACTCGCATGCCGGGCTTTAAACCCAAGACCAATTAACCTGCAGATCCACAGCTATCATACCTCCACACACGGACAAAAGTATGTTCTCTGATCGCCTTTTGAAATAGTTCAAATACATTAATATGCATCACCTTCGATCCTCAAACCGATAATAAAAGCAATACGTTAATCCGCAAATTAAAAATACTTTCCATTGACTAAATGTGAATGTATATCAAGGTTTGCTTTGTTGTGAAAATAGCTGGCTCCTTCTTGTTGAAAACCCCCATGGCACTGTGATTCCTAACTCACATACAGTTGAATGCTTGCATTGTTGAAGCGCCACTGCGAACACGACTGATAAGGCAAACACAACCTGTATGACGGATAGACGAATTAGTTTGTTCAAGATACGTACGAACACAGGCAGCACTGTTTTGTGTGGGATAATTGTTTGAGGCTGCTTAAGAGTTATTACATCGTTATTATTTGTAAATGTTGTGATCTCGTGATCACTGAGCACATGCAGTGAACAGTTTAGAAGCAGAGTTATAAAACATTGAGGCACACTTCATTTTTCTTCTCGGACATAGGGGCGGTCGGGTAGCCTAGTGGTTAAGGCGTTCGCTCGTCACGCCAAAGCCCCGGGTTCGATTCCCGACATAGGTACAATGCGTGAAGCCCATTTCTGGTGTCTCCCGCCGTGATATTGCTGGAATATTGCTAAAAGCGGCGTAAAACCATACTCACTCACTCACTCACTCTTCTCGGACATAACCCCAATCTGATTTTTTCTCTATGATATAAGTCCACAAAAATGTTTCCCCAGTCAGACATAGCCACTCCATTCTGACATTTCCCGATAAGGACATACCCCAATGCGAACATGGCTACCATTTGATCTCAACTCAACACTGACATTTCCCCACTTGGACATAACTCAACACTGACATTTTCCAACTGAGACACAACTCCACACTGACATGTCCCCACTCGGACATAACTCCACACTGACATTTCCCCACTAGGACATAACCCTACACTGACATGTCCCCACTCGGATATTACTCCACAGTGACATTTCTCCCACTTGGACATAACCCTACACTGACATGTCCCCACTCGGACATTACTCCACACTGACATTTCCCCACCTGGACATAACCCTACACTGACATGTCCCCACTCGGACATTACTCCACACTGACATGTCCCCACTCGGACATAACTCCACACTGACATTTCCCCTCTCGGACATAACTCCACACTGACATATCCCCACTCGCACATGATCCGCACACTGACATTTCCCACTCGCACATGACCCCCACACTGACATTTCCCAGTCGGACATAACTCGACACTGGCATTTATCAACCCTGACATAACTCAACACTGCGCTTTCCCTACTCAAACATAACCCCACACTGACATTTCCCAAGTGACACACAACTCGAAACTGACATTTCTCCACTGTTAGATAACCACACAATGAGATATGTTCGCTCCGTCATAACCCCATGTGACGTTGACATTTCCCCACATGGTTAATTCCCCACTTATAGAACGGTGTCAGTATGACTGAACAATTGACACCGCATCCTGCCTAACTTACTCTGTGTTGTCTTTTCAAGAAAAAACCCAACTTAATACGCAAGGCGAACCTTTCGGTATTAATCAGATTGAACGAGTTTCTGCCGCCCAGCAAACATGTTGGAGAAGAACAGTTCACGATGTTTCTGCCGCCCAGCAAACATGCTGGACACGGATAGTTGACGATGGTTCTGCCGCCCAGCAAATGTGTCTGAATGGGGAAACGTTTGTGTGGAGTTATGTCATGTGTAGCATTAAACCCAACTTACTCGCTAACTGTTGTCAACAGAACCATCTCCATTTGCAGTTGATGTACTCACATTATGCAAATGTAAGAAATTAGCATGCACGAGGAGTGACCTGTGTCAGTGCAGAAGAAACAAGTTTGCATGGAGGACGAAGTTTGTGAAAATGCCAAGGATGCATGATTGGATAAACTTGATTGCTCAAGTTTGATACTCAACGTGTAGAAATGAATAGTGTTGTAGGAGCATTGCAAATGCGTTGTCTTTGATCGTTGATTGATACTAAGAATGTTCAAGTGGGGAAAAGATATTTGTATTTTTGGAGTTGAAGATTTGTGCAGCTGTACTTTTAAAGTTACAGCATAGAAAGTAAACATATGCTGGTGGTCATCTTGGATTCCACCTTGGCAACCATTGTGGATTTAAATATTGCTAAAAGGTCATAGGAGGTCCCAACGAATATAATAGTACCAATAAGATACATTATAAACATTCCGTGGACTCGGGTGCAATATCACAACCTTGATTCCGACACAGACCCCTATCACAAGCATTGACCATTTAAAAAAACTGATACCACAATTATGCATTACAACAGGCCATCAAACTAATAGAATATGATGTCAAACCTTCAGACACTTTGCTCCAGGGATCACGATGAGTAGGCATGACAAAGTGTTTGTATATGTGATTATCATGCATCATTCTGAAAAGATCCATGGCAATTGTATTGTTTGTGGTGCGCATAAATTATACATTTTGATAAAGATGACAGCAATATTGTCACTAGTATACCACTCACAATTTGCAAAGGATCAAGGTTTCATGATCATCCAACGAATAAAGATGAAATATCCCGGTTCAGAATGATTGAATAACCACTACAGGACCTTAATTTCACGATGAACGGACAGAGGCATGCATTCATTGGCACGAAGTTTACAATGTGCACGATGTGCTTGAAAACCTTTGACGCGTTTTGATTGAGCTAAAGATCAATTGGACAGAGCCGGACTTGGCTCAAGTACATTTCACTAATGAATCGAGATGCTGTCCAGACTTCACAGATTGTCGTGCCTTGAAGCGTAGACAAGGAGAATAATTCAGGATTCAAACGTAGCCAAACACAGCGTTATGGAGAAGGCTAAGTCAGCATTTTGAGTTGGATCAGTAGATCAGTATATATATATGTGCAATAATGAACACGACGTTAAACCCCATTACACCTCATCTCAAAATTATGTTTGTTGTACTTATCATTCGGAGACTTGAGTCACACTAAACTAAACCATATTACATTTAATCTGTCGTACACGAAAGTGATTATCATGTAATAATTTTTGTAATTTGAAGTTTACACGATAGACGACTTTTCCATTGGACGTGAAATCGGTCATATGACCGCGAAATTGACGTTCATAAGTGTATGAACGACACAATTTGACGTTCATACGTTTTTAACGAGACCGTGTTCTTGAAATGACGTAACCACTGACGGACTACTTCCACATTCTTAGGGAAACCCCTGGGAATTCCCTTGCACGAATACATACAGAAGCGTTCTTTCTCATCATTTAGATCCTTTAATCTTAAACTCAGCGTTTCAGTATACATTGAGCAACGTCACAGAGTTTGACTGTATGATCGTTTACGAATACCCTCGCTACGACCGAACCTTAGTGAACAAATCGAAGAAATGCACATCCACACTATCGAAGTATCGACTCGATCCTAGCTAGGCTGACAGTGACAGTCTACAGCAATCTATGAATTTACCATAGTGTCTAATAAACATCTTTAATCACCTTTCAATGATCGACCAGTTGATCATTGATGACTAAAACATGTATCCGCCACAGGTTCATTAACAACTTCCGAAATATCTCCCGACGTTTATTGTGTCGGCCATTTTGACGTCTTGAAGTAATGTATTACCACGCGCTGTCATTGTAACTGACTTACTGAGGTAGTTCTTATCAGACATTCCTCATCTTATGATAATATTATTTGAATAATCTGTTGTAAAGAAACTACAAACGTTGTTCCTGTAGAGCATGTTGAGCATACATACGTTCATGTCAGTGAGGGCCAAACATTGTATTGACATCATCGCAAGCTCAGACGTTCATACAGTTTGGCCCTCACTCTATGAAGGTTCATACTCCAATGAACCCACACAAAGGGAAAGTCAATCCTTAATTGAAAGAGCATTGGCTACCAGTAACGCCAGAACGGTCATGTCACTGTTGATTCGTCGGGGGGACCCATGGGTATTCCGTGTTGTAAAAGATAATGTCTCCATCAACCTGTTTGTTGAAAGAGGCCACTGAGTGGATCGGGTGGTCAGGCACGGTGACTTCCCTATCATCTTACCCCGTCGGCGCGGGACTCAATCACTGGTCAGTCTGGTTCAGGTCAAAGTTCGATTATTTACATGCCGCCGTCAAATGACTAGATTATTGCTGAGTGCGGCGGTAGACAAATAAACAGTCGGATGGAACAGTACTCGGTTGTTAAGAAGAGTAAAGGATGATCATATCAGCACATGTGTGTAAATACTGTGTTTATTTCTACCCATCCTTAAGTAAAATGTGGTCCTTGGCCTTTTAGGTGAACAACTGATTTGCCTTTGCATGTGTTTGTTACGAGTGCCATGGGTTGGGGCAGGTTACTTTCACATTTTCGTAAATACCTGATATTATCACTATTGCATAGTGATTCATAAATACATGCTAGTAATGAAGTCGGAACCGAAGAATGGATTCTGATTTTAGCAGACATTTCTTATGATCATGGAATGATCTTGTCGCTTTTATTTACTCAAGTCGGTATATGAGACAGGCCTACTTCGGAAAGCAAGCCCTGGTGTACGTATTAGCAATTTATGCTTATACATGTAACACGTAGCTACCTAGTTCGCTTTATGTGCAAAATTGCATCCACGCGTGCCTGCGGCAGGAGAACGCCCTGGCTCTATGGGCTTACTTTAAGCGTAATTAATTATATAATATTATGCCCACCAACTGAAGTTTTACATATCTTTGAGATACCAGCACTTGTGTGTTTAATCATAACTTATTTATGACTAAATTAGGTTCCCATAAAGCGTCGCTCGAACACTAAGTGTGAACATTTGTATAAGTCAGTTGTTAAGAACAAGTTAAGTAAAAACGAGCATGTGCGAGTAAGGTAAGGTTAAAATACGTGTATATTATGTATTATCAACATATCTGCACCACTTAGCTCAGTGGCAGTAAACATACACTTCGCAAATGACGATGTGTCGCTTTGCTGTTGTTATTGTTGGTTGTTTTAGTTTTATTATTGTTTTTTTATGTTTTGTTATTTGTTTGTTGTTGGTGGTCAACGGTGTGGTAGACACCTTAAGTGTGCTCCTTTAGCATGCAGATCACTATGTCTTCGGGTGTGAAAAGACCTTGGGCTGATTCAAATGAACCCACCGTGGTATTGTTCTATTTCATACTTCTGGTTACGTTCACATTACAGGTGAGTGCCACTGCCGTGTAAAAAGCCAGTGCGACCTTTACCAAACAACATGTGAGTCGGGATGTGAGGCTGGATTCACGGGAAGTCGATGCCAGTATGGTAAGAATAATTTTACATAACCAGATCACCCGCCATTTAGAGCGTCAGTTTACATTGGACAAGGGATGATAAGGAATTGTTTTGGCCAACACAAACACATATTGTAAGAAATGAGCAAAACGTTTAGAAATCATTTTGAAAGTTATCAGATATATTTAGGTGAAAGAATATTAGACTTATCAACACTTGTAAGTTGTTTTTACTTAAAATAACGCCTTTTCTGATAAGCTGTTGGTGACCTGGTATCGTTGCTGTAATCTGTAGATGATTCTCACGTGGACATTAAAAGCATTGACAACCATTCCTGCCGTCTGGCCAGCATGCAGTCGTCCTAAAGCCTGGTTTCTCTGATTCTTCGTAAGTCTTGGCATGACGCTAGTATCGATACAAGAATGTTGGATCCACGTATTGGCGTCCCTTTTATCAGAAAAGGCACAAGGAAACCCAAATGCATTTTGATTTTGACGTTTTGGCGACCAATATATGTTCATTTGTGGCACTTTGTGTTCGTTAACACTAAATTTGGATACAGACCAATTTAAAAAAAGAGTGTCTCCAAAAATGCATTGTTTTTCCAGTGGGAAAAGTATTTTCATGAAGTGACGTTTCTTTTGCGGCTCAGTATTTATGGACATCGTTTAGGTGCTTGGCAAAATTGCAATAAGTCCGATTTGGGACAAAGTTAACATACGAGGAACAATATTTAAGGGAACCTTGTCGTTCCAGATATAAAATGAATTGGCCAGCTTTGTTGCACCAGTCACTAAGCGGGCATAGCAAACTCAATCAAACTTTGCACATTTTACATGTAGAGCTTGTCGTCCACGGTGATACGTCATGTTTTAATTACATGTGCCGGTTAACGTCACAACCAATATGCCTCCCAAAGTGTACATTAGAGAAAATGATTACAGAAAGATTGCGCGTAATAGGCATGACTGAAGATGGCTAATCACAGAATGCTTTTGTCACACACTTAGGTAAATGTGTAAAAGTGTGATATCCCGACTGATGGAACAATATCGGCAAACGGTTGGGGAAGATGGAAAACAACATGGAAGGATGCTACGTGGCAGGATCAATATGGATTCACCAATGTGTAAAGGAAAAGATTCATTTCTGCACCAGAAATGAGGGACAACTTTGAGGCTGCCACGGGAAGCCAACTTTTGACGTCAGCGATACGAAACAGGTTGAAAACTGCGGGTCTGAATTCAAGACGTCCTTCCAGAGGAATGAGCATGACTGTGGTACACAGGCGCCTCAGACAACAATGTGTGCAGTTTGGAGGTCGTCAACGGTGGACTTGGAGACACGCCATGTTTTTCGATGAATTGATGTTCGGTTTACGCGTTACAAATGGTAGATGACGTGTTTGGAGACAGCGTGGAGAGAGGAACTATCGAAGAGTACTTAATGTACAGTGCTGGCAGCATGGGCTGAGCTGGCATCCTATATGACAACAGGACGTTTGGAAGATCTTGCAAGGGAACTTGATCATTAACGTTATGTGGACCACGTTTTATGTCCAGTGGTCATACCATTTGATAAGCGCGTTGGTCAGAAGTCTGAGATCCAGGATGACAACTCACGTCCTCAGAGCTAGTGCTGCAGTCGACTGTCTGAGGCAGCAAGGTGGCGCAACATTACTCTTGCAAGCCAAATCTCCAGAGCGAGCGTTACAAGCTTGTTCTGGTTCTCCCGGACACCTGTACACCCTTGCACGACCATGAGAGCTGTCCAGATGAAACCTGGACTCTGTGAACAGCATACTCTCCAAGACTTGTCTTCCGAAATTCAGATGCTGTCTACATAAAGCAAGGCCTGCATGACGGTGACCTGGAAGCAAACTTGAGCGTATAGTTGGATATCGGGGCCGGATCCTGTGATACCTCAACCGGTTACGTATGGCTCTACCACTGATTGGTCAACCCAGGAATTGTCCGAGCAGTTTATAAGGGAGTTTGGTATTGATTCCGAAGCTCCACAACCATATGATTGTCTTGTTAACGTGACGTCATCCTCAATGTTGCCATGCTGTAGATTTGTTGTGCCATTCCAGTTTGCATACCTACTTCGCGTAGACGTGGATTTTCAGCAAGTCGTGGCAGAGCGTTTTTTATAATTAACTAAAAGTGTCAGAGTACCTAATAGCTATCAGAGCACCTAATAGCTAATAAATCATTGCATGCTGTTCACATTACAAAATCACCTGTGTGAGTTGTCTTCGTGAATGTATATTGAAGCTGCATTGTAAACCCCGCCAGGAAGTGGAAGGGGGATATAGGAATGGGAGCCGTCCGTCCGTCATCCGTCCTTCGGTCATTCCGTTCGTCCGTCACGTTTGACGATTTTTAAACAATTTTAATGTTTCTGGTTTCCATGGAAACAAGTTGGACTTTGAATGTGTACAGACCTGGGGAAAATTGGTGTCCTTTGCCAATCAGGGCATTTGATATTTTTCATTTTTCCGTTTTTCATGATATATGTCCGACTTAGTGAATTTTGGGGTGATGTTTCTCTGAAACATTTTCTGTTTGGTAAATATTCCTTTGCAACATTGTGTATGGGTAATATTTCTTGATTACATACACCCCAACTATCAGTCATTTTATAACAAATCAAGGTATAAGCTCAGATGGACACCAGAACACAACATCTTGTTTATTGGATTGGTATACCCGCCCCAAATCAAATCAAATCATCCGAGTTTTAGACCAAGTGTCACCGCCCCTGAACAAGATCGCTACATTCGAGTCTTTCATCTACGTCATCGACATGCTACTGCCACCGAGACTTTAGGACATATGCCTGGTTTGAGGAGGATATGGGCCCAAACAAACATGAATCATCTGCGAGAGGTGAGAATTAAACCCAGAAGTCCGGTATGTGTCCCTGTATTGAAATGATTGCATAGACGGCAACAGCTTCGGTGTCGGAAATGTGATGCTATGGGGAGCCATATCCTTCACACGGAGATTGTTGGTGGTGGTTCAAGGGAATGTGACAGCAAATCGCTACATCTTCAATGTCACCAACTTCCGATTATCAACAACATAGGGAGTTGTTTCAACATGACAACGCTGTACCGTACACAGCTCGTGTCACTGTTGACTTCCTTCATAATTCAAGCGTCAATTTCTTGCCACGGCCTTCCAGATATCCTGATCTGGACCCGATAGAGCATCTGTGGGATTAACTCGACAGACGTGTACGTCAACGACAACATACGCGACAGACACTTGGACAACTGGCCAAAGCGTTGAAGGTATAATGGAGAAGAATTAAAAGAAATATGCACGTTTAATTGTACTCAGTAAAAAGTTCAAAGTTAGCCTATGCTTTTCTATTTTTTAAGAATGCTTTTAGAGGACTTATATTCAGGTATTAACATGCAGTGGCAATTGACCTTCAGTGAGTATGTCAGATTTGTGATAGAATATGCATGTAGGAGTGGATGCCAGGGTAAAATATTTACATACTATGAAGTTAACAATGAAGAGGGGACACATAATATAGAAAATAAAAGTGTTCACATGGATACATAGTTCTACTTCAAAGGTGCTGCCGTTGTTATTTGTTTGTACCTCTTGCTTTCAGAAAACATACTTAGGGGGCACACCCTAGATCCATATAACCGAAAACTTGTGGATGGCAATATAACGACTTGTTCCTCCTACCACAGAAAGATATATGCAAGAGACATCAAATCTGCAGACAGAGTGAACACATTGAGGATTCGATATGAAGCAGGTAACACATGCCATTTATAACATTATCATAAAACATCAATTTCTAACACAACGTGATTGTATATGTTCTATCTGCGTCCCTGGGAAGTGCAAGATGAAACCGTAAATTTTCGACTAAAGATTCAAAACGTGATACACAAAATCACGTATATATCAATATGTCTGTTTACCAGTGAATAGTGAGTTTGCTTTGTGGTTTTATCTTGCGTCTATGTATAGTATTGGCCCTTTATGCTATTATAAAATATCTATCTCAAATCAACTTTGTCTCTCTTAAACCATATTTGACGGGATGACAAAATCGAGGTAGAGAGGCAGTGAGAATAAGTGGTTGTTAGCTGGGCAGATTATTGAACAACCGTTAAAAAGGATGATACAAGCAACACAACTGGGATGTGTATTCTCATTGGAAAACGCGTTGGCCACTTAAAAATCCTAGATGGGCGCCATTTATGCCATTACATGTTTATCTCATGATACAGCTATCCGATTCTTGAGATCTAAAAGTGGTTTCACATGGTTCCTTTATTCTGTAGTCACGAAATTTTCTAGTTCAATAGTTGGTATCTTCCTAAAACACACGCAATAGTATTACAACTATTTTATCCAGAATGCACTGGAGGTACATGAAACACACAAAAATACAACAATTTGCATGTACTATATTCTTGTTGTCATTTGAGAAGGTTAGTTTGAGCATGAACAGACGCATAGAGCTGTGTAGTGAATAACATGTACACCCACAGTTCAGTTAAACGGGAAGCCACCGAGCATAATTCACATTATTGTTGATGGCAAAAATGTATGGGAAGCTTTCAGCTATTGCCCCACAATAGAGTTCAAAATTATATTCTCTGAACGACCCGATCAGTGTGAAAATATACAGCTCCATTGTCACGACAAGGTGCCAGAAATGAAATTGAAGACTCTGAAGTTAAAGTCAGTTACCCAAATTTCGAAATTCAATAATCTACGTATGATGCTGTCATCGGTTGGTAGAGACTGCATGCTGTTATTTGAAGGGTTTGACGTTTCCTTGAAACAGAAACACTTGAAGCTGACAGGAAGGAGTCTGCAGTTTCAGATGATGACACGCCAGTGCATCTACTGCAAGGTTCCAATTGACATCAGAGCCGCCATCTCGATGTGCAATCCCCCAAACACGAGTGAGTGAGTGAGTATGGTTTTACGCCGCTTTTAGCAATATTCCAGCAATATCACGGCGGGGGACACCAGAAATGGGCTTCACACATTGTACCAATGTCGGGAATCGAACCCGGGTCTTCAGCGTGACGAGCGAACGCTTTAACCACTAGGCTACGCGACCGCCCCCCGCCCCCAAACATGAGAACAAACACCTTTCTCATAGCAATCTGGCTGATGCCACATGATCTGCTTGGCTAATGCATAAATTGGTGGTCTGCAACGCTAACAGGATGTTGGTCTGGATTTAAAAATATGACTGTATTTCCTATTTTGTCTTTCGCTTGATGGTTGCAACAGGATGGGCTTGGTCTTGAAGTTGGGTGCACGGTGAGTAAGGGCGTTGTCGTCCTGAAACACAAAACGTCGACCCACGCGCCTTGCAAACGGGACAATAAAGGATGTCAGCATGTTGTGCCAATAGTAGTGTAATCCTTCCTTGCACAAAATTGGGATTGGTTCGTTCAGTCATGGTAATACCACCCAACAACATAACCGATCCACTGCCAAATCTGTCACGAGGTCTCAGGTCGACATGGTTTGACCTTCACTTCGACGTCGACCGATACGACCACGCCTACCAAGGAAGTGTAAAGTGAATCAGGGCCCATAATCAGGCACAACACGCGATGAGCTGCATGTAGACGATTTCTGATTCGTAACTCGTCCTCCATTAGCCTGAAGAATGTTTGCAACATTTTTATTGGCCGTTTGAGCTCGATTTCGTGATCGATTTCGTGTCGGGTCAAACGATACCGTACTCTTGTTGTTGACCTGGAACGCCTTGAACGGGTTCGACCGTCGATCGATTGGTGGCGAATCAGATCTACGAAACATTGAATGATTAACTCAACCATCATATGTTAACACTTATGCATATTGTTGGCATGTGTTTATCGCTAGTGTTAATTTGAAAGTAATAAAAAACACATTTATTATGATTCAGAGCTAAAAGATTGATACGCAACAAACAGTCAGCAAAGTGTACACAAATCACAAATAGAAAAACGATAATGCCACGTAACTTGTAGTTCCATTCAGGCAGATTTTAGTTTGATTCGCATCGCTGTATAAAACGAGCACAAGTTAATTAACTGCCAGGAAGACACCTTTCTAGTCGTGAGTTCACCTTTTATGTTTGTCATTTAATGCAGGTACTTTGTGCGGGTGTAAAGAATGGAAGCTGTGCAAGACTCAATGTCCAGATGGTTGTCGCAGGGGCTATATGGGTCCACTATGCAAATACAGTAGGTGTTCGTCTTCTTCTTGTCCAAACCTATTTCGAGAAAAATCATACATAAACACATATTTCATCTAATTACAGGATGTAGTTATCAGGATGTGGATGTGGTAAGACACTGTTTCTTTTTTTGTTTAATTATTATCATGCATAACTTTGCTCTGTCATTAATTTGAAGAACGCGACTTTTACATATAAGATGATCTAAATGGTCCATTGAAAGTGTGCCTTGTTCATTTCATTTAACGCATGATCATGAAATGGGACCATTTTGTTTGTATTCAACAATTGCGTCGTTGCATGACATTACTTCAGTGATGGTGAAAAGATTAGGTTAACAGGAACTAATGAGGTCCGCCGTCTATTTATAATCACTTGGCGCGCTGTTACAGCATCAGACCAGAAGTACAAATTGTACATACGACGTGAATTTAGTTACAGTGCCTTTCTGTGTCGAGCTGGCCCGCATCACGGGCGCATAGATAACTGGCAAGTGCAAACAGATATATATGTGAACAACATTACATGTAACTATCAGATTTGAATAAAACAATGACTGAAAGCCAGACAGATCGATCACCGTTTGTGTTTACCGCCACAGGGCGACAAGTAGGTATGATGTTTTCATGGGCTATCAAACATGCCACTCTTTCACTGTCAGTCTTCACGAGATGAATGAAAAAATGACTATGAAATGAAATAAATAATGAATGTTTTAACCTATGCATGAGGTCGAGCATGTGATCTAGGTTTATCTCATAGTGTACAATTGCTCCACAATTCTACACTTCCTCCAACCGTGTATTACAATACAGTTTTAATATATCCATTTTTAAATTATTAGTGATATAGTTACTAATCATGAATATCAATATGTAGTCAGATTTGTTCATTTCTTGTTAAATTGTTATATAGTGGGCTACAATGTGTATGGTATCACAACCTTTATTGATAGGTTAATGAAAGTTAATGTAATGATGTGTCAATTATTATAAATTTGCAATCAAGTTTATAATGTTTCGTAGTTCATAAAGTAAATTACCTTTAAAATGAACTTTGTATATTTTGTATGTGTTAATGTGTTACAGTTCAAATAAGCATCCTAACTATCAGTTTCTTAGTTATCTCTAAAGGAGTGATCTGAAAGGTGAAACAATCTTCTCTATAAGTACATGAACAGGAAATCAATTCAAAAGTATTATGGACAGAAACACATTCTGAAAAAAATGTTTCAGTAATTGTTCCATTTCATCTTGGTAACAATCCATTTAGGGACTTCACCAAGACAGGTTGCAGAATGGGCCCAATTCTATCAATCTGCTAGTCACGCCACGCCCTAAGCATGGAAAGCTTGTGTTTTGGAATGTGTCCATACAAACCTATTCAATTCATGAAAATAATCAGCAACACTTTGTAATACAACTTTGCCTAGAGTCATATGCTAAGGCCGGTGGCTAAACGACCAATCTGGCATGTTTAACCTCCGGGTTCTATTTGTACATGTCTTCAGGTAACTGACATTGGCCGAACCAGCCTCACTTTCATTCTGATTGTCAGAAATAGATACAGGGTCTGTTTTGCCGGAATATAACGACATTGAAGCCCTGCTTTTTGCAGTCGATTTCAACTATAACATCGCTCCTTGTTAACCGTCGAATCTCCTTTCTTTCAACATGTGTAACCCAAAATACATCGGTTCTCGCTATAAAAATGCAAACAAAAGAAGTCATGTAGGAACAAATGCTGTTTCTTCATCTGATGGTGAGAGAACTGGACAAAATCCAGATTCATGTCCTGCTTGACTGTGTTGACTTTTCAAGGTTTCATGCATACAGATTCTTTTTACGGTCAGTTCTCATTGTATTAATTTTATTTCATTTTTTTTAATTGATACTTTTGTTTATAAAATGTGTATAGTAGAAAGTAAGTGATCTTTTAATTGGATCGAATGAACAAAATAACTTAGATTGTTAGTGACTGTATCTTCAAAGGTTGTAAATGTAACGTAAAATATTGTCCCCCTGAGAGGGTACATATGTTCCACATCATTCAAGGTATTTTGCTTCTCTCCATGCTTTAAACCGTTGTATGATTAATTGTTTGGCTTTCTAATACTCGCCAGTAGCCAGAGGGGTGGCGTAAATCCTACAAGGATTCCAGGCAGGTAGCAAAAGTATGGCCTAACTTTGATTGCTGGTGACCTATTGCCCATCTTTATCATGTATTGTTATATACAGTGATATCTCTTTATGGTTATATGCTCGTTTTAAATATAAGTCTGTGATGGTCTTGTTATTGTTGTGTCCTTTGTTGGCATGTTTTTATATATTCTCAACGTATTTATTATTAATGTCTAAATTGCTGAAATACTGCCGATGTGACAATAAATCTTAACTTACTCATTCACTAATAATGTTTTCAGGGTTCTAAAACACTTCCACAAAGGACATGTTTTGAATCACGAAACCTTTTTTAAGATTTATTTGGTAATCAGGTTGAAATACAATCAATAAGTAGGCTGAACATTATTTTCGTTTCTCTTTTTGAACTGTTAATGTTTGACCAAACAACTGTAAAACCTTATCAAAAGATAGTGAGTGACTCTTAACTTTCAACAGTATTTCAGTTATATCATGCCCTCTCAGCTTGGTTTGAGAGGAAAGCCCGAAGTAATGTTATCGTCTGAGTATTGAGTATTGAGGACGATAATGTGTATTTTTTCATTAGGAGCACCTTTAGAATACAGTACCACAACTTCGCGATCTCTGCCGTAGTTCACGTGTCTCAAGACAAGCAACCAGTTTTAGTGTGAATCCGTCGGACGCGAACTGACCTGAGGCGTCAGGCGTCAGGTGTCGAATTCGTGGGTAGGCATGAATGACATGGCTTTTAATAATTCGTCGGGTGATTTATGTGACAAAAAGGTGTGGCAGGGAACACTGTAAGGATAACTGGATAATTGTAAGGAACGAGGTAGCCATAAGCATGGTTGGTGACGACACAAGTGTGAGTTCGCTTTTGAATCAGTAAATGAATAAAGTTTGCGGGTGAAAGCGACTTGTGTGAATGTTCCAGGACAGTTTCCAGGACACAAAATATTCGACACTAAACCCTATCTTCCTTTTTTCTCGACGTTTTTGTGTGAAGAATTTTGGGAGCCGCTAAAGAATCTATCATAACCACTAAACAGCTACCTAACCCTAATGATCGTAAAGCTAGGGTTGGTAGATCGTTAAGGGGATCCAAGGGATAAGAATTGAGTTCGTGTAATCTAATGGCCACTAAACGGATATTCCTAACCCTAATGATCGTAAAGGGGTGATTGATCGAAAAGAGGATCCAAGGGCTAAGAATAGAGTTCGGGCCCGGGGTACCCTCCCCAAACATCGGCAACATTTGGATGTGTTGTATTCCAATACAATAGGCCTCATAAACTGCATTCCTGTGCATGTTATAAAAATCAACAATCGAAAAAAGAATATATGTATATTAATTCCCATTTACAATCATTTTAGCCATATGAATTACGAAAAAACGAAATAAAACACATCTTGAAAATAAACGTGCTGTCCTAAACCAGCGCCCTCTTTCAAATGCGCCGTCGCAGGCTATATTTAGTAAACAAATATTCAAAATATAGCTGGGCGTATTCAATGACACTGCGTGTAGAGAGGATAGATCACTAGGAGGAGTTTATGCACACTGGATGACCCCTGACTTCACAAGGCATTGTTTCACCGGTGTGAGCGGCAACAAATTACTACAAATCTACTCTTAAAAAAAAGAAACTTGACACTGACTTTTAAAATGTAATATAATTCGATTGTTTCAAAATATGACACAGAAACCATAATTGAAACACTGGTTTAAGATCAATGTACACAATGTTCAAAACATTAATCGTGTCACCTAGACAGACACATGTACACGATACAGTTAATGTCACAGGGGTACAGAAAATGTCAGTATCAGTTGTGCCCACCACGTGCATCAATCACCGCTTGACACCGACGACCCACAGATGCAATCAAGTTGTCAATAACACGCTTTTGGATGTGCTGCCATTCATGCTGAAGTGCATCAAGAAGCGCCGGAAGTGTTTGGGGCGGTGGATTCCTTCTGCGAAAGCGTCGATCCAACTCGTCCTACAGATGCTCAATCGGGGACAAATCTGGTGACCGGGCTGGCCAAGGTAATGTCTGGATGTTGTTGTGCTGTAAGAAGTCCTGACAAACACGTGCAATATGCGGTCGAGCGTTGTCCTGCTGGAACTGTCCACCATGAATGTTGACGTGAGTAAGAACGTAAGGCTGTAGGATCAAGTCTCTGTAACGCACACCTGTCAATGCACCTGCCACATGCACGAGAGGCGTCCTACCACCGTGATGAATTCCGGCCCATACCATGACACTCCCACCGCCAAATGGGACAACCTGCTGCATACAGTTGGGGGCGTAACGTTCACCCCGACGTCTGTGGACACGTGCGCGCCCATCAGCACGTGTGAGTAGGAAACGGGACTCGTCAGTAAACAGTACATTTCTCCAACTTGCACGTGCCCATCTAACCCTCTGTTGGCACCAAAGCAGACGGTCCGCCAGATGACGTGGGGTCAATACAGGACGTCGAACAGGTCTTCGTGCAAAAAGTCCAGCCTCCCTCAGTCTGTTGCGTACCGTTTGATCTGATATTCTGCGTACCCCAGGGATTTTAGACGTGGCTGTGGTAGTGCGGTCTCGGAGGTGTCGCAGCCGGATGTATCGATCTTGTGCTTGGGTTGTCACCCTTGGTCTTCCTGACCTTGGACTATCGTCAACTCTGTTGGTGTTGTTGTATTGGGTCCACAGTGCGGAGATTGTCTTTCTGGATACGCCAAAGTGCCTGGCCACTTTTTGTTGAGTTGCTCCAGCTTGTAATCTCCCAATGGCGTTGTTCCGTTGAGGTGCATTCAGTCTTGGCATTCTGTCACCGCCTCTACTGCCGTTATAAGGACTGTATGAACAGCCGTTGATGTGGATTTTTATACCCATTAAGCAGGGGGGGCTGCACAGGATCATGTGCTGCACGTTTTTTTTACAGGCGGTTGCGTTTGGATGAAGCTGTAAAATTGATCCCGAAACGCTACGTTTATGTGCTTTGTATGTGTTTTCGCGAATTATAGACACATCATCTTTCTGTTTGACTTATTTGGTTCACATTTAATGTAATTATTTTAGATATTTGGCAAAAGGTGGTTTTACATCTATGTCAAGTTTCTTTTTTGGAAGAGTATATTTTCACGTGTTTGAAATGTTTGTGGTACTGTGTACGTGGTACGGTGGTACTGGTAGGCCAACCGAAATATCCGAGGATCGTGCTTTTGCCTTCCATCTGGTAGGTTCCTATTTTTTTCGATAATATCCATGCATGTAACTGCATACCATACCGTAGAGTGACACACAGTTCGGACTGTTTGCCGTCGAATAAGCTCGAACACACGCTCCGACCATGTTTCATACATGTCGCCATGTCACTTGTACACACCACCTTTCAGAAAATTTCGTCGGCGGACACCATTATAAGATATTTAAATTAAGCATTTTCAAATGTGTTGGTGCTGTGAGGAATTCAATGGTCGAAAAATTCGCCTACTTCCAACGAGAGAAGTCGAAGGTTTCAAGACCAGCGGATGCTACCAATGCTAGTATATCACCGGTGTAATTGTACTGCCTTTGAATATTTTACTGCCACTCTGTTGTGTACTGCAGAATTACTTTGCAATGATTTGTATTGTTTTTGTAAACTAGTTAATTGTATAATCCAGTTAATGTCCAGTCAATTTCTTTGTTGTTTGTTGGTTTCATATTGAATTCTGTATTCTATAGATTTCTGGGTTAGCTTATTGTTTCAATAGCGTCATAGCCTTCATAACAAAATCACGACGTATTAAGATGCAATTTCTTAGCATGTTATGAATTAATTGTGACCAAATGTGTATATATAATTTTCAGAAAGGTAAGTTGTTTAAGGAACAAACAGAACTCACCGCAACACAACATTTCTGGCAATTGGTCCTGACTCAGATGCAGTGCTTTCGACTCACAAAATATCAAGTTATTGTGATCTGGCATGCGTTACTAATTTTCAGAACACCCGCTATTTGCTAAAGTACAGTTAAAGAAAGGGAACAAACAACTAACCGCAACTGAGGACAAGAGTGAACCTGGCCTACTGCTGTTCACTTTTGAACCAAACAACGTCACTGATATTACACTGCCCCTATATGGAAAAGTGTGTGAAGTAGAGCTATCATATGGTAAGTGACATTACTCTGTGTGGTGATATGTAACTGTTTCCTTTACCGTGTGTCAAAGGATGTGAATTAACAGTGGATCATACATTCTTCTGCCAATATGGCTCATTGCATTTCGAACATTTAGATTACTTATTACACAGATGTTACAAGGAAAACAAGTATGAATACTCATGAATACTTGGTATATGGCGCTTTTCTATTGTGTATTGGTTGCCAGGTGTATTGTTTGATAAGTAATAACACGTCTTTCGTCCAACATGGAAGAAGTCTCTTCTTAAATAAACATTTGCACAAAAGGATGTTTGCTGGTAGGGTTTTATGTAGACTGCACAACTTGAGCTCTAATGTAACGATCGATGTAATGAGCGATCAGAAGACGATTATGTCAATTTGCGAAATAGTTTATGTGTGACTCAAGTTGTTCTGCGGGCAGATACTGGGACTGTGTTTAATTATGCAATGAATCATGTCAACCTGTTGTTCAAAGGATAATCTAATGAGTACATGTATTCTGAAATGCATTTGATGAAATATGAAAGTAAACTGTGAAAAGCTATTTTTAACTGGCAGTTTTAGGTGAATCTCAAGCTTAGACTGTGGTCACGTGGCCGCTTAAACTCTACTATGAGCTTTACATATATGTTAAATGTAAGTACATGTGGTTTATGCAATATGAAGATGTACTCTTGATTCATGTACTTACAGAAGATCAGTCTGATCCAGTGGAGACGTTTTCAGTCTTCCGCATCTATTACCACACCTGTTAAAACTAGAGAGAAAACGGGTATTGATTTACATAGTTCTCTTATATCCCCGTCAAAATAACGATAGACCAACCACAAATTGCAGCAGAAATGCTTTAAGTTGATTCATATTTAACAAGCCCTCCCTAACATCATATAAAAAATGTAAAAAAATCTAAGTGGAGGGAACACTTTCAAATTCAGTCATCTTTACTGAAATATAGATATTCATTTTTTTTAAAATTATACAATGTTAACTTTGTTACATATCAAATAAAAGCTACGAATACAGGCTTCATCATGCTATACCTTTCCATATTCTATCTTATTTTGTTTGATAGAAATCAGCAAAAATCTGTTTTCAGCTTTCAATAATAGTAATCTATCTTGTTCCAAACAGCAAGAAACGATCATGTGCTGACCGATACACCCCACCAAGTTGTCAATATAGCACACACGCATGCATAGTTACAGGTATGCAAATGTATTAACCACAGTTCACTATCTTCAAATGCCGCGGGCTGTTGGCAATTCAAACAAGACATGCCACGACATTCGCCACACAGTGAAGAACGCTGCAATCCGTGATGCCTACAGCTACATTTGTTTGAACCACACATGCTCGTCTTACAGTTGCATTTGATTATGGTGAATAGTTCTTTGGGAGCTGCTGGCACATCTGTCAGCTGTGGAATCATTCGTCCACCAATGACTCTCCAATGACTGTCAGCAAATTGTAAAAAATCTGCCAGATGTTATGTTCGGTCTAAACCGTGGTTCACAGCAGAAGAGTATTCAAACTTCTTTACCTCGAAGTAAGAGCTACAAAATCCAAGACTTGAAAGGGTGTCAATCAAATATTTAGAGGCAAAGTGATGATGTAGCTGTATTCCTTAGCCGATTTGCAGGGAGGGGGTGCTCAGTTTCAAGTTGATGCCCTTTCCAACAAAGAGTGTTTGTAATAGAAGTTTCAATGACGAGGGAAGATATTCTTCATTGCTCAAAATGTTAGAAAGTTCGTCTGGTGTGGGATATGTGTTGGTTTGGACATTCATAGATTCAATGTAATTCTTTATAAGTTTAGATAGTGTTTGTAACAGTCTCATCTTTTCCTTTTCAGGATCTTGACTTCTTGGCTTCGGATAATGTTCTTGTAATATCTTTGATGCTGTTGTTCTGAGTCTGGCAACATTTGGTTTCCCATTTATTGCAGTCATGCAAACTATTTCCGTCATGAAAACCGGAATGAAAAAATGTCCGTTATGTCTACAAAATATTCTAGTAGTTGTTGTTTCATGTAGGTAAATACATAGGCATCAGTATCACCTTGACACTCTTGCATCTTCATTATGAGATCTTGAACTGAGACCTGTTCACCATCAACTTGTTCTAGCTTTTCAGCTGTCTTCAAGAAAGCTTCCCTCTTTTTCAAATCATGTCTTCCTAACTTTTTTCGGTGTATTATCTTCATTGGAAAATTGACGGGGGATATCTCTGTTTGTCCTAAAGTTTACACTTTAAGTTTGATGATATATAGCATCGACAGCATCGAGGTCTTGTGCAAACTCTAATCTCGAAAATACTTTCTCACTCCAACTATCCTTTCTTGTCAAGCATGTGCTTCTAATCTTGTCTTCAAATTCTTTAGTTCTTACAGGAAACACATCTATAATCTTCCTTTTACTGGAATAGTTTGCAGATCTTCCGCAAAACAAACAGTTCAGTTATGTTAACATTGACATGATGTCCCCAGTTCTCACAACTTTATAACTTCTCAAGGTACATCAGATAAATAAAGTAACTAGAAAATGTAATTTGTAAAGTACTTTATACAATTTCAAATGCAAAAGATTACTATGAAACAATTAAATATACCTTTCGGTTCAAGGTTCCAGGTTAATCACTCAAGTGGAACTTGTTGTTAGGTACATAGTACTTAGCTCAAAAGGGTTGGCAGGAAACATTTACAAACAGACTCTTTATCTTGATATATATCATGATTTAGTCAATTTTATACAGCATTCCATTTGTTTATAATATCCATTATGGTTTATCTTGTAAACTACTTTGTGGTATATACCTGCTGGACATGAAAGTCTGTCTCCTTGGTAAACATGGCTGCCGAAGTGCTGCTTGTCGGGAAACATATTTGTAAACATTTATTGATGACCTTACCTTGACATATATGTTTTAAAAAGGAAATGTTTTAAAATGAAGGTTTTCAAACAAATAAACAATTGTTTATATTATTAGATAAATATAGTTCAAACTAACAAAAATTATATAGATAAATAAATATTGATATACGTGTCCCCCCCCCCCCCCCCCCCCCATTTTTTTTTTCAAAGGCCGATTATATTACATTTATGCAAAATAGATACAAACTATAGATATACAAGGACTGCTTGAGACACCAGCTTTCATTTGATATGTAACATGGTTAAACAAAACATGAAACATTAAATGTTTTGTTTTTTATGTATTATATATTGATTTACTACCCCTTAAAGATCATTAACAAATTAAACAATTTTCCCAACTTAGATTTTCCTAGGTTTTTGCTATGTTGTAAGGGGATGCCTTCTGTTCATAAAACAGGAGAATCATTTCTGTTGCAATTTGTTGTAGGTTTGGTAGGATTTGACACTATATCGACCGGACTATAATTAAAACGATTGATATTCACGTCCCGATCATGGACTCAGATTTTTCTCCATGTATTATGATATACTCTGACTCTTGTGGATATAATGGTTGTATAGATATACAATGAGTTTAGTATGACCAAAATGAAGGAAAGGGGCCACCCGTGATGAGAGATTTTCTAAAATTTAGAACTAAGTTAATACTCCTAAATAATGCAATGTCATTATTAGATTCGCATGGGCTACATTATGGAAAGAATACTCCCTGTAATCTTAGCATTAGTACGTTTACCTAAATAACCATTAATGCCTTTCTACTTTAACACAAACAACTGCACATAAATACATTTTGGAATAGTTTATTTTGTAAAACGAAAGCACAACCTGTTCTTCATACCTACTGCACCTATTTATGAAGATTCGCAGTCCACACTATTGACAAAATAGCAATATGAATTTTATCAAAATCAACGCCCTTATAACCAACGTCAAAGACTCCAAGAAGCTTTTCAAGAAGGACTTGTGCGTGTTTATTCTTACACACGTACACCTTCCGTTAACGTTCCGTTTTTATGTTTAAAGGACAGGTTATATGTATAAGGGAACTAGGGAGTATTTGTTGTTTAAAGTGGTTATGTGTGCTGCACGTCACATGACAAACATACACAATGGAAGAAGGACAGACTGATTTTGACAGCAAACTCTCTACATTGTTGTCACATGACCGGTGCTGTGTGCATCGTTTCATTAATAATATATTCGAAACCCACAATATTTATTGTTCCTGTAACAGAATGAACTATTCCTGAACCTAAAGCAGTTTTAAAAGTATGTGTCCAAGAAACAATAACGTGAGTGAGTATTGATTTACGCCGCTTTTAGCAATATTCCAACAATATCACGGCGGGGGACACCAGAAATGGCCTTCAAACATTGTGGGGAATCGAACCCGGGGCTCATGCGTGACGAGCGAACGCGTTAACCACTAGCTACCCCACCGCCCCCGAAACGATAACACGTGTTACAACTATTTATAGACGATAAAGTTTACCAAATTACGTTATGATCATATAATGCCAAGTGAAAGGATACTTTGGATAATATTTGGACTTTCGGGAGTGATGTGGATACAATATTCAATATTTGAGTGAGTGTTTTACGCAAATTTGAACACTGTCAGTATTAAGTTATGTCACAGAGTTTAAGTTCGACCTGGAAGGAAAGCCCTGAGGGATGCAGGCCTTACATGTTTACCGATTAGGTTGTCCCCATAAGCACGGTAATGGTGCTGACAAACGTCTTGCGTGACTGACTGGGCCTCCGACTTCATAAAGACAGACATTCATGGGAACGTTTCCATCCATAAGGATATGTGTAAAGTTGATGTGATCTGTTGAATGTTGTACGTAGACATGAGACATTTGAATTCCATATCAAACAATGGTCTATGTTTCAAGCAATAGTTTTTTAAGCAATAATTTTATATTCAAAATTTGGATCCCTGTAGGGACGCCTGGGAAGACTACGTCCTAGGAACATCATGCTTGTCACAGGATAACTCAGTGTTGATTGGTCTGAATGGGATCTGGGTCCCGATGTACAAAGCGATCCTAGCGCATACCATACCTTAACATCGTCTTACGACAGTCGTAGTGATAAGGTTGTTTTGTACAACGACACCGTGGTTTATTAAGTGTCACCCTGTCCCGGCGGCTATCAGTGCTATGAACCATTGGTTTACCTTTCCTACACTCTTATTGCGAACAGCAGCATTAACTCGCACTCTCGTTGACAATATGCATCGCCTTATCCCTGGGCTTAAATATAATAAAACACATACATATTCATATTTCTTTATCGCTGTTTTGCAATTTCATGATTCCCTTCAGTTATGTGTGTCAGCTATCTGTCACAGTTATGTGTGGCTTAATCTAGTCTATATTAAGGCATAATTCCCACACTGCATTGTCTTGTTAGGAAATAATATACAAATTAGTTGTTTTTTTCGGGGATTAACGTACGCATTTTTTGCATTTCCTCGTGTATGTTATTCCAAGCAAAACCTCAACGTTGTAGATTTCTAAGCTACACTCTCCAAAAAAAGAAACGCACAAGTAGATTTTTAGTAAATATACTGTACCTAATGAAGTCGGTATATTTAACTTAAAATCATAGATTCAAATATGAAAATTTGGAGCTCGATAGTCACATGGTGTCGTTATACAGAGGCATTGAAAACTGTTCATTGTCATGTCACATGAGGCCACAAGGTCGCGCTGAACTCAGTTTTCTCGTGTGACCGCCTCCGGCTGCAATCACGGCTCTACATCATCTTGGCACTGACTGGATAAATGTACGCATTCTGTCCTGCGGAATTCTGCGCCATTCTGGTTGTAACGCGTTGGCCAGTTGTTGAAGTGTCTTCGGCTTGTTCTGTCATTGAAAAATGTTGACAAGTGAATGACAAAATTATTGGCTTATGCTTGCCTTTTTATAGGCAATACCACGAGTTACGAATGCCATACCTTGCATGTACATTTTGCTTAACTGTTTTCCTCCATGACATTTTTGAACAAGTGTGACAACAATGCCTTTTAAGACATTGCAGATCGACAATGGCTGCGTTTTGACGCACCGTTCGTCGAATATCAGGCCACCAACATTTTCCTATAACATATATCCAATTTTTATACAGTTTATAACGAACATGCTTATAACGAACTGGCCGATATAACGAACCTATGCATATGTTTTAGTCCCGACCAGTTGTTGTATAAATGCTGTGTATATGCTTATAACGAACTACGGTTATTACGAACTAAAATTAGTGGTCCCTTCGAGTTCGTTATAACCGTAGTTTACTGTACCGGAGTTTTTGTGTTGTCAGGTTCAATGAACTACATACTACCTGTGCGTTTCTTTTTTTGAAATTGCGTGGTCATTATTTAAACAGTTTGGTATGGAAAGACCTACCGTAAGAAACACAGAACTTTTGGCATTGTGACAAATGACGTAATGAGTGTTGGCTTTTAAAAATGCATGTTCTGTTTGGAAATATCTGGAGGACAATTTACAACTGGTATACATTTTGTGAAATAGATATCGACTCAAGTTGTAGTCAATGCTGCCTGGCGATTTGAAATCATAGGTCCACTTTGCACTGAATGATACTTACATACTGTTATGGTAGTGATGGTTCTCTGTCGTTAGTTTGTTACGGGGAGGGGCGTCGTTTCACGATTTATTCCGGTGACTGAGCTGGGAATAACTATTTGTTCAACCACAGATATCATGGTGCTGGGAAATTAATATTATATTCGGGGGAAGTTCAAGGATGTTGTACATTATCAAACGATACAGCAAGCTAATCACACAACGCGGATGATGTTTCGCAACGCTCTCATTTATCAACGACAGCCCACCAGTAATTCATTCGGAGTCAACATTACACATATGTGTTAATTTCCAGAATGCAGTGTCGGCTATTACGAAGATGGACAAGACTGTACACAGTGTGGAGCTGGATGTAATGGAGGGTGTGATGGCCCGAACGGTCACTGCACATGTAAAACTGGCTGGACGGGAACTCGATGCAAAAGTAAGTACTGTCTTTTAACTATTGTTTGCTTGTTGTTTGTGTGTTATTTTTTTCTCTACTATTTACTGTACTCGTTATGTTATCGAAAAACAAAAGTGACGCACCAATCATATTATTACAATCTTTATTGTAATTTCTTATTTAATCGACTGCAACTTAATTAATAGAGGATAGGTGTTGTATTTATAAGGTACATATTTGACGTCATTTTCACAACATTCATAGTGTCTATTTTGTGAAAGAATGTTAGCTACAACAAGATTAAACAAGAGCGATGAAGGGTCAAAGTTGGAATGACACTCTTTATATTATAATATTGGATACGACGTGTCAAGGGCAGCTCCCGACCACGTACATGTCTACCCGTTTGTCCAATTCTGCATTTGGGGACAATCCTTAGGTATTTCTTCGCTATTACCCCTGACCTTAAAGTTAGGGACATCCCTTTGTTTGGTCAAGACCAGGGGGGGGGGATTGGTGTGTGCATTTTCTTTGTATGAGTGAAAGAGTTGGTGTGGTTTCCAAACGAGTGAGCTGATGCGTTGACGTAATTTAATAAATGTACGGTTCAGAGCATTCTTTTTTCTTTTTTAAGAATTCTAAGTTATTAGTTTTTTCAAAACTGCATGTGAAGAAATTAGGATGTAGTGGAACCACCAACAATATGGAAATTTCATGTAAGGCTTTTTGAAAACAACATGTTCGTTACTTTCACACCCTACATGATTCAAAGGACGACGCGCTCTAGTTGCGCCCTCCCTAGTCGAATTCCTGTTCATTTATACCTTATGTATGTTAATCCTTCTGCCCATTTAACCAGTAATCACAAAAGCATTAAACGGATTATCATCACATTTGTATGATGTTAATGCAGTAATTTGTCCTCAAGTGAAGTACTTCCACTTATTGTCATATAATGTATGTACAGTGGAGACAGTAACAAGTACAAACCACCAAACACATTAATCTTCGTGGGATTGCAGTCTCTGTAACAATTAGATCTTACTACGATTATATGTCATGTAACGTATGTTACATGAGACCACACACTCCACATCATAGGAACATCGGCTGGCCATACGGAAACTTGGTTCTTCTTTGTTTTGTTTTGTTTGTTTGTTCGTTGTTTAACGCCAGCATGTTTCCAGCTATATGTATATGACGGCGGTGTGTAAATAATCGAATCTGGACCAGACAATCCCGTGACTTACATCATGAGCACCGATCCGCGCAATTGGCATACAATGACATCCATCAAACAAGTCAGCGAGCCTGACCACCCGATGTATTATTTAAGACGGGTATGTCTTTTGGCCATTTATTCCTGCATTTAACGTGAGGTCGCCCTTAAGTATGCTAATGAAGGACTTCTGCGTGGTTTTTCTTACACACGTACACGTTCCGTTACAGTTCCGTTTTCATGTTTAAAGGACAGGTTATATGTATAAGGGAACATTAATTCGTATTTGTTGTTTAAAGTAGTTATGTGTCCTGCACGTCACATAACAAACAATACACGATGGGAGAAGGACAGACTGATTTTGACCACAAACTCACTACATTGATGTCCTGTGTGCATCGTTTCATTAATAATATATTCGAAACCCACAATATTTATTGTTCCTGTAACAGAAAGAACTATTCCTGAACCTAAAGCAGTTTTAAAAGTATGTGTCCAAGAAACAATAACGTGAGTGAGTATTGTTTTACACCGCTTTTAACAATATTCCAACAATATCACGGCGGGGGACACCAGAAATGGCCTTCAAACATTGTACCCATGTGGGGAATCGAACCCGGGTCTCATGATTGATGAGCGAACGCGTTAACCATTAGGCTACCCCACCGCCCCTGAAACAACAACACGTGTTACAACTATTTATCGACGATCAGAGTCTAATAGAGAAATGTCTCAGTATAAGAGGAGGAAAAGTTTATGCACTTTTCGTTGATTTTTCAAAGGCATTTGACAGAGTAGATAGAACAAAACTATGGACACTGTTAGAATCGCACGGAATTAGCTTGAAAATGAGTAATCTTTTGAGAAGTATATACACCAATGTCAAAGCCTGGGTGAGAAATAATAACGAACTGTCAGATAGTGTTACTATTGATTTAGGTGTCAGACAAGGCTGTTTAATGAGTCCGTTTCTATTTTCTTTTTTCATTAATGAAATAGCTACTCAAATACAAGAAAATTTCTCCCATGGTATACAGTTACATACAGATCATACGGATTTATATCTGTAGCTGTTCGCAGATGATGTCATACATTTCTCCACGACAGTGATTGATTGCACAAGGCAAATTATTGAACTTGAAAAATTCTGTAAAGAAACAAACTTAGTTGTAAATAGAGAAAAAATAAAAGTTATAGTCTATAAAAATGAGGGAAAACTAGCATCAACTGAAAAATGGTTTCACAATTGACAAATTTGAGAAACCACATCTTCCTATAAATATCTTGGTGTTTATTTCACAAATCAACTTTCATGGCATTTTCACGTCAATCAAGCTGCTATACAAGCTAAAAGGTTAGGACTGGTATATTTAGACAGTCTCCATTTCTAAGAGACATCTCATTTAGATCAATTTTTAAAATTTTTGATACAACGATAATTCCAATACTACACTATGGTGCTGAAATCTGGGGTTTAAACATTCATAATCAAATTGAAAAAGTACATTTGTTTGTTTGCAAGAAATATTTAGGAGTTAAAAATAGTACGTCCAGCATAATGGTATATGGAGAAACGGGACGATACCCGCTGTATATTCAATCCTACTTAAAAGTTATTAAAGACTGGCTTCGCTTGATAAACATGACTAATGATAGAAACCCCAGGAAGTGCTATGATATGTTAAAACTCTACGACAGTACTGGAAAACGAAATTTGGTAACAAATGTAAAAGAATTATTATTTATTACGGGTTTTAATTATGGGTGGTATAATCAGTGTGTAGAATCAGAACCGCTCTTTTCAATGTCCTTCACCAAGAGACTAAAAGATATGTATTTGCAGAAATGGTTAGAATTAATATCCAAATCAAATAAATGTTTATATTAAAGAATCATGAAAAGTAATATTGAAATTGAGGCGTACCTCTGTAAACTCTGTAACAAAAATAGAATTGCACTAGCACGATTTAAATGTTCCTCTCACAACCTGTATATCGAGACTGGTAGATATAATTACACTGATAGAAGAGACAGAATATGCACATTGTGTAATACCAATTCAATTGAAGATGAGTTTCACTTTCTCCTGGTATGTCAAGCTTACAAACATTTACGTGATAAACATTTGCTATCTTTCTACTCCGTACACCCGAATGTCCATAAGTTTGTAGATCTTTTAACTTCACCTAATGATACTATGTTATGTAACCTGTCAACCACGCGATGTCACATAGAAACAGAATTGTTAGTTAACAACCACGTCACCTACATAAAAAAAAGGCATTGGCCTTTTAAGTACTGAATAAAACTGATTGATATAGACGATCAAGTTTACCAAATTACGTTATGATCATATAATGACAAGTGAAAGGATTCTTTAGATAGTATTTGGACTTTCAGGAGTGATGTGGATACAATATTCAATATTTGAGTGAGTGATTTACGCAGATTTGAACACTATAAGTTTTCAGTTATATCACAGAGTTTAAGTTCGACCTGGAAGGAAAGCCCTGAGGGATGCAGGTCTTACATGTTTACACGTGGACCCCATGAGCACGGTAATGGTGCTGACAAACGTCTTGCGTGACTGACTGGGCCTCCGACTTCATAAAGACAGACATTCAGGGGAACGTTTCCACCCATAAGGATATGTGTAAAGTTGATGTGATCTGTTGAATGTTGTACGTAGACATGAGACATTTGAATTCCATATCAAACAATGGTCTCTGTTTCAAGCAATAATTTTACATTCAAAATATTGATCCTTGTAGGGACGCCTGGGAAGACTACGTCCAAGGAACATCATGCTTGTCACAGGATTACTAAGTGTTGATTGGTCTAAATGGGATCTGGGTGCCGTTGTACAAAGCGATCTTAGCTTTGATCGTAACTCCCATACCTTAACATCGACTTACAACAGTCGTAGTGATAAGGTTGTTTTGTACAACGGCACCCTGGCTTATTAAGTGTCAGCCTTTCCCGGCGGCTATAAGTGCTATGAACCATTGGTTTACCTATCATAGACACTTATTGCGAACAGCAGCATTAACTCGCACTCTCGTTGACAATATGCATCGCCTTGTCCCTGGGCTTAAATTTAATACATCACATACATTTTCATATTTCTTCATCGCTGTGTTGCGATATTATGAATCCTTTCAGTTATGTCTGTCAGCTATCTGTCACAGTTATGTGTGGTTTAATCTACGAGTAGTCTACATTTAAGCATAATTCCCACACTGCAATTGTCTTGTTAGGAAATAATTTACAAATTAGTTTTCCTTTTCGGGGATTAACGTACGCATTTCTTGCATTTCCTCATGTATGTTATCTCAAGCAAAGCTTCAAAGTTGTAGATTTATATACTACGCTCTCCAGAAAAAGAAACGCACAAGTAGATTTTTTAAAATATATTGTACCTAAGTCGGTATATTTAGTTTAATATCATAGATACAAATATGAAAATTTGGAGCTCGATAGTCACATGTTGTTGTTGTACAAAGGCATTGAAATGTTCATTGTCATGTCACATAAGGTCACAAGGTCGCGCTGAACTCAGTATCTCGTGTGACTGCCTCGGGCTGCAATCACGGCTCTACATCTCTTCGGCACTGACTGGATAAGTGTACGCATTCTGTCCTGCGGAATTCTGCGCCATTCTGGTTGTAACGCGTTGGCCAGTTGTTGAAGTGTCTTCGGCGTGTTCTGACGTTGACGTACACGTCGATCAAGTTCTGGAGACCTTGATGGCCAGGGCAAGGCGTTGATGTCGGCATTATGAAGGTAGTCTACCGTGACACGAGCTGTGTGCGGTGGAGCGTTGTCCAGTTGAAACAGCTCCCTCTGGCGGTCAATGATTGGAAGAAGGTGAGGTTGAAGAACTTGATTCATGTATCTAATTACTGTCAGATTTCCCTGAACCACATGTACAAGTCAGATCTCGTGGTGTAGGATATGACCCACCACACCATGACACTGCCGCCACCGAAATTGTCGAATTCCCGTACACAATGTGGGGCAAAACGCTCATTTCAACGACGATAAAAACGTTGTCTTCATCTCGCCAGTGAAGAAGAAAGCGTGATTCATCGCTAAACCACACTCGTCTCCAGATTCTCAAATTCCAAGGCTGTCAGGTATGGCACCAACGCAAGCGTCGCTGTCGATGGATCTGTTGCAAAACAGGGACGATAACTGGTCTTCTGGGTCGGTTTCCAGCCTCGCGAATATGGTTTCTGACAGTCTGGTCCGATAATCTCCTCAAACCAGGGATGCGTCCGACAGTCTCCGTAGCTGTGGCATTGCGATGACGTAGGTGGAACAGTCGAATGTAGCGATTCTGTGCAGGGGTGATAGCTCTTGGTCGGCCGGTTCTCGGACGGTCTGCAGTGGAATTGAACAGTGTGTATCGGTTCTAAAGGCGGCAAATGGTGCTGTGGTGGACGTTGAGGTGGCGTGCAACAGAAGACTGCGATTCTCCTCCTCGGCGATGTTCCGATCGGCAGCGCTGAGTCTCGACATTTTGGAACTTGAAACATATTGACAATTGAATGACAAATTATTGGCTTATGCTAGCCTTTTCTATCCCCACGGCATATAATGCGGGGGTGGGGGGAGGGGTATAGCGATCAGCCAGTCTGTCCATCCGTAATCATTTCCTTCTGGGGCAGAAGGCCGTGGGCTAGGTATGACCCACGAGCCCCCCCTCCCCCCCCCCCCCCCCCCCCCCCCACCCCCCCCCCCCACCCCCACCATCCAAACCCCACTATTTTTTAACGCCCATAAACATACTAAACATGATTTTGGATGTTAACAAGAAAAAAGTTGGGACGAACTTGTTGTTACAGCCTTTCAAAGTATGGTACCCTATATCGCGTTTTCGCCCGGTTTTGCCGTATATCACATAGGGGTATGATTACGTGTTCCAGTACATCTCTTGAAGTACTTCTTAACATGTGATGTTACCAGGTGAAAATCTTTTGCACAATTTGGAACAAATTAACTCTTATAATATCAGAGTAGGATATCGTCTTAGCTACATCGGAACAACGCTTGGATGTATGCTCAGGATTTGGCTTGTCATCTCAGCTGGATCATACCTGGCCAACGGCCTATTGTGACAAAGGACGTAATGAGTGTTGGCTTTTAAAAAGGCATGTTCTGTTTTGAAATATCTGGAGGACAATTTACAACTGGTATACATTTTGTCTAATAGATATCGACTCAAGGTGTAGTCAATGCTGCCTGACGATTTGAAATCATAGGTCCACTTTGCATTGAATGATACTTATATACTGTTATGGTAGTGATGGCTCTCTGTCGTTAGTTTCTTACGGGGAGGTGCGTCGTTTCACGAATTATTCCGGTAACTGAGTTGGGAATAACTATTTGTTCAACCACAGATATCACGGTACTGGGAAATTGATGTCATATTTGGGGGAAGTTCGAGGATGTTGTACATTATCAAACGATACAGCAAGCTTATCACACAACGCTGATGATGTTTCGCAACACTCTCAATTATCAACCACAGCCCACTTGTAATTCATTCGGAGTCAACATTAAATATGTGTTAATTTCCAGGATGCAGTGTCGGGTATTACGAAGACGGACAAGACTGTACACAGTGTGGAGCTGGATGTAATGGAGGGTGTGATGGCACGAACGGTCACTGCACATGTAAAACTGGCTGGACGGGAACTCGATGCAACAGTAAGTACTGTCTTTGAACTATTGTTTGCTTGTTGTTTGTGTTAATTTCCTTTCTACTATTTTCTGTACTCGTTATGTTATCGAATAACAAAAGTGATGCACCAATTATATTATTACATTCTTTATTGTAATTTCTTGTTTTTTCGACTGCAACTTAATTAATAGAGGATAGGTGTTATATTTATAAGGTACATATTAGACGTCATTTTCACAATATTCATGGTGTCTATTTTGTGAAAGAATGTGTGCTAAAATAAGACGATGAGGGGTCAAAGTGGGTGTGACACTCTTTACTTTATAATATTGGAAACGACGTTTCAGGGGCAGTTCCCGACCACGTACATGTCTACCCGTTCGTCCAATTCTGCATTTGGGGACAATCCTTAGGTATTTCTTCGCTATTACCCCTGACCTTAGAGTTAGGGACATCCCATTATTTTGTCAAGACTAGGGGAAACGAGGGGCCTGACGGTTGATTTAATCAATAAACGGTTTAGAGCATTCTTTTTTCTTTTTTTTTTAGAATTCTAAGTTATTATTTTTCACAACTGCATGTGAAGAAAGTTGGATGTAGAGGAACCACCAACAATATGGAAATTTCATGGAAGGCTTTTTGAAAACAAGTGAACATGTTCGTTACTTTCACTCCCTATATGTGCTCATTGGCAGATATGATGCAAAGGACGATGCGCTCTAGTAGCGCCCTCCCTAGTCGACTTCCCTGTTCAATTGTACCTTATGTATGTTAAACCTTCTGACAATGCCCATTTAACAAGCAATCACAAAAGCATTAAACGGATTAGAAAAAAATAGTTTGTCATCCTAAAATGGTGATAAGTTTCTTGGACGTCACTCATCATCGATAATTGCTGGCTGAGATGGGGCTGGTCTTCACAAACACCATACGTTTGGTTTGTTCTCTGTACGTGTACAGGAAATATTATGTTGATTCAATTAATGCATATCAATATATAGCCAGAAAACTCTTTACTTAAACAATAATGCATTGTACGATTTAGACCAGATCATATGCATGTGTTTTTGCATCAGTATCAAATGCTGATGTCACCAGGTGTAACACAATCTAACGTCACATGACTTCATGAAACATGCGTTAAGCGCCGCTTAATCATTTACGTTACAGAATGCGGAAAAAGATAGACATGGATAGACGTGAAGGAGTGTCTGGGCTTCACAAAACACCACCATTTTGGTGTGTTCTCTGTTCGTGTTTCATGTCCAAGGATATTATCATAATGTTAATTTACTGAAAGCCTATAACACAATATAACGTCACATACCATCATTAAACATGTGTTATTCATTTACGTTACAGACTGCGAGGGCGGCTATTACAAGGATAGAGGTGGCTATTACATGGATAGAGCTGACTGTGTAGAGTGTGGTGCTGGATGTGATTGGGGGACTTGTAACGCTAATACCGGGACCTGTATTTGTAGACCTGGGTGGAGAGTACCGGGATGTGCAATACGTACGTGTCAGACTTTATACATTACTGTTGTCTTATTTCGTATTGACTTGTGTGATATGGTTTTTTTAGCGTCTAAATATAGTAACTTCCTCAAAACTGATTACATTAAACATAACAACATTCCGGACAACTAATGTCCAAATACAATGCAATGAGCTTCTACCGAATCTCAACAGAAACAATGTAATGCAGTTACAATAAGTGTCCACCAAGGAAGTACATAACAGGTTAATTTGACGACATTTTGTGTCCGAGATACAGTTATGCATATGTCTCTACTAGTATTGCAGACACATATGAATGATTTATCGGGAAATACCTGTTCATCTATCTCATCTACCTTTATAGCATGACGTGTTATACATGTACATCATGAGCATGGGGGTTCCTACGTGTTGCATTCCTCATCATTTCTCACCAGCCTGCCCGCCTGGTACATATGGGGAAGACTGTCTGCTGAACTGCTCTGTTGGGTGTGTCAACCAGACATGTGACCGAGTTGATGGCACCTGTGACGTGTGTCTGCCAGGATGGAACATGGCCAAATGCGACAACAGTAAGTGGTACTGATATATCCATACAAAGGGGTCCCAAAAAGCTAAAGTAAACGTATGTCCACTTTTCGGTTTTCGACCAGCAACGTTTACCTTTTATTAAGGTGTGAAAGAGGTGCAAAACTTGAATTGTCACGAACTCATTCTGACACGATCAATTGCAAATATAATACGTAAATCTATGGTGTTAGATCAATAAATCAAGGCAACATAATATTTGATGAAGAATAGTTTTTCTCTGAAGTTGCATCATCGTTATGGTATTATGCCCAAGACATTATACAATATATAGAAAAGGATAGTAATAACGAAATGACATTGATATATTCTGATGTAAACAACAAGCAAAACGGTGTGAATTGTGTTATGTACAACAATATTCCATTATGTTAACTGACCCGTGAAGATCCGAATGGAGAATAGGTCTTCAGCAACCCATGTTTGCTTTAAGAGGCGACTATGTTCGTCGTAAGTAGCGACTAACGGGGTCGGGTAGTCAGGGTCGCTGACTTGGTTGACGCGTGTCATCGTTTCCCAATTGCGTGGATCGATACGCATGCTGTCAATCACTGGATTGTCTGGTCCAGACTCGATTATTTACTAACCACCCTCGTTAACTGGAATATTGCTTAGTGCGGCGTTACACAATACACCAACCAAGCAAAGTTATTTTAAGTGACAAAAAAAATACAAATCTGTTCATCCTGTGCAAGCATTTTCCTTTTCACGACAGGATGTGACACGGGCACCTATGGCCCTGACTGTATGTATGAGTGCAATGAGGGATGTTTCTGTTATCTGTGTACGTTCAGAAGCCGAGATATAAGGGTCAGTGAATGCTTTATTTAAAAGACGAGCCAGTAATATCATTTCTCCGTATCTCCAACAGAAGTCTTGATGCAGACCAGTGGATCATGCTTGCCTCCCTTTGTTCTGTGGTCCTCCATCACAACTATCGTCACGGTCGGGGCTTCTGTACTGCGACCTGCCATTCTTGTGTAAGGCTGTGAGAAAATCTTATCACATGGCCATGTGATTAATGTATATATGAATATGTAAGTTCCTCGTGTGTCCTTGTCCTATTTGATAGGAAAGGATGAAAAGTAATTGGGTGTAGGAAATGATGAAATATTATTTCTTAAGGGGGAGACCATTTGGTATTTTGGGGGCGGTGCGGGATGGGGAGGTAGGTATACTAACGGGAAAAAAGTAATCATGCTTCATATTAAGTGGCGAAAATGTCATGTTATGGGAAATAACTAAATATTTGGACCATCGTCTGATAAATGTTTTTATAACAAATTCATTGGAAAAGAACATACCTGTTAACAGCGATACGCCCTAAAGACGGGAGGTGTAGTAACTCAATTAACCATGTCAATATTGGGCGTGACCACCATTTCCGTTGGTACAGGCGAGGTAGCGGTGGCGCATTTGAGACACCAGATGATTGAAAACCTCATGCTGGATATTGTTCCAAATGTCAATCAAAGATTGGCCCGACTGAGCTAGCGTTACCGGCTGGCTCTGCTCTTGTCGTAGGCGTCGAGCCATCGCGTCCCAGCCATGTTCTATGGGCGAGGGGTCTGTAAACAATAGCCGACCATAACAGTACAGCAGTGTTACACTGCCTCAAAACGTGTGTTACGTCACGTGCAACATAGGCAACATAGACAACATGATACCATGAGCATCGATCCACGCAATTGGGAAGCGATGACATGCATCAGCGAGCCTGACAAACCGATCCCGTTCGTCGCCTCTTACGACAAGCATTGTCGCCTGTTTCGGCAAGCATAGGTTGCTGAAGACCTATTCTATCCCGGATCTTCACGGGTCACGACCATCAATGATATCCAGATAAAACCATGACTCATCTGTGAATAGTATACTGTCCCAGTCTTGTCTTCTGAACCTCAGATGCTGTCTACAAGCTGCACGTCGGGCCCGGATGTTGTGTTCACCCAACCGTTTGCGTCCAGGAACCCATTTATTGTTGTAGCTGTTAATGTGTCAGTTTGGTAATAATTCCGTAGATGCACCAACCGAATATGGTTGTCTTGTTGACGTGACGTCACACATGGACGACCGTAACCGTTATTTACGGTTATACAAAAATGTTTGTATTAATTGAAGGTAAACAATCAGCGTGTGCTGTTCACGTTTAAAAATCACTGTATGAGTGTCATGTTCCCGACAAGAAGACAAACATCCAGGTTTTGCGCCGTGCAAGTTTTAAGCACGTGCATTCTGTGAATCACGACTTTAAAGTCGAGGAGATGTCTTCCTGAGCATGTAAAGATGGATTGTTTAATTTCAGAATAAATATATTTTATATGAACTTAATATGAAGCACAGTTAATTTTTTCCGTTAGTTCTGAAAATAATTTTTAAAGGTTAAAATAGAGAATTTAGAGGATTATCTTATGAGATTATAAAGTATTCATATTTTAATGTTATGGTCAATTTTGTAGCGCAGGTATGTCAAAATTGTGAAATATTATTGTCTTATAAGGTGGAAATACAAGATAATACAAAGCTGTGGTATTTGCACATATGCATTACAAGATTCAATTTGTTTCACTGCAGTGTAAGGCTTTAAAATCCAATACTTACTAGAACATACATCCACATTATGTATGCATGTTTCTAATTAATAATTTAATAACGTGATTAAATGATAAAACGCACAAACTAATTTTCGTTATTTTGACTGAGTCGCACCTAGTCGCTGTGTCTACCAGCTGTTTTGGGATTTAGTAAACTGCGAAATCACAGCGAACAGTCAGCAAATGCCCACATTTCCCTTAAGGGAGCGCAATGAAGACGACAGACAGAGGGAGGGGACTTGTCACACATCTTGTCCATCCAGCGCTTGACCCTTGCGTGGAATACAATCATCAGAAGCGAGTAATGTTCAAGCCGTAATCAGATTATCATGGCGGCATAAAAATGGAACTTACGCAGACCGAGTATCCAAATTACAAAAGAAACATAATTTCAGCATGGCATAGGCTTGGACCTATGCCATAACGGTCAATAGCCCATTCCCAATGACTTACCCACCTTCACTGACAATAAGAGGTACCAGTGAAACATCTTATCTGTTTCATATTTAGATACATGCTTAAAGATTAAGAGGGACGAAACGCTCTACTGTACTACACAATACTGTATGTATGACACGAGAGGGGTCTAAATCAGCATTCTCGAATTACAAAATGTTCAGCAATTAAAGTTGACTACTTACTGTTAAGCTTAAAGTGTACATCACCATCATCATCATCATCATCATGTGGAATTGTAAGCAACTGGAAAATGTTTACAAAAGGCTAAACAACATTATTAAAAAATGTTCATTTAGCACGCAGTACAAAATACATGAATCACTTCTGAGAATTGTTCTCAACCAAGACACAAAAAGTACTGTATCACAATATACATTGTCAATCCAAGAGAATAACCAGTCAAGATGATCCACCGAAACAGATTCCATATTGCACACAGGGCAGCTGTGAACATGATATGAATGGTGCACTGTAAAACAGTGATGAAAAGGAAGTATGTTTTACCAGTGCTCCTGCCATGCGACAACAGTGGTAAAATGACCACCCTGGTGTCCTGAGAAAGAACTGGGACTGGCCTGCTACTTTCGGCCTTACATTGTCACCATAGAATGTCAACACTTGCTACATCCAAATAATATTTACTTACTTATTTTCTTGGGACGTTCAGCCTCCTACGGCTCTCCCAAGACTGATCAGCAACTGTTTTCTTCCATTTTATGTCACATGTTTTGGTCAATAAATATTTAAGTGCATCAAAAACACAAATCCACAGGTGGTGTGGCCTAGTTTATTTCTAGCTCAGGTTGGTAAATCAGTCGAAGGAAACTGGGTGTTTGACCATTATTGAACGATATCAGATCATCGATATAGCTTAAGTTAAAACTTGGCCAAATTCCCTTGTTTTGATTTTGCCAGAAGAAATATCGATTCATGTGCAGAAAGAAAGAGAACTGCAAGATGGTAGCACAAATGGTGCCCATGGGGATGACATGGGGATGAAATACTAAAACAGTATAAGAATTATGCTTATCACCTGTTTATAACAAAGAACATATAATACTCTCGCTTGAAATCACCATCATCGAATATACTCCCCGACAAAAGAAATGCGAATACCATACATTTTTATTTGCTTTGTTTTGTTCGTTGTTTAACGCAACACTCAGCAATATTCCAGCTACATGACGGCGGTCTGTAAATAATTGAGTCTGGACCAGACAATCCAGTGAATGACATCATGGGCATTGATTGGGATACGATGGCATGCAATCAACCAATTCTCATGCCAAACCATACAATTAATTTCGTCGTCTCTCACGCCAAGCAAAGGTTACTGAGGACCTTTTCCACAACGGAATGAGCAAATTTATCCCATCGAGACAAGAGTTGGAAAAGTTACACCAGTATGCCTAGAAAAGAATGACCTTGAACCTTTTCATAAAAGGTCGGTTTTGTCTTTCGTGAACACATGTACATGTTCTTATGACAGTGTTCAGCTTACTTTATGCATAACCATGCATACGCACCAATATGACTCGCACTTCAAGATATCATTTGTAGAGAACGTGAAACCACCTTCCTAAAATTCAAGGTTGACGCGTGTTGTCTTTTTTCTATAAATTCATATTTTCTGCTTAAATGGCCGTTATACAATTCTATGCAAATGGAAAACCGGGCTGGAGTGATATGTTAACATACTCGAAGTAGTGACGCCCTATTAAGGCATTTGCGACTCTCGGTGTAAAAAATCACCATTTAGCAAGCAAGTACACAAAATTTTCAAAATAACATAACTAATATATGTGTGGGAGTATTGTTTTACGCCGCTTTAAGGCATATTCGAGCAATATCACAGCGGGGGACACCAGAGATGGGCTTCACACATTGTACCCATGTGAGGAATCGAACCCGCGCCTGCGGCGTGACCAGCGAACGCTTTAACAACTCATCTACCCCACCGCCCCTATTACATGAAAGTATTACAACGTTTATTGTTTGATAAAAGAACTTGGTAGAAATTACAAGACAAACAAGCATGAAATACTCATATCCCCCGCCAATATGATATGTCAGGTCTAAGTCAAAGTCGTTGCCATGGAAACTCGAAAAATATATTTTTTTAAAAACCCAAATTATCAAAAGGCACCAGTTCATCACTAGACCTATCCTTGCGCCAAGTTTGGTTAAGATATCTCTCATGGCTTTTGAGTTCTGCTCCGGAAACGAAACGTGACCGGCGGAAGGACGGACGGGCGGCACCCATTCTTATGTTACCCTTCGACTTTGTGGCGGGTGATAATAATGCCACATATAAAGCCAGTATGATTCAATTAACGAGTAAGAAATCTGCAAAAAACATGCATTAGTCTTGTCATTTGACTCGACTCTGAATTTGTAGACATTTCCATTCCTCTTTTGTACGTGATTCTAAAGCTCCATAAAATCCGTACAAAGAGATGTATTGCTGGGTCCAGCAAATGTACCACGAAATCCCTGTCTCAAAGATTAACCAGTATTCTTAGTACTATCAAGGAAGGACTTTCTCTATATTCACAGAACGTATTTGAGACCCTTGGAATTAACACTATGGGGAGATTATAAAAATCAAAGGATTTGCTTGAAATTCAATTCTGTCAAAACATTTGCACACAACTATCCCACATGACAAACTTAAAGAAAACTTCATTACTTCATTCATGGGGCATTTGTTACATATGGTGACCATAGATATAGTTACATATATATCTAAAGAGGTTCAGGACAATTTGTCAAAACTGAAGATTACTGAGAAAACTACATGTGAAATGTCGGATTTCCTCCTTGATAACATCTCAGTAAAATTTGAGGGTAAGACATTTAGACAAGAAGTGGGCACCGATTGTGCCTCCCTTCTTGTGATCTGTTTCTTTATGCAAATGAATCAGAATTTCTGCTCGGATTAGCAAAGTTGAAACAATTTGTCCAAGACATGTAACTTAGGCTTCAGGAATATCAATGAACTGATATCGTTCAAGGCTTCAGGAATATCAATGAACTGATATCGTTCAATGTAACAAAGTGCACCAAGGGTCACTTTGCGGCCAACATATAACAAGTAAAAACAATATTCCCGATAAGCGAAGACATGATAAGAACAACTAATAATTGTACATATATTATGATATAGAGATGCCATCACTGTACATGTGGGTAATCGAGATTATTCAAGATTATATCAGGCCGCTGTATGCCTTAAAAGCTGTTAATATGTCAACTGCGGATGTAGCAGGTGGTAGCAGATAAATTAAATAGATGGCATATGGCTTTATAAGGGTGCCTCAGTACAAGGCATAGACGTTCCTGTTGTGGTCCCATCTAGTGCAGACAAGCTCTCATTCTCAGGGAACAAAAACGCCCTCAAGTCGTCTCCTTGTTGCTTCTTGACGGTGTTACATCAATAACCACAAAATAACCAATTCTCTTCTACTGATTTACCAGCCTGAACTTGATATAAAGGAGACCAGTGAGACCCCTCATATTTAAATCTATGTATAAAGATTGCAGCTTTATTCCTGCAGCTCCAGCCCTTGGTGTCTACATTTCACAACTTTTAGGGTACAATCGACGTTGATCTTTTCACCGAGATTTCAAATAGCGTGATACGAGCGTTTATCTTGTCATCTGGGATCCTTCATCAAATTGTCGACATGTTACTCCCCGACCCGTGAAAATACGAGATAGAATAGGTCTTCAGCAACCCATGATTGCCTTAAATGGCGACTATGCTTGTCGTAAGAGGCGACAAACAGGATTGGGTGGTCAGGCTCGCTGACTTGGTTGATACATGTCATCGTATCCCAATTGCGTGGATCAAAGCTCGTGATATCAATCACTGGATTGTCTGGTCCAGACTCAATTGTTTACAGATCGCCGCCATATAGCTGGAAAATTGCTGAGCGCGGCGTTAAAAACAACACATATACATGTAACTCCCCACAAGTAAAAAAAATACGTGCATCTACCGTTTTGACGGACACGTTTATCATCAGAATCGAGCATGCCCTTTCTACCAAGATTTCAAAGAGCGTCATAAGACTCTTGCTCAGAAGTTGCTTGATCAAGGTTACAACATTCAAGGTCTCAGTAAAGGTTTCAAACGGTTTCATGAAAAAATGATGTCCGATGCAATTCCGTATTTTGTACCATATATTTTCCCGTGTATTTTTTCAGGTGAACAATTGTCATGCCTTTGCATGTGTTCGTGACGGGAACCTCCGGTGGGGCAGGATACGCCCACCTTTTCGCGAACATCTGGTACCATCACTTTTTGATAGAGCTTCATAAACATACGCTTTTGATATACAATCGACTCTGCTTTTAGCAGATATTTCTTAAGAAGCTGGAAAGGATTTTGTCACTTTTATGAACCATTTGCGCCTACAAAAGTAAAATCTTCTATTTAAAACAACAAAACAGCGTTAACAGCGCCATGAGGCACATAAGAAGTTTGTTTGTTCATATAGTAGAACAAGAGCCCCGTAAAGCCTAAAGAAGAGGAAGGCACTTGGGCCTGTCCCCGTTGCACAAATAACAGTATCTTTTAGATAAGCATAAAAACTTTCATTAATTTTATTCCACTAGTTGCTGAGAAAACTTGTCCACATTGCAAAAACTATGCACCAAGTTGAAATACACGGGACAAGGGTCATAACTCTGTAAGATATGAATGAGCGACACCAATTTTCGAACTCATTTGAGGTCGTGACCAGTAACATCAGTGAACAAAATTTCATTCCTCTAACTTTAATAGTTTTTGAGAAAATTTGTCCCCATTGACAAGTGGACGGAATGACGGACGGACGGACGGACCAATCGCCCGCTCCACTTCGTGGCGGGTGATAATACAAGTTCAAAGAACTTACATACTTCAACGAACTGTCTTTACCTCCATAATTGTTAATGATAGTGTTGACTACCCTCCACATCATCAGCTAGCCCTATTGTTCTGACAAACACACCGTCAGGAAGATAGTGGGTCAGGGACATGATCTACTAGCTAGTACAGTTATTGCCAAACATATACATTGTCTCTTTTAATAGGGAATCAGCGCGAATTCATCAGTAAAAGTCACGTATCTCTCGTCACTGACGTTGAAGTGTAATCTGTCCTATCAGTGTTGTTGCTTACAGGGTATTTATTGGGTACATTTATCAGCTACTACTCCAACTATAAGTATTAAAACGAGAGATGGGGAATCCGCTTGCTCAGCAGAGGTACATGTACCACTCAAACCACACAACAACACAAGACCTGAGTGAATAAACAGTCAGTTTATTAGACAGCAACAGAATCTTATTTACATTCAATATCAAATAGAAATGTTTACAATCAAGTATTAGAGCAGAAGTACACATTATGTGAAGAATGTTTGTTTGTTTGTTTGTTGTTTAACGCCGCACTCAGCAATATTCCAGCTATATGACGGCGGTCTGTAAATAATCGAGTCCGGACCAGACAATCCAGTGATTAACAACATGAGCATCGATCAAACCCATTGTGATACGATGGCATGCATCAACCAAGTCAGCGAGCCTGACCACCCGATCCTGTTTAGTCGCCTCTTACGACAAGCATGGTAATCTGTTACAACAATCATGGGTTGCTGAAGACCTATTCTACCCCGGATCCTCACGGGGTAGAGCATGAGGTGTGTCGGGTATACCAGATTCAATCATTCGAAGCTGTTGTATTATGTGTGTACCTTGGAACATGTATCGTAACTGATGTAGTATGTACCTAGTATCTTGTTTAATGATTCTATTATGTGAAGAACAATAGGTGAACATGACATAGACTCATTAAACAAGATACTAAGTACATACTACTTTAGTTACGATACATATTCCAAGGTACACAATGTAATACAACAGCTTACATATGATTGAATCTGGCATACCCGACACACTCTAACTAATACAATACTCCGAGTGGACATTCACACAAGATACAACAACTAATATAGTTAACAGAATTGACATAATCTATACACAGAAGTAGTACAACGGGAATGTCTAAGATATACACACAAGTTACAATTACAAATTAAACTTGCTGGTATATTGGCAAGGATAATAGCATATAGTTAAGATTTAACATAGTACAAGATGGTAACGTTTCTTACCTGGTGTGGATGACAAACAGCTGCAGATACAGATAAAGATATTAACGTCTTACATGTGTTTGCCTAAGTCTGTCTGACAAGCACAGTACTAGTGAGAGAGATCAGGTTGACCCTTGGCATTTTAAAGATAATGGAACGTGGTCGTTAGTTGTAATATTCCCTTATTTCACAATTTCCAATTCAAAATATGTGGCATTTAACGTGATAAAATGTAAAACTTTGTCTATTTTCCCCATGTTTATATAAGCGTAACCGGCGTCCATTTTGTCTGGCTTGAATACGCTCGAACGTTCCGTGTCCTGTTGGCATCTTAAGACATCCAATCCTTCCTCCACGTAGCCCCAGATTAATCCCGTTGAAATAAAATCATGACTGAATCCACTAAGTGTTAATATTGAACTTGGTTTTGTTCCAGTAACACTCAATTTCACGAGCATAAATTTCCACATCTCTCATTAGCCGCGTGTGCGCATTACCGTCATTGGATACATCTTTGTATATTTGTAATGATCTGTTGTTTCGAATACCCCCCACCTTATTTTCAGAGTATTAGGAATTGAATATATGATCATATAATAATTTCATCATTAACACACTGCAATACAAATTAAATACTGTTCAAAGCGTCTTAACCCGCAATCATTCACTTATTCCAGATGAGAAAGGTGCACGTAAGCGAAATAGAAAAGGGGCACAACTCTGGAATGCTCAACTGTTGACCGCTCAATGTTGTCTCAGCTGTCGTTGTGTGAATTCAATAAAATTCGACTTTAGTTGTCGTGGAACTTTACACTCGAGTAGCCATACTGTTCCGACAGGCTTATCGATATTGATAACATATACTACTCAAAGTTTGCTAATGATCACCACTTCGAAAGGCAATGTGTCTAATTGAAATAGCCAAAGATGATGGTATGGTGACCAATCTAGACACTCCCTACGGACAATGGCCTTCTGATCTAAGAAGGTATCAACGACCCTGACAGGTTGAGGACGTGCGTTATCGTCCGTGAGAATGAAGTGCGGGGCGATTGCACCAACATGCGGTCACACGTACACATCCAGAATGTCATCACTGAATCTCACATCTGCCATCGTGCCCCGCTGCAGGACACGGCCATCGGTTCTTCCAGACTTACTGATCACATCCCAAATCATGAGTGAGCCCCCTTCATAATGGACATATTCGGCTTCATTGGAATCCTGACTCTCCTTGTATACGCCGCACTCGAGCGCTAAGATCTGTGAAGGCTAGTCAGTATCGCGATTCATCAGTGAAACCAACTGCAGCCAAGTCCTCGTCAGTCCAACTGAGGTGATCTTCAGCCCAATCAAAACGTGCCTGCCTGTGATGTCGGGTCAGTGGGATGCGAATGCATGGCCTCAATGATCGGAGACCAGCCTCACGAAGTCGATTACGCACTGAGTAAAAATGTTAACGCCACTGGCTATCAACAGGTCATTTCTGAGTGTGATGGCAGACACGAAGGGATGACGTATTGCTGCAATCGGGAGAAACCTGCTGTGTGGTTAAACTATGTCGACCACCTGCATGTCACTGGGTAGCTGATCAAAACGTCTGCTATCGATTCCATGCCCTGCTTATCACACCAAAGACGTTTGCAATGGTACGCTGTGTTGACCTAGTGCACGCATGCCTCTGTCCGTTCATCATGAAATCGAGGCTCTATAGGGGTTACCTAATCATTTTGTACCGGAATATTTCAATCTTTATTTGTTGGATGATTTTTTTATATCACCAAATAATACTTTTTACAAGCAATTTTGTGTAGTATAATATTTGCTGGTGTTATCATAAATCATAAGAAATGATTATGATCCTTGGTTTGTCATCACCATCCCAATTGCGTGGTATTTTACTCATATAACTGAATAATTTCAAAGTGGTGCTCAATCATTCACTCACTCTGTGACACATTCTTCCATTGCTTTTGATGGTGGTAAACTTAAACGTGTTCAATCACTTACGTTTTATTGTGAATTTTGATGGAAATGGAGGTACGTAGTGTACGCAAACATGTGAAGTACTGTAACGAGGTGATCTCCAATTTGAAACACAAAACCTAGCCCAGAAATCAGCTAATACAGAACTTAATTGTAAAATCAGTTAATGGCCACACATGATCATTGAATAATAAAAGAATATATCTTCAAATACACAGTTTTTACAATCACACAGGCATGACAGTAAGTCATATCAGTGGCGACAGGTAGAAATAATGTCAGTGTACTCACAAATGCCCATGCTTCTGTCACTGTCTAATGTCTGCGTTTGGAATAGTTTTGGAACCTGGCGGGAATTCAGGTAGAAAAAGGCCTCGATTTTCCCTTGTTCCGCTCTTATTCAGCCAGCCTTCTAGAAACCGTCTCATCCCGAAATGGTCGAGCCCGCCAAGTTCGTTTACAGAGGTAGATGATTCTAAGCTGCCGTGAACAGCACTGGACATTTCTAGTAGCACCTCAATCATTTGCTGTCACATATTTACACGTATTAATTAAGAAATAAACGACGAGTGGGAGTTGTTTGTTGTTCAATAAAACACTGGAGGGAGACAAACAGTGGCCACGAGTCGTTTATTTCTTCTATGAGACATCAGCGTTTTGCACAGCCTCTTTAAGAATGTCAATAATATGTTCAAGCTTTAAATATTTAAATTATTTACATTATGATGACTCCCTTAATGTAACCCGATCTCGGCAATGTTGGACAAGTCTCTCTACGAACAGGGGGATTAAGTTTGGTTTTCCGAGATATTCTAACAATTTTCACGTCGATTATCTATACTTTTTCTCCCCTAACCGATTGTCATATCTCTCCCGCTTTGAAGTTTCAAAGTTACAATTTCCTGAAATGACGTCATAATAGAACAATGTTTTATCGTAAATTAACGTTGCTTAGTTCTTCATTGTTCTTGCTATTTAACGCACAGCTAACTTATATACCATAATAAAGATCACATGTAAAGCATCCAAAGTGAGGTTTCCGTTGCACAGATCAAAGACAGTTTGGTCAATGTTCTCAGTACTCATTCTTCAGGTTGACTTAAATACAGTTGTGATGTGGACCGAGGATGGATAGATGTCGCATGATCTGTTTGAAAAATAATCTCTAGGGCTTGTCATGGCAGCAGCGAGGAGTTCCGACCCGATACTTATATATATATGCCCCCAACAAAATACAACACAGAGTAGCAAATGCTGCGCAGGGCCAACACCAATGCCAGCTGTTTTCTGGAAAACATGAAAAATACATTTGCAAGATGGAGGGTTAGAAACAAAGATGTTCTGGTATGACTTTCTGAGAATACACAAATTAAGTTTATCAATATAAGGTATATATTCAATTTACCTTTGTAAACATACCTCAGATTAAGCCCTCGCAAGAGTTTTTAAGGAAGGTAAACATGTTCAAATTTATTTACATTAAAAGGTTCAGAGTGACAAAAACTATCCAGCTGGAGGACTTCAACTTCTCAACAGCCAACTTTCCCATAATGTCGAGGAATATTGCAGCAGCTCCAGCCTATGGTGTCTAAATTTCACAAACGTTGACGTACAATCGAGCACGCCACAAACGTTTGATAAAAGTAACAGCATTCAACAAGACCTTAGAAAAGATTTCAACATGTTTTATGGCAGAGAGGTGGATAACCTTTCCAACTTTAACATGTCAGTGACACAATGACGTCCGATGCAATTCCCTATTTTGACATGTGCCATTTGTTCCCGTGTTTGTTCGAAGTTTGAAGACTTGAATTGCCTTTGTCTGTGTTCGTGATGGATGCCTTGGGTTAGGCAGGAAATGTTCACCTTTTCGCGAACATCTGGTGTCATAACTATTTGATAGATTCATGAACACGCGCTTATGATTTTTTGTTGGTTGTTTAACGCCACACTCAGCAATATTTCAGCTAAATGACGGTGGTCTGTAAATAACCGAGTCTGGACCTGACAATCCAGTGAATGACATCATGATCACGATCTACACAACTGGGATCGATGATATGCATCATCTAAGTCAGCGAGCCTGACCACCCGATCCCGTTAGTCGCCTCCCACCACAACCATGGTCCCTTTTTAGGGCAAGCATGGGTTGCTTACGCGCTTTTGATGTAGTCGCAATCGGAAAATGGAATAAGCTTTTAGCAGAGATGTGTTATGATTATGGAAAGGGTTTTGTCGCTTTCATTTAAAAATGTGCAACGTTGTAGCATAGTTATTGTGGTTATGGAGGAACACAGCATTAAGTAACAGCAAATGTGAAATGCCTAGCGGGCAGCTATCCCCGGCATTTCTGTGGCGACCCTTCCAGTCAGGAGCAATTATTAATTAGGTTATCAAATATGTATTTCGTCAATAGGTACTGATTATTGTTCATGTTGAACATAACATAATTTCAGCATTATTTGGATATTAAAAAAATCCCAAAACCGCATTTTAAAGTTAAAGCTTCGTGTATACGTCGTTTAGCACCAGTACTGCTCTGCGATTTTGGGACACAAAACCTTACTCTTTCATTCAAATTGTGCGAGTGGCGGTGCTACAGTTAGAGCAGAATATGCTTGTCCTTTTCGCGAAAACCTGGTGTCCTTATTTTTAGTGATCCACTCATATATACTGAACAACAAAAGTTCCTGTGACATTGAATAAGATTATTTAATGCAAAGGTATGTTTTTTACCAAATCTGAAACAACTTCGGTTTGCAACAGATAAACGACTCATGTAAGTGTTCCAATGGTTTAATTTGTCATACTGACTTCAGAAAATGCGTGATTTCATAAAAAACCATGAACATGCCAAAATGTTAATTTACAAATCAATAACGTGTGTGTCCACCTCTGGTTGCGATGCAAGCAACGTATCTTCGTCTCATAGAATGGACCAGGCGTCGCACAAAGTCCTGTGGGATATCTGTCCATATCTGCTGGAGCATGTTTCGAAGTTCCTGGAATGTCTGTGGAACACGTGGTTGACGTCGAAGGCGCCGATCCATCCCATCCCACATGTGCTTGATTGGTGAGAGATCAGGGGAGCGAGCCGGCCAGGGGATGACATTCACGTTGTTTTGTTGAAGAGACTCCTGAACAAGTCGAGCAATATGAGGCCGGGCGTTGTCATGTTGAAAGGTAATGCCTGGGCCATGACGATGCAAACACGGTTGAACAACAAGGCCGATGATCTCGTCGCGGCAACGCTGTCCATTGAGATTTCCCTCTACCACTATCAAACGGGTCCTCTGTCTTGCTGTAATCCAACCCCTTACCATAACACTGCCGTCCATGAAACGATCTTCTTCCATGACACAATGATTGACGTAACGTTCACCTCGAGGTCGGTACACTCGAATCCGTCCATCGCTGTGGCTGAGGTGAAAACGAGACTCGTCAGTGAATAGAACTTGTCCCCACTGCATGGCCGTCCAGCGTAGACGCTGTCTGCACCACTTTAGACGTGCTTGGCGTAGGTTTCCTTTCAAAATTGGACGTCTTGCGGGTCTTCTGGCGACAATCCCTGCACATCTGAGGCGACGACGTACGGTTTGTGAAGATATTCGTCGAAGGCCAGGGATGCTTCTTGCAGTCACTGTTGCTGGCTGGAATCGATTTCGTAGGTGTGTTGTTCCAATCCATTTGTCTTGTCGATTATTGGTTACGCGTGGCCTGCCACTCCGAGGATGGTCTCTGACTGCATTCGTCTGTTGCCAACGTTGCCATAAACACCAAATGTTTTTTTTCTGTGGACGTTAAATTGTCTTGCAACATCACGTTGAATCGATCCTGCTTCGAGCATACCAATGGCTCGCAGACGATCATTTTCGGACAGGCGTGGCATTTCGTAAAGTTGAATAATTGCGTAATTTTGTCTGAGTGGTTGTTGTCATACGCATATGGAATCCCGTTAACGCACATGTTTTTATACCCATTCTTGGGTAGTGAAATGCATGGGGTTTGCATAGAAGTCAACTTTTGCATGGAATGCATGATTTTCTGTAGCAGTTGCGTGTTTGTGACTTGATTCCATACATGTACTACAATATTGAAAACCAAACTTTACTTTTGAAAAATAAACTAAAATATTGTTGTCACAGGACCTTTTGGTATTGAGCATAGTTTTCACCAATATTTTGCCCTTTCACGTCTCTAAGTGATCGATGCAACAACTCGTTCAATAGTGAGAGAAGGTTTAGGTCAGACACTGGTCTGTATGGCTTTAAAGGTTGTCAGGGTCAAATTCAGTTTTTCTTGTTCCCTCCATTAGACATAGCACGTGGGAACGGACTATCAATGATGAAACAATATAAACGTCGGTGGCGATAACTTTGAAAGCTCGATATAATAGCAACATGTATATGAAGTCACACAGTGTTGCACGAAGAATAGCGTCCTACATTTTGAACCTCGGTTACGTGTTGCTGATTGCAGAATGCATCATATACACAGCGGAACAAGGCGATTAAACTCGGAATGTTATACAAATTGCAAATCTACCGTTCTTTATTTGTCAACGTAGACATTTAGCGTTTGGTGTCCTTTCCTGTGCATTGACGTTCTTTAGACATTGTTCTTTCTTTCAATTGGAGTCTATTTGTTTTGTATTTCGACCTTTATTAGTAAAACATTAGATTGCAAACAATCGCCAGAAGCTAGAGGCAATGAGTACATCCTGTTGGGGTACCATACAGGTAGCAGACGTGATGTACGTCATCATGTTCCCCAGTACGGTTACTTACCTTTGGTTGCTGACGATCAACAGCCCGTTCTCATAATCATTGTAATGTCCCGTGTATGGTGACCTACCTTTGGTTGCTGACGATCTACAGCCTGTTCTCATAATCATTGTAATGTCCCGAGTATGGTGACCTACCTTTGGTTGCTGACGATCTACAGCCTGTTCTCATAATCATTGTAATGTCCCGAGTATGGTGACCTACCTTTGGTTGCTGACGATCAACAGCCCATTCTCATAATCATTGTAATGTCCCGTGTATGGTGACCTACCTTTGGTTGCTGACGATCTACAGCCTGTTCTCATAATCATTGTAATGTCCCGTGTATGGTGACTTACCTTTGGTTGCTGACGATCAACAGCCCATTCTCATAATCATTGTAATGTCCCGTGTATGGTGACCTACCTTTGGTTGCTGACGATCTACAGCCTGTTCTCATAATCATTGTAATGTCCCGTGTATGGTGACTTACCTTTGGTTGCTGACGATCTACAGCCCGTTCTCATAATCATAGTAATGTCCCGTGTATGGTGACCTACCTTTGGTTGCTGACGATCTACAGCCCGTTCTCATAATCATTGTAATGTCCCGTGTATGGTGACCTACCTTTGGTTGCTGACGATCTACAGCCCGTTCTCATAATCATTGTAATGTCCCCAGTGTGGTGACCTACCTTCGGTTGCTGACGATCAACAGCCCGTTCTCATAATCATTGTAATGTCCCCAGTATGGTGACCTACCTTTGGTTGCTGACGATCTACAGCCTGTTCTCATAATCATTGTAATGTCCCGTGTATGGTGACCTACCTTTGGTTGCTGACGATCTACAGCCTGTTCTCATAATCATTGTAATGTCCCGTGTATGGTGACCTACTTTCGGTTGCTGACGATCAACAGCCCGTTCTCATAATCATTGTAATGTCCCCAGTATGGTGACCTACCTTTGGTTGCTGACGATCTACAGCCTGTTCTCATAATCATTGTAATGTCCCGTGTATGGTGACCTACCTTTGGTTGCTGACGATCTACAGCCTGTTCTCATAATCATTGTAATGTCCCGTGTATGGTGACCTTCCTTTGGTTGCTGACGATCTACAGCCTGTTCTCATAATCATTGTAATGTCCCGTGTATGGTGACTTACCTTTGGTTGCTGACGATCTACAGCCCGTTCTCATAATCATTGTAATGTCCCGTGTATGGTGACCTACCTTTGGTTGCTGACGATCTACAGCCTGTTCTCATAATCATTGTAATGTCCCGTGTATGGTGACCTACCTTTGGTTGCTGACGATCTACAGCCCTTTCTCATAATCACTATAATGTCCCCAGTATGGTGACCTGCCTTTGAGTATGAGTATGGATTTACCTCACTCACTCAATCATGTTCGTACATTTTGACTATTATTGCGTGCTTTTGGCCTGTTATTTCAACTTGTCTATTTCAAGAATTCTATGAAATCTGCTCCGAGTTTTATCTTGAACGATTTAAAAAAAGAATAATACCTACGGTATGCATGTAGTTGCATTGGATATCATAAGAATGAAATTTTGTGATCAAACCCCGTTAGAACTCCGGAAGATAAATGGGCTTGGTTTTCGTATAACAGCGTACTTCATATTCTCACATCGTTTTAGGAAAGAAATGACATCATGGTATTGGTATTCTGAATATAGCTGTATTAGTATGTCAGAATTACAGTGAATGAAGGAGTTAGAAAACGAAAGTCAATGATATAACACTAATTGCTATCCTATCCTTGAAGTAAATAGATAACGTCAACGGCAGCGCATAATCAGTCTCCATTATCTGCCGAAATAGATTCCATTGGGCGTAAAAGGCATACTGGTGGTGAATATTATACGAATGGATCACTAAACAGTCACCAGGTGTTCATGAGATAAATAATAGCACGGGACTACATAAAAATATATTATTACGAGGCTACTTCCCAGGACTCACGGTTTACTTGTATACAGGTTCCGTCCAGTTGATAACACACTTCACAGTTGTCGCATTTGTGCTGACATTGCACTCCGTGTCGCCCAGCAATACAGCCTTTGCACACATCTCCTTTGCATGTTTGATTTCTACAGTTTTTACAGTCAGTATTGGATGGAAGTTTGGACGTTTCGTTGCAAAAATCGAAACCAAGTTTACAACCACTACGACATTCACAAGTATAAGCATCACAATCATCATCCAAACATTCATTGCAACGTTTTTCGCACATCGTGTTGGGCAAACAAAATCCATATTTACAGCCTGAACACGTCCCATTTCTTTGACAAAGTGCCGGCTTGCTTAGATCCTTCATGTAGCATCTACCAGAACACGGCGTTAAACAACCATCCCCATGATATCCATCAGCACATGCTTCACAAGAACAGTTTGTTTTATGACAAGTATATTCACACTGTCCAGTACAATTATCCTCGCAACTTGAACCACAGTGCCCTTTGTCACACTCGGTACACTCATTGTCATTGCAACCAACACAGTGCTGTCCATATCTGACCATGCACGGGGAACGACTTTCGCCTGAAAGAAAGGGAAAATGTATCATATGTGCGTTATAAGTTAACACTGTTTCTCATCATGACGTTTGCAAACTCCCTTCTTGGGTCTTGGTTGAAGAGAATTGATAACATTGGACACATAGCATGCTTATCGCTCCATAAGCTTGATGTGATAAGAGCAACGTTTATCATCGAACGTCGAACTACCATCAGTGCATACAGATGAATCAAACAGTCATTACTCACGAGTGTATCAGGTTTACTACTCATTACTTTGAAAACACTTCAATAGAATAAATTATTCAATGGAATTGGACACTTCCACAATCGGAACGTTGTGGTGTATGTTGTGGCACATTAATTATAATTGAATATAGGTTGTGTTCTCGATATATGTTCTGACCAATAAATGACATTATTATCTCTGTTTATGGGCCATATCTGTAGGATCTCGTACATACTGTGTATATGTGGTAACAATCCGAAACAGCAAAGCAGGACAGCTAGATATCCCATTGTCATCCTGTAATGATGAAGAAAGTGAAGTTTAGCGATGGATGACACTAAAACATACATACTTCTGAAAAAGAAACAGTAGACCATATTTTCTCTCCTGATTTAACAAAAAGGAATCTTAAGTATCTGTACATTTTTTATATCCTTGTTTAACATTACCCTGAGTCATTTCAGAGTTTGAATCCATTGCCACTGTTTACCAATCGCAAAAACGCATCCACGTCTGTTTTTATCAATAAAGGGCGGGAGGAAAATCGGGGAAGAATTTCATGCGTTTGCTTTTGCATGTGCATCATTTGCACCGTTACCAATAAAAGCCAGGGGGTCTGCCTGCTTTCGTGACAGTTTAAAGACGTGAATTCTCATGTGAAGTTATGCTTAGACTTACAAAGGCGCAGCGAAATAATGCAATTGGACGAGTCGCAATCGGCGGTTTCTGGCGCTTAAATGAGTCCCAGAGCACATTTTGGAAGCCTTGGCACATATTTTACAAACATGGAACAACACGTGTCACCACCGCACAAGACAGGTTCACTCGGCTACGACATTTACGGCAAAGGTTTTCTACAGTAACCTTACCACATCTGCAGTACCTGGACTCCGGAGAATCTGGATCAACCCGCCAGGAAGCGTCTGCGTGACGCTGGTTTACGTCCAAGGAGACCAGCGCGGGGACCAATCCTTACACGACAGCATCGCCAACTACGCAGACAGTGGTGTTTAAACCATCTCAACTGCCTATTACAGAGATGGAGAACTGTCGTTTTCAGTGATGAGTTACGGTTTTGCCGCCATGAACAGTATGCTCCGAACTGCGTGCAGGAAGTGGATAGATTTGGTGGTTGGAGTGTTATGGTATGGGCGCGCATCTCGTACAGTGGGAGAACGGATCTCATCCAGGTGCAAGGCAATCTCATAGCGCGACGTTAATGTGATGAAAGCATCAGACCTCACGTCATTCAATTCATGAACCGTCAAAACTTCATGTATCAGCAGGACAATGCTCCACCCCATACCGCAAGATTAACCATAAGTGTCTTGGGCCAGAACAACATCCGTGTCCTTCCTTGGCCATCAAGATCACCAGATCTCAACCCAATTGAAAATATATGGGACGAAATGGATGAACGTGTGCGAAGACGCCATCTCCAGCCGCAGACCTAACCAGCTTTGTTTTTGGCTTTGCGGGATGAGTATCAGAACATTCCAGGACCTGTAATCCTGAATCTGATTCAATCTATGGGACGACGATGCCAGACATTCATTAACGCTAATTGTGGTCATAACCGTTGCTGACAGTCTTTGACATGACCTTTCTTCATGTGTGATTGTTGCACACCACCTCTTCCCTCTGTTATATTAACACGAACAACAGATATTCCTAATTGTCATGTAACTCCAATGTTTGCACTTATAAATAAATGAAACCAATCACCTATGCGTTTCTTTCTTTGAGTAGAAACCTAGTACGAGCGATAAACGCATAATTCTATTCAATAGCCACTAAAAGCGAAATGTGGCAATAGGATTTCTGAGAAAAAAATACAACGACTGAAAGACTATGAGTGTTGTTTTTTAATGGAGGAACGTAAACAGCAGTAAACAGATTCGGGGTCTCAAGAGAAGAAATGTCACTATAACCAAATGACTAAGTTTATAAAAATATTAGTAGTAATATTAGTATTATGTAATATTTTATATAACTGAAAAAATCAATTGATATGCAGTTTGTAACAATATGTAAATTAATACCGCGCCAAACTCCATACATATGCTCATAGCGCTGCACTCATTGACAACTCCGGCATGAAACTCGGTGATGTTTTAGAGTATTTATTCATTGACTATTTGCTTTCTAGATACCTTTTTAGAGGTAAGTATTCATTTGCTACAAAAATGCATCCAGTTTTGTTGATATTTTTTTAATGCTTTTGGGGTAGTCTGTTCCATTCCATGGCTGCTGTTATATGAAAATATATGAATCCAAAAAACATGAGATCTGACAATTAACTTCGAGCAAAACCGAGAAGTTTTTAAGTGAGGCAATTCTCTCTGAAATTGGCAACCACTGAAGTGAGGGTTAGAGTCACAATACGTCTTGCAGTGTTTTATAGATGTTGCAATCTGCTTATGTTTAAGCCTGAGTTTCCCGCATGAATCTATTCTGGAGAGCATAAGTCAGACTTGCACAAGCCTCTATGGCAATAATTATTAGTTTAAATCATAATTTCTAGATTATATAAATAATAAGAAACTGCAATGTTTCAACTGCTAAATGTACACAATGTACAGGGACTTGAAAGCAACACGCTAGCTATAATTAAGGAATGTTGGAATAGTTTATCTAGCGTAAAACAGAAAAATAACATCAGAGCAATTTCACCATGCTGCCTATTCGGCGCTTGGCAGGCTGAGGGGGCACGGGTAGCGCAGTCGTCTAAGGCGCGATTCGCTGTGCAGAGTTGCGTCCCTTCGGCACGCCAGAAACCTGTGATTATGGGTTCGAATCCCGGTTCGCCCCGATTATGTTTCTAGGTTTGTCAGCACCATACCCGTGCTCGTGGGTTTCACCAAAGTGGTAAACGTCTGAGACCTGCATCCCTTCGGACTTTCCTCCAACATTAAGCTGGCACTCCGTGATATAACTGGAATAATGTTAAAAGCAGCATTAAACCCAACTCACTCACTCACTTACTTGGCAGGCTGGCATTGCTTAAGTTAAAATAATACAATATGATGGAACTACTTTCGGTCTGCCTTAATGAGATGATGGTTTGCAGAGTATTTCATCAAGATAATCAATGAGAAAATACATATTAATAACTGAATACTTTGTAGTTCCATGTCTACTTTAGATGACAAGAATAGAATTATCCTCATTATATAGTGCCACATGTAATCTTTAATTCTTAGAGACGATTAATATCACCCTACAATTAGTGATAATAGCAGATTATTTTACGCAGCTTAGATGGGTTAATATTGCTGAGAGATCTGTGATTCACTTGAATAAATCAGATGTAATCTTAGACTTTGCGTTGTGGGTATTTGAATGAACGTGAAGGATGAATAGTTCTGATGTTGGCGCTGGTTTGTTTGTTTGTGGTTTAACGAAGCACTCAGCAGTATCATGTTGTTTGTGGTCACGGACATGTAAAACTAGATCTACCTCTTACTTTGGAATTATGTAGACATTACAATTTCAAACCCATGATGTGAAATGAAGTGCAAGATATGATTGATTCGCGACGAGGGAGGTGCGCACAAGCGAAATAAAAAGGGGCATAACTCGGGAATGCTTAACTCTGGACAACTGTTATGTCATCTCTGCTATAGGAGGGTGAATTCAATACGAATGACGACTTTAATTGTCGTGGTGAATTACACTGGAGTAACCATATGTGTGCTGTTATCAATATTCTAAACATAGTTATATTTTGTGGTGATGGTTGTAGTGGCGGTGGGGGGAGGGGAGTGTTGGGAGGGGGGTGGGGGGTGGGGGTAGTATTTATTTGAAAATATTTAGGGACATTTACTTGTTTGTGTTATCTAAGTTTGTTCTTCCACGAGATCTGTTACGTCATGCGTCATTACCTCAGGCCACACTTCTTTTTTCACTTGCTTCACGGCTTTTTACAGGAAAATACCTGTTGTTAGGAGGGGCGAAGAGCAATTAATTGTTTTATTTTTCTTATCCACTATTGGTTGGCTGGTATACCAACATCAAAATAGTTTAATGTGGAAGGAGAGCCTTAAACAGAGCCGTTTCAATACCAGTTAACCAGAAGCTGTTACTACTATGACACTTAGTTCCCAGGGGTCCTGGGGTGATAGATGAAGCCTACATTTATCGAAAAATGTTTTCTTTTATATTCATATGGTCAGTAGCATGTTAACAACTTGCTATTCAAGCTTCAAAAGCACGTATGCCTATGTATAAATTGTTTATTCAAAATAAGTATATATCATTTGCAACAGCATGCACTATTTTTTATTGTAAAATTGCACTGATATTACTGTATTGTTCGGAAATATTGGGAACAAAATAATATGCTGCCATCGAAAAAGTACATACCTCATACCTCAAATAAAGCAATTGGTGAAACTGGACGCCTCAATATGTTTGTGCATAGCCAAGTAAGAGTAGTTAAATACTGGATAAAGTAACTAAAAATGGAAGAATTTAGATATCCTCTTCAAATTGTTAAAGCAGTTGGATGATAAAGGTAAACATAACTGGGTATCTGAAGTAAGAAATCTATTATTTACATGTGTTTTTTCTTGTGTGTGGATTGCATTGGAAATTGGTAACATTTAAGTGTTAATGGGAATATTTCAGAAGCGAGTGAAAGAAACTGTTTTATCTTCGCATTTCCTTGGCAATTATAGTGAACTAAAGTCACATCTTCAACAGGAAATGAATTTATCTGTCTTACCAGACAAGTTATTAATAAGATCGTCTTATTTAAGTGTAACAAGTATTCCAAGTTAAGATCTACATATCTCCCCTTCTTGAATAATGACTATAAATCTGAAATGTTAATGATAAATGCTATCAACTCACAAAATAAACATTCCTTTTCAGTGCCTACTTTTTATAAAGCATGTTTTTACTATCAGATTCAAGAAAATTTATGGCCGGTGTCCTGGAATAAACTCTCCCCCGTACAAATTCGGATATATTTCGCGCCCCCCTCAGTTTAAAGTCTCCCCCTGATTATTCGGTTTGTTGCAATGTCTTTAAGTACTATTCTTTAAATATTTATCTTTATGTAAAGAAGGTTTCTTTAAAAAATAGAGTATAAAATATGGTCATAATGAATTGATAATTTAGCATATTTTATTTTGTAAAGCAAGTACAAAAAAGTGTGGTCTTATTTAAATTAGCTGACCACCCGATCCCGTTAGTCGCCTCTTACGACAAGGATAGTCGCCATTTACGCCAACAAGGGTTGCTGAAGACCTAATCTACCACGGATCTTCAAGGTTATCAGATGCCACTGAGCGTCCATTACGCTACGGCCCTCTCGGGACGTTCCCTCATGTGAGGGTTTACGATCTATAGTAATCCCCCGAGACATGGTTTCTCCTACGCGTAGTCTCCACTCCCTGCGCGAATGAGTTAGCTATGACCCCGTTTGCAATGACAACTGGTAACAAAATACACGCATCGCGTCAACGATCACAGCAACGTGGCCAAAAGAACAAAGACTCGAAATAGACTGCCTGATCCAGGAAGTTGTTTGATGAACACAACCTAAAGTATCGCCAAGAAAGTTCATGGTAAGGCTAAGCCATTTAATTTATTTTACCAATCCATAATATAATAGCCTTGCAATTCCAAACAATCGTACTATGCCTGAAGGATAAAACAGCACAGGTTCTCGCCACGCAGTTATTTTCAACGTGACAGACTATTTCGGGAAGACGCATGACGGTATGGAATACAGTAAGGGGCATTCACGTGTTGGAAACCAACTAAAAATACCAACATTTTAGTTACATGGTATCGACCGATGTTTGTGATTACTAATTAACGTGTTACATATTATCAGCTTGGTTATGGTAGATTATGCGTAAAATCTGACCAAAGAGAAAGACATTGGTTGAAGTCTAAATTGGGGGCTCCTTTCCTATTTAGATATAGTTGCTTGTTTCTATCAAAAATATATATTTTCAGAGACTGAGTCTTGGTCTAAGGTTGACATAAAGAACGTTCATTCTAGTTACTTTATCATTAACTACTTGCAAAAATAGTTGAATAAACAGTAAAAATAAAAGTATGAGCCGTATCTGCATTGACATGTACTGACACGTTTTTGTTTTACCTAGAAAGTACCTAACATGTACATCTTCAAACTCTAAGCCTGTCGATCATGAAGAAGTATAAACAAAATATGAGGTAATATATATCGGTGACTCAACCCACCTTAAACAAAAAATATTATTAACAATAGGTTTTAATGTTGTCATGCCAGAATGGAGATAAAACTGGATTTGTTGTATTTTTCAGCATGATATTGACAAAAAACCTTTGTAAGTGTAGCTACCAATTCATAGCTAATAATCATATCATTGCGAAGGTGTGTGTGGTCTTTCAGCACTTTATCATATCAAAGAGCAACCCTCTCAATGTAATTCGTATTCATAGAAAAAGGCGCTTATATAAATAGGAGCATTGCGCGTTGAAGAAGTTGAAGAATTTTGGGGCTATATCAAATAGTCCATATTCATACGAAAAGAGTACCCTTGCGCTCATTTCAGCGCAATGTATGAACATCCTGTTTATCTTCGATAATAATTGATTTGTTTACCTGGAAACATTCAATACTCCATTCGAACACAAATTAATTACACAGTAGAATTCATAATTCTGTTACAGAGAACGTTGTGAATATTGTAGATAAAAGCGATAAAACTCTTATCGTATTCATAAGAATTCTTTGCCAAGTGATTGCAAGCATACCCTTAACTCTGGGCCGGTATCGCCCAGTTTAGCTCAGGCTAAATTTAGATAGGTTTTTCCAAAACTTCGCACTGTGAAGACGATGCGTATGAACATCAATTTCAAACAAGCATTCAACTAAGTTTTTATGTGAGACTAATGTCACATTTAGCAGTCAACAAATCAATTTTAACAATGAACCTATTCCTACATCTTAAACACCATTAATAGAAGAGAAAAACATAATAGGCTACTGGATACGATATTCCCTTGATATGGACATGCTCAATACAATCATAAGGTTGCGAATATTCTTTCTGGGATTCGATCCTTGAAACGTCTGACCAAAATGCAAGATTAACACTCACACTTGTGAACTGGTAGTAACTTCCCAGATTGTGAATCATTACTCCAGCATAAATAATGATAGACATTTGATAAAATACCAGCACATCAAGTAAATCCTATGATTAATGTGTAACACATACGCTGAGTTGCTCTTTCCCTGTAATCCGTGTCACCTCAACCTGCTCTAGTGAGTTGGTGATAAATATAGCCGGACCGCACTGCCACCACTTATGACTGGTATTGTGCAGTCAGTGTGGAGAAATATCCCTCCGCTGTACGTTGCACTCAAACAAGTGAGTTATTCACAGTAACGCGTGAACAAATAATAACTACCTTCTCTACAACAGAAACATGACAAATTTGACTATAAAATATTTTATTACATTTATTACGTATTTCGTGAAGAAAAATGTATTTCTTTGGAAAAAAATCAATATTTCACTCGAGTGAAATAACATGGCATTGCGGAACTACTTTCAAAATAAGGACATGAAGATCAGTTTAAAAAAGATATCTACATTTACATATAGGAACTGATATGAAATATCACCTTTTCGATGTACATGTGTTATTGTATGGAGTGTATCATAACGGCTATTGATGATAGTTTATTCAATACGACACCAATGCATAACATCATGACGCGGCAAAAACCGACAGGGAAGCAATATGAGACACTTCCTTTCTGTTTCAAATAGAAAACATTATCAAGTAGTGTCGGCGTTATATATTGGAAGTAATGTTCTGCAAGGCACGGTAGGGTGTTCTTACTTTGTATGTTAGATCCCAAAAACACCAACATGTATCCTTTCGCTCAAACTGTAACGCACTTCTGGTGTGATTCCAGCTGCGTCTGTCCTCTGTGATAGGGTCCTTGTGAAATCATCTTGACAAGGAGTGGCCACCGTGTTTGTATGTGCCTATATTAGGAAACCCTATTGTGGCAAGTAAACACACTGCTGAAATACTTCAACTAATTATGTGTATGCTGAATATTACAAATGGTCATAATACTTATTATTTTTATTCCTTGTTGTTGATGAATACCTCCTAACCTGTGTTTACTGCATAAACAAGTCAAATTAATATATTGCTTCCCTATGTTTTGAAGAAAAAAACCCACCCTGTATATACAGAATATTTCAAGTCATATTACTATATTTCTTATTTGTTTGACGAATACCTTACAACCTCTGTATGGTCAATACTACATATCATATTACTATATTTCTTATTTGTTTGACGAATACCTTACAACCTCTGTATGGTCAATACTACATGTCACATTACTATATTTCTTATTCGTTGTTTGACGAATACCTTACAACCTATGTATGCTCAATACTACATGTCATATTACTATATTTCTTATTTGTTTGACGAATACCTTACAACCTCTGTATGGTCAATACTACATGTCACATTACTATATTTCTTATTTGTTGTTTGACGAATACCTTACAACCTATGTATGCACAATACTACATGTCATATTACTATATTTCTTCTTCGTTTGATGAATACCTCACAATCAATGTATACTCAATATTTCACGTCATATTACTATATTTCTGCAACGACAAAATTCATGGTTACTAACAACGTAATGTAATAAAGATACATGTACCCCTGTTACTGTGTAGGTCATACGTTAGTGACTATTCTCAACAAAAGTATATTTGTATCTCTTTTGTTTGGAGTAAATCATTCTCTTGTGCTATGGGTTTGATTTCATTCTCTGATAGCACTATACAACAACCTATAAATCTGGTGGGGTGCAAAGATAGAATACAATAACACCATGTGTCAAGACTTTAACACTGGTCCACGAAGACACGTTAATGGGACAGAGGGTTTGAGGTAACGCCGTTTTTAACATGTCAGAACCTCAGGACCCGTGAAGATCCGGGAAAGAAAAAATCTTCAGCAACCCATGCTAGCCGCAACAGGCGACTATGCTTTGTCGTAGAAGGCGACTAACGGGATCTGGTGGTCAGGCTCGCTGACTTCGTTGATGCATGTCATGGATCCCAATTGCGTAGATCGATTCTCATGATATCAATCACTGGATTGTCTGGTCCAGACTCGATTATTTACAGACCGCCGTCATATAGCTGGCATATTGCGGGGTGCGGCGTTAAACAACAAACCAACCAACCAATCATGCTCTATCCCAACCCCAAACCCCAAACCCCGCACACTACTAATTGCAGACCCAAGTGTATTCCAGGCAGCCGTTTGCATGTATGGATTACACATAAAAATATATTTGATCCAGAACGATATGTGGCTGTTTTGGGTCGAATGTGTTGTTTTTAGAATTAATTCAAAACGATATGTAGCGAAGGGTTGGTATCGAATACATTAGTTCAGAACACTGTTGTTATGAATACTACATTGATAAATGTTGTTTTTTTCTGTGATGCGACAGTTATGTTAACTGACCAATGCAATCAGTTCATATTATCAAACTAGAAATAATAGACAGTATATAACGATATAATATTGCAGTTCGGGTGCAGTTGATATACACGATAAGTAGCCTGTCTTTACACATGGTTGTGATCGATTACACCCTCCTCGCACATGTATTAACATTGCGACAATGGGTGGTCAATTTCCTCATCTATGTCAAACGAAAATACTTGGAGAAGGTATACGAGTAGATAAAAAACATAACGAGGTTAAGCATCAATGTTGAGACTGAGCATACGTCGATTCGTACATAAGTAAACTCACTACCACTATATAATCATGTACTCACGCTAGGCTGTCTGTATGTGTTCTGAAAATAGAACCGCTACGACAGGATGGAATGTAGAAGCTAAATGGCCGTCAGAATAGGACGAAAACCTCTCCTGGTGATGTAATTTAACACCTCCAACGGACGTATGTACCCAATGTTGATGTTACTGTTATCACACAAATGGTAAGTCGTTGTCTTGTTGTGCTCCGCAGGCTGTCCACATACACACGAGTAGCTTACACTATGAACTTAGTTCAGTCTTGCAGAATTGCAGAGAGATATCTAAATGTAATCCTCTGATGCTGTGAAACAAATAACATTTTCTAAACCACTACCTCGTATATCTATATATTTCAGAGTATCTCTGTTATACCAGCATTTACTGTGAAAAGTAAAGGTATATATGAAATGTGTTTAACTCTATCGTGAGAGGTGTGAGGAGTACCGAGGTTACCAACAGTCGGGGGATGTTCATGAAACCATTATAAGATGTCCGGGCTTAGAATCTATACCTCCACGAACAGTTGGATACCAATTTGTCTCACACTTACCTACTAACAGACAATAGTGATTACACATATCATGTTTTTGTGCCATTTTGTACCGATACCTATGCCGTTTCACGTTGTCCATAACATACACCAGTTATATCCCGGTGTGTCACACAAGCGCGCGCGCACGCACGCACACACACACACACGCACACACGCACACACGCACGCACACACACACACACACACAGCAAAATAAGTGCTATACTTGTGAACGCGTGTGACGTTAAACCCCATTTCACCTCACGACATCTGCTGTCATGGCTCCCGATCAGCGATTTAACATTCACCCAAACAGTCTTCTTTTACACGGGACATATGTCCAGACAACAACGCCGTTACGTTTAGAACGTTTGAAAAATAGGTCACAGCCTTCCAAGAAATTGATCTCTCCCCGGGAACCTGACATACCGCTCACGTAACCATGCACATAAACAATCACAAACTGTACAGTTTTTATATCGCAACCATCGAGCGCAACAAACGCGCTGTTTAACTACTGGCATAAGACGGGGACTTTATACAAGGCGGTGTGTTAAGGTTAGGGTGCGATATACCAATGCATTTATCATGTCCTCATTTCGGTTAGATGTAATTATGGGGAATTTTACACAAGAAGAAGATGTCCTATCCAGTATTTATAGGGGCATGTGACTTACAGATGTATAGGTAATTATAAATGAACACACTTGCTGATTTCAATGCAGTGTGTCTATTAATGTTATCCTCTCTAAAACTAATGTCACTAAAATGGCGTCTAATTATGCATTACAATAAATATATATGGATCTGTCACGCAGTCATAATTCGTATATCATTGTAGTTTGCTTTATGGTTTGGCCTTTATGGCATCTTCACCTATGGCATTGCAAACTTATTTAAAAACCATTTTATAGCACGTTAATGAAAGTGTTAGATACCACAAAACTCTTGCAATATTAATTTAAAATGATTTATTATTTACCCATATACCCGCTTGATCTTAAGGGGCATATGTTTTATCTGTGGGATGAATACAAGTTATTTTCCACCCATAACAATGCACTAAATGGTGTGAAACTAGTACTTCTCTTTTCAAATCAGATTAAGTATATTGACATCCAAACGCCCATCGACCCCCCCCCCCCCCCCCCCGCCCCTCCGCCCCTCCAAAATCATCCTCAAACCCAGCCCTAACGTTCAGCCAAATGGTCAACGTTCAGTAAACTCAGCAGAAACATTGGAATTTAATACATGCACATCTTTTACATAAATGTTGCGTTTTATTTATTCCAGACAAGATGAAATGTAGTGGACCCACGTCACCGTCACCAACTCTCCTTGTAAATAGTGTGCTGCATGTCCTTCTCCTCTACCAATATGGTAACATTATTTAATTTTTAGATGGCATAAATTAAACCCAGGGAATGGGTGCGTGGTTAGGATTTCGGGTTGGGGCAGAGTAGTTGTGATATTTGTTAGAAACAAAACACTTTTGGTCACTGCTTGTCTTCCAGCAGTGACCAAAAGTGTTTTGTTTCTAAAACAATTATCCTGAAAGATAAGTCAACATTATTTATTTCTATTACAAATGTATATTTTATTGAGGTGAAACAGGTGACACAAAGTGATTTTTTAAGTCTTATTACTACAGTGTAAAGTGTATGGTTTTCAATTCGAGAACGCAATACCTACCTCATACCACATCAAGTGAGAAAGAATATTATATTAACATGTTGACAAATGCATATCACGTGTACTCGAACTGGAGCTGTTAAACATTCATGGTTTCCAGGTACCATTACACCCAATAATTTATTAATACATATTTTGACTTTATGTTAATAACAATCTATAATCCATTTTTACATGACAAATTCCACACTACTGGTGTAATGTAATATACCATATTTATTTTATAAACATTGCACGTGAATTGAAGAACATGCCATCTATAGTGTTCACATTTGGGTATATTAAAGAAATATACAACGAAGATATTTGAAACTGCAATCAACACCCTATTATAAACACATGTATGTAATGTATTGTTTAGGCCGAATGCATTTCTCTCTCAAATAACTTTGTCTTTCAAAATATGTCAAATTTAGTAATACCAAATTGTTGTCCCAGTTTTGGACATATGGATAGTTTCAATCATAATACTATCGTATTTTGAAGGTGACACCAAGTGCGTGTATAGAACTCGCCGACTCTTGAAGGATGACTGTGTGAACTACTGTCCCCCAGACCAATGTCCCGAGGAATGTTCCTACTGTGACAGCGGCTTATATGGGTCTGACTGTACGAGGAGCTGCCGAGGACACTGTTTGAATGGAAGGTGTGCCCTCCTGGCCAATGGTAGAGCCGTCAACTGTACGGAGGGTTGTGTGGAGGGGTGGAGGGGGTTAACGTGTAGTACTAGATGTAAGTATCCTTGTCGGGAGTGTGAGAGATACACTGGAGATTGTGTAGGGCAATGCAGGGACGGTTTCTACGGACCTGGATGCTTACAGCGGTGTCCATATTCCTGTTCAAGCTGCGACAAAAACAGTGGAGTATGTTTGCCTTACACTTCTGTTGATGCAGACCTATCGCTGACGAAACACAAAATGACATCAAGCCTGACACATGGTAGTGACATTAACAAGACTCACAGCAGTCACAAAGCAGGTGAGGGGTTTTACAAGAAATCGATTTAATGTATATTCATAAACAATATAAACACACATATCAAAATATATTTTGCAATACGTAGTTCTTTGTTCCTTATTGTTTACTTTTGTAAGAGTGATAGAGTGAGTGAGTGAGTTTGGTTTTACGCCGTTTTAAGTAATATTCCGGCAAAATCACAGCGGGGGCTTCACGCATTGTACCCATGTCAGGAATCGAACCCGAGTCTTCAGCGTGACGAGAGAACGCTTTAAACACAAGGCAATCCGACCGCCAAATACTTTTGGAATACATAACTGAAGATACATATCATCATGTATCAACATACTTATTTTCAACACATGCAATGTGTTTGTACTGTAAATATGTTTCAGAATTACATCAACACCCTGCAATGACGTCAACACCCCATGTTGACAGTTGGTCAATCCCCTCACAGGTCTCCACTAGCGTTGCTGTATTATCTGCAGTAATTACTTTTATTGTCATCAGTTTAACCATCTTCAGGTATGTCAATACTGGCAACACAACGTAAAGTAGAAACAACACAATTCATTTGCATTCATTAGATCACACAATGTCAAGACTAAATTCATTCAGTTTGCGATTAGCAGGTGATACCTCCTGACCGTTTGGAAAGACCCCAACTGGGGATTCTAGTACGGAATATGCCCCAAACATCATTTTCATTTCAGATGCGTTTATTTACGTTTAATGAAATAACTGTAATGTTGTCGACAGCTGAGGAAAACAGCATTCATTCACTATTCTGAAAGTGAGAGATTGATATACATGCTTTGTCGTTCATTACTATACTGTATAGTTATTAATTACCACAACTGCACTGGCTTTAAAAACCACAAATAATAAAGAACATCTATTTGCATCTACACATGTCAAATGAATGAAAAGCGTCAAAGCTGTCTTCAGCCATTACAGCAGTGGCATCCCCAGATGATTTCGAGGTTAATAAGAATATAATGTTGAATCTTGTGATTGGATAATTTAATTTTTTTATTCTGTAAAGTGTGTAATCATATACTTTTTTACAGGGTGAAAGTGACCATGCCACAGAAAAAGAAATGGGTTCTGTTAGGAAACTCCCCAGACACGGAGAGTCTAATCGGCTCCCCAAATTCAAAAGTGATGGATGGGTTGTAATGCATCCATAATTACTGATGTATATCCTGTACCGTAAAATTCATCATTAATAAAGGAACCTGCTTGAAAACGTCCTCAAGTTGTTTTTTCCATCCTCGAAAGGTCACAGACCCCCTGCTTCTTAATATACTTGGGGCACGGATGGCCCAGTCGTCTAAGGCGCCGCGATTCGCTGTGCAGAGTTTAGTCCCTTAGGCACCCCAGAAACCTATGATTGTGGGTTCGAATCCCGGTTCGCCCCGATCATGTTTCTAGGTTTGTCAGCCCCATACCCGTGCTCGTGGGTTTCACTGAAGTGGTAAACGTCTGAGACCTGCATCACTTCGGGCTTTCCTCCCAAATTAAGCTGACACGCCGTGATGTGACTGGAATACTGTAAAAAGCGGCGTTAAACCCAACTCACTCACTCACTCACTCACTCACTTAATATACTGACTTGTCGCACATTGTACCAATGTCGGGAATCGAACCCGGGTCTTCGGCGTGACTTTCGAATACTTTAACCGCTAGACTACCCGACCGCCCCACGATGTCATGAATCAATTAGGACATAAACCAACAGTGTTTTGAAATTTTATGCAGTCCCCCTGTAGAGTAGATACCTCTTATTTTAATTTGGAACCGAGCGCATTAGCAGCGCGTAATTACACAGGGTACAAAGGTTCTCTATCTCTGAACATTCTGAAAAGGGATAACAGGTAGTTGTATATGCAACAAATATTACTAAAGTTCATACCCATAGTCTTCTCGAGTTCAAAATAAGTGTTCAAAACACTTAGTTTTTCACAAGGAAGTTGACAAATAACGCTCCTAACGTAGCCCAAACATATCTGTTATAATTTCATCGCAACCTGCTTCACACTCTTTGGACTCATCAAGTCATTTCTTGGAAATGGAATATATTTCCCTTTGCAGAGGTAATGCTTATCTCTAACAAACGTTTTTAATCAACATTCTACTTAGTATTTTAAATATTAGCCTTATTAGTTAGTTGGCAATTACTCCCGGTAAATAATACAAGTTCAAAATACATGCCTCTCCTTCCTAAACAGGGATGTGGCAGAACTTGACCTACATCACGGATACTCACACCTCACAACTGTCAATGGCTGCCAATGTTGTTGTTTACATTCTCCGTGCCTCAGACAAGTAACGCAAAGCAAGATGACAACCTTGATCTATGATGTGGTTCAACATTAACCTGTAGACTTGCTGGGAACGAGCCTGCTTGTACAATATGTATATCAACGGATCTGGAGTGTGACTGAACAGCAGTATGATTTTTAGGCTGCAGACAAGCGGGCTATTTAGACAGGGGGAATCTGATTTGCCCTTTCAATTTCAAGATTTCAAGTATTCAACGTAGGCGTGTAAATAAACGAATGATGTGATAGTTGTTTCGTGTTTCGTGTATGATTTGCTAAATAGTGCGTGTTCTGAAATTAATTTCACAAAGTTTGATAAGTTGTTATGATAAAGTCCCTGTGCTGTGTGTTCAGTGATATCGGGACATTCTTTTCATGGCCTTTCGAAGGGAGGAGTGTTTTCTTGTGGGCTTTCAAATCCCCTCTTGCCTAATTCTTACGGTGGTGGTTGACAGAGATGGCAATGAATATCGATCTCAGAAAGGTTTGCAAACAACATGTTGTCATGAGTTGACTACTTTTAAACACTATTTTATAATGTTATGTTTTACTTTCATTGTTGGTTGTTTCAATGACGAAGTTGCCTGTTACTTGTCCCTAACTGAACCATAAACATTTCATTTGTATGCAAAATGTTTCCCTTGGTAAAGTCTTGTAATCCCATCATTGAAACAGTCAGGGTTACCGCCCCGAACATCATATCGTCGCCGAAAACATACGAAATAAAACAATCCTATTTCCTCTTAAAGACACGAGGCCGTCTATTAATTTCACTTGTATTAGGCTTAGTGTGTAATAGAAATAATATCGGTACGTTTTAGTTCCTATGGGTGATAGATCGGCACCCATTTTCTTATGAATCGAAATACGTTATCGGTGTATTCATACGCACGTTTTTTTACGTGAAAAAGTTTAATATATTTAAAAGGTGTTTCCGTTGCAAAATGGAAACATCTTTTTAACCAGTCAGAATCAAACATTCTTCTATGTCATGGGAGGATGTTGTTTGTTCAGTTGTATTCAAGAACAGAGATGTAAGTGCGCACACAGCAGGGAGAAGCTAGAACCGAAAGAGGGTTTAACTGCTTACTATACATACACGTGTATAACATGTCCCATAGTATTGACACGTGTATATCATGTAGCACAGTATGTGACACATGTATAACATGTTCCATAGTACTGACACATGTATGTCATGTAGTAGAATATCTGACACGTGTATGACATGTTCCATGGTACTGATACGTGTACGTCATGTAGCATAGAGTGTGACGTGTATATACCATGTTCCATGGTACTGACACGTGTACCTCACGTAGTAGAGTATGTGACACGTGTACAACATGTTCCTTAGTACTGACACATGTACGTCATGTAGCATAGTATGTGACACGTGTATAACATGTTCCTGGCACTGACACGTGTAAGTCATGTAGCATAGAATGTGACACGTGTATAACATGTTCAATAGTACTGACACGTGTACGTCATGTAGTAGAGTATGTGAATGTGAATATCAAATTACTCGGATAATATCAATCTGTCCACCACTACACATGTCAATATGTCATTATGCACTTCATATGATATATACTCCTTTAAATCCTCCCGATCACAACGTGGTATAATGAGAGTGTCCATATATACGAAAGAACAAGGGTCCGATTCCATATGAACCGACAAATCCAATACCGTTTTTGATTTCTCTGAAGAAATGTCCTAAATTTAAGGCCATGGGAATTTTTATGTACATGAACATACTATTTATAAAAGTTATCCGAAGTATCTACACTTGACGTACATTTCAAATGTATTGTTACCTCTGAAACTGAAAGTATGAATGTCCATATCATTAGTATGGTTTATAAATGATAAACAATTACTTTTGTTACTGAGTGCAGTAGGTTTAGGTCATTCACTATACGGAGTTTAGGCAAACATAAGATTAAGATTGAATTGCTTAATAGATTGATCGTTTGTCGTTCAGGCCACGCTCATCCTGGTGAAGCAGCCAATACCTACATGGCAACGTCACGACAAAATAATAGGTTTTCCATCTAGGTTCATAAACGGAAGTGAACGAGCAACTCTGTGTGGGATAGTGTGATTTCCCCTTCCCATTAACACGCCTATCACTTATCATTAAAATAATATTTAAAATATTTGTTGGGGTTCTTGGCTCTTGGCACAATTATGTATAAACATTTTATTCTATTTAAAAAAGTAAACAACAGGTACTTTGATGCTTAAGCTTGAAAATACACGACAACAAATGTGCTATGTATAGAAAAGTAGTCACTTATCAACCATTACTCACCTACCTTTGCCGACAGAAAGTAAAAATACGTGGAAATAACAAAGTTGCTTTCGTCATTTATCAAGAATGGGACACAAATAGTTGCAGCTACATGTATAACACGCAGAGGTATAACATTACCCTTTCAGCCCAGTTAGGTGTACCCCCGGTAATGTAATATCTGCACCTGTACAAGGAGCCGTAAACCTGTTGTCATGTAACGAGGTGAGTGGTCGTGTTGGTGGAGGACTCAGTCCCAATGGCGTATCCTGGTGTTAAATCTCCCATGTCTCTTTAGTAAAACGGGTGCACCGTGTAATATGTACGTTCAGCAACTACCGCGATAATATGTGAACTTTGTGAATAGGCCATGTGTTTCTCGTGACCAAGTCTTCTCGGCCGTGTCACATTACATGTTGTAGAGTTACATGAGAGACAATCAAAATCATGGTTTTGCATTCATTTATTCGTTAGGGATAACGTACTTGAGAAGAGCAACAACATTCTTAACAAACAGAGAAAGCGAAATTAAATATCCTGTTGAAATAGTCATCTCAAATGAAACCATGTCGTATCTCTAAGCTCTAAGCTCCCGATATTTCGAATTGTTTTTGTTGCTTCGGTTATTTTCCTCGTTATTTCGATTATTTTCTCGCTGCGTGGATTTTTTCTCGTTATTTCAAGTTTGTTTCAAAAACTTGATATTTCGTTGTTTTTTCTTGGTTTTTCTCGTTACCCCGATTATTTTCTCGTAATTTCGCTTATCTGTCTATTTATATTTATTTAAAAAACTCGAAATTTCGAGAAAATAATTGAAATAACGAGAATATTTTATTTTATAACAAAAAAATAATGCTACCAAAGTGGCACCATTAGGCTTTCATATAATACAGCATTATTTCATATTATACTTATCTGCCCAAACCTCGATGAGATTCATTGTTCATAGTAATGACACATGTATTAAAAGCATAACATAAAACAAATGCATGAAATATAAAGCACGTGTTCAGATGGTAGACTTTCCCATGGATTCATAAAATAAACTGTGAGGATCAAACAGTTCTCAAGCTAAATCAAGCAGCGTTTATCTTTAGTATTATTTGCTGTTATAGGTTAGTTTCGAGGGGAGAGGGGCTAAATATACCTTATTTTACTCCATTGTAATAGATCTGAATCCCCAAACACTGACGAGTTCACGCTTCAACAAGTGTGCCACTCCAAGGCAGCCGAGATCGTCTAGCGCGTCTCGCAGCGCCATTCTGTATATTGCTTGGCATGTACTGTATACTGCGCTTGATATACAGTGTACTGCACTTGATACTGGGTTTTTACATCATTGCGATGGATACCATGCTGTTTATGGCATATAATGATCTCCTTACCTTAACTATCAAGTTGAGCCGGTATTCTCCACGTTTTGAAACTTCCCTCTTGACTTCGAATATGGATATTAATAGAGACAGCTCATCTCCAACACGACACTAAAAATAGAAACGGCTTTTACGTTGCGCTTTCCATTTTGAAATCTTAAAATGTTGGATGAAAAGGTCCAAGCCAGCTTTGTGTAACAGTAAAGTAGGTACATTTAAATCTCTGATCATTCATACTGCCATCAAACACATCCTATTTCCACAATATCAAACACATATATGTCGTAATCAACTCAAGTTATCAACAATGTCAGCTTAAACTTGTAATGGCTGACGAAACTAAAACAGGGCAAATATATTATTGCCCCCATTGCTGAAGCTGTGTAAGGTGTACCCGAGTTAGAAAAGGCCTTCAGCAACCTATGCTTGTCGTAAAACACAACGGTGACTGTCGTAAGAGGCGACAAGTGATCAGGCTCGCTGACTAGGTTGATGCGTAGATCAATGCTCATGATGTCAATCACTGGCTTGCCTGGTTCAGACTCGATTATTTTAAGACCGCCGTCATATAGCTGGAATATTGCTGAGTGCGGCGTTCACCAACCAGACAAAAAACAACTGCAATGCTGATCATTAATTATAATATTTATAAAGGATGGTCGCACATCTATGTGCCCATGAAATGACACACACCCCATGCAACAAATCAAAATGTGCGCGATCAACTCCAAATTGGTCGGTCTACCAATGTGGACAACAAGCCTGTGACAACAATGTGAGATTGACTACCCATCCAGTGAGCCTATTCATGTACAAAAACGTGTGAACAGGTAGCTTGCTTCACAATATACAATGTTATCATTGGGGAAAGCATAATCTAGGGGGGAACATCAACATGTTTCACGGAGTGACACTGGTTCACCTTCCCCGGGTTTTTTTCCAATGCGTTTTTGTGTGTGACAGAAGCAGTTATTGTCTTCACTGCTTTCAGTATCGCCATCTACTGGTATGTTAACAAGTATTGTACGTTAAGCAGGGTTTGCTAGATAGACTGGTTAATAATAAACCATAGCAGTGAGATAAATCAAATGCGTTCACTCTTTCATACGTCTTGGATAAAATCATCTTAATCCCTTCCTAAAATCATGAAATGATATCAGCCAAAAGCAGAGTTGATTGTAGGATTCCGAGTATGTCATAAACACTACCAAATTGTGGTGACACGAGGTGTTCGTGAAGCGTACCAATCATCTTAAATCATGTACTTAATCTATGTGGGATGACGAAAATACAGACGATGTCTTGTACGGTTGGACTTCATATCTTCAATATTCTAGTCTTAAACCTGTTCAGACATATTCCAGCATTAATGTTACAAAGTTATGTTTATCCCTGTATGTCAGTATTTTCACTAACACACCTCGATTTACTTAAATGTTTAATTGATCAGACATGCAAAAGACTCTGGTGAAACCCTCGACCCTCGACGTTCAACCCAAATGAACTAATAGCTGAGATGTTTAACAAGTGAGACAGTTCATGAAGGTCACGAGAGCAACGTCTTCAATTCTGCACTGTAATTTGTCACATTAGAAGTGCTGTGCAGACCAATGCAACTGTATTTGATCGTCAATAAACCCTTTTTGCGTTATAGTTATTATCAGAAAAGTACCAGCAAGACCAATGCGAGGTGACCAAAAATATGAACTCCTCGTCACGTAATTGGCTTCATGTTGTGTTCTTGTGTTCAATATAACCTTTATTTCTGTCTTTCAAAAAAGATTCCAGGTAAAATAAATACTTATACCAAACCATAAGTCGATTTTATATCTGGATACCCACTTCGTGCTATAAATACTCCATTAAATAAATGTTTCTCCGATCACAACGTGGAATAAAGAGATTGTTCATATCAATGAAAAAACAAGGGTCCTATTGCAGGTAAACTGACAAATGCAATATTTGATTTCTCTGAAGAAAAATCCAAACTGTAAGATACGGATATTGTTATTAATACACATGGTCATAATATTTATACACGTTTTCCCAAGTATCTTCACTTGACTTACATTTTAAATGTGATATTACCGATTAAAACTGAAAAGTATGAATGTCCACCTTATTTCTATGATTTAGAAATGAATAACAAGTGATTTTCTTATGCGTGTGTTACGTTTAGGTTATTCTCCGTGTCGAGTTCACCCTATCAAACGACTGAGATCAAATTGCTTAATAGATTTGATTGTTTGTGGGTTTTTTGACAGACCACCCTTATCCTGGAAAAGCTGTCAATACGTACTTGGCAAAGTCACAAGACTGCAGGTTTTCCTTCCAGTCTGGTCAAAAATCCCCAACACGAAAGTGAGCGAGTAACCCTGCATGAAAAAGTGTGATTTCATCTACCACTTAACGCCTAGTAATACCGTATATATACAGATAGAAATCTAGACTTCATCAATATTATTCAGTAAACATTGTTTATAGTCGCTTATTATCACCTGTCACGAAGTGGAAGGGTGATATAGGATTGGGTGCTGTCTGTCCGATCTTCCGTCACGTTTCGTTTCCGGAACAGAACTAAAAAACATAAGATATATCTTAACCATACCTGACACATAGATAGGTCTAGTGGTGAACTGGTGCCTTTTGATAGTTTGGGATTTTAAAAAAAATGTATTTTTCGAGTTTTCATGACAACGACTTTGACTTATGCGTGTTTCATGCTTAATACACGACAACAAATAAGACATTTATGCATCATTTACCATGCATAACTAGCTGATGGCGTCATTCTTCGGGAAAGGACCATTCTTCGGGAATGGGATAAATATAGATCCAGCCAGACATAGAGGTATAACATCTCACTTTCCGACGGTGGAATATTGTGTAACATCTGCTGTATATTATATACACACCTGTACAAGTAGCGTGAACCTATTTTCATGTCACGAGGTAAGTCGCCTTCTTGGTATCGTACCCTTTGGAGTATTGTGATGTTAAATCCGCGTTTACCCCAATAATGAGTATGCTAATGTCTGTCTGCTGTTATCATTCATTGACTCAAAAGAACAGAATAACGTTTCAAATATTTAAGACTTGAACCGGGATTCATCCTTTTGAGTAAAACGTAGTACTATATACGTTCAGCAGCTAACGCTATAATAACGTGGAGCTTCTCGAATAGGTGGGTCATCCATTATTCAGAACCAAGTCTCTTCTCGGAAATACACAACGCAACAAAGGCGTCATCGAATACGTGCAGGTCCCTTTGAATCTATACATAACAACGGCAAGCATCAGGCTGTATTGTCATCAAGGAATAATGGTGTGGCGTAATGTGGTTATAATTAAGTTAGATTTGTAGACCCTCTTCACAACTATAATTATTTCAGTCAACTCATGATTCGATTTGTTAACTGAACTATAAGGTGGGCATTTATGCGTGAAAGCAAATATACAGAATTCTCATATATGTGCCGGTTGTGATGCATCATCTACGATGATTTCAAATGTTTCTAAGTTGTTTGATCATGTTTGATCAGGGTTTCAGGCTCAAGGCCTTCGTGAAGCTTTCAAAACGACATGTAAGGGGATTTCCGAATTTAACGTTTCTGTGACCAAACTGAAGTCCGATGCAATTCCCTATTTTGATGTGTACCGTATGTTCCTCCTCGGTACAAATATGCACAATATTTACAAAATAAACCCAAAACATTCATGCATTATTCATCATGTCATTTCAAATAGCATCGTACACTAAAATGATCACCATTTCATACCATGCAATTTAAAGTTTCCAGTCAATTACTTTTACACCTTTAGTATTATCTTTCTCAGGCAACATAAAAGGGCAACAGGGATTGTGAGCAGCAATATACATGTGTTGTGGTAAATTGTGGGGGTGGCGGGTAGTACCGGTAGAGTAGGACCTGATTACCCTTTCCGCGAACACACGGCGTCATCATTGATTTTGCCTGTTACTCTCAAGTGAATCTGTTTCGGCAAATAACCGAGATTGATTATTCTCTGGGGTTGATGTTTTTTATTTATGTGTTATAACTTATCCTCCTGATTTTTCATTCTGGTAAGCATAGTTATTAAAATGGTTATGATATTCGAAAAGGAACCTGTCATTACCTTGTAAAATTAGAAAATATTTCGAAAATGAAGGGATTTTTTAAAGGTTTCATTGCGTTCACAAACTTCCGTTCATATAACCGTTCCACACATCTGCTAAGAAGTTAATACAATTTGGCCCATGTGATTTAAGGTGTATATCACACGGCGTATGTAACAGGAAACAGTTACATATTCTATTTTACTGGAGGAAAATGCAATATCTCTATTGTTTTAGAGATGAAATACTATATTTGTCTGAAAGTGTCAAATTGATATTTCACTGAATGAAGGGACACTTTAAGCTGGAACTACTTTCAGTCTGATTTAATGCCACTGTGGTCCTCAGACTAAGATCAGTCAAAAACTACACAGAGTAGACAAAAACGTATGGATAACAACCTCAGTGTTATACTGTAATGGCGACGTTTCGGTCCATATGTACATCCTGGATTCTGGTAGATTTGCACTTATGTAATAGCTTAAGATTAAACCAACATGTATCAAGTAACTACACAAAGGATAGAACATCTGGTGTTTCTGTGAATGCATTATCATCTCATTACTCAGTGCAACAATTCCAAACTGACTCTGCGGGTTGAAATACTATATAACCTAAACTCTAAATCGTCTCTCTCTCTCTCTCTCTTACTATATAACCTAAACTCTAAATCCTCTCTCTCTAGTACTGCGCTTGAACAGAATCAGAAAAAAGCCTTTCTCACAGCAATTTACGTTATTTTATTTGAAACATAAATAATATTGTATACCTACTTATTCGATAGAGAATAAACGACAGAAACAATACTCTTTGTGGTGATAATACAGCATTCTCAATTACCTTTAACGCGCATTAATACAATGCGAAAGCACAGCGTATGTCCTCGTCGACTTGAATCAATGACGAAGTATGAAATCAAATTTATTCTTCTACATCTCGTATAAATCTTAACGTTTTGAACCGTTGGCCATTTGAAATCAACTGTTTTCAGTCTAATGATTTAAATGTTTACGACACTTATGCTATAGTTCAAGCTTCCAAGTAAACGATGACTTTGTATATCGAAAAAATAATATGTCATAGGAGAAGGTTGTAAATATCAGTCAGGATAAGATAGGACGCCTAGGGACAAGTGTCCCTCTGTTGCGCAATATCAGTACGGGGCGTGCCGGCGAATGAGGTCCATGATTGTGATCAGTGCGGCTGTATTGGTTCATAATAACAAACATTTTAAGGCTGCAAGCGCTCAATATAACGGCTGCCAAACCAATTTATTATTGTCGCTTGTGCAATAGTAATACTCATATTAAGCCATCTAAATGTCTGCCACAGTATTACTGGACCCAATAAAGGTAAGACATCGTATGGTTATTTTCTTTTATACCAAGCGTCAGATGAAGGCCTACATCGTACATGTATGTGAGCTTTTGTTTGGTTTATGTATTTTGCTATAAGTAACAGCCAAGTAAATCGTGAGCGAGAAAAAACGTTGTTTCAGTCATTAAGCGATGATCACATAAATAAAAGACTGTAAGATAGGTGTCTTGGTCTCGGCCTCCTGGACAACACATGAATAATCATATGTAAGTAGGCCAAGGTTGCAGTCAGGGAAAGATACCGAGAACCTCTTTCTAAGATGACCTGCACATTGTACAGCTATTACTGGTATTGATGCAAAATATAGTAATGCGTTATTAAGGTTATTAAATATTATTTCTGATAAAATCCAATTTCACGTAAATGCACTTACATATCAAACACATAAAGATCAATATGTAAATTATAACTATACAATTCTAAAACAGGAATGTATTAAAACGAAGTGTATTATTACACCAAAAACTTGCGTTGTTATTCTTCAATTCATTTTTTTATCCCCAGTGGAGATTTCGGTTTAGAATAGGTCCCCAGAGGCGACCAAGCAACAATAAAACAAAACTTTGAATGTCATGTTTACAAATAAACCTTTGACAACATACAGGATTGTTTTTTTTATACATTAGCTTATGAGCAACTGTTATCAATCATTAATGTGTGTCGTGACTTCAAAAAAACACTAAGTATAGCATTTTAATTTTCTTAATAGTGTTTTGATAGTCATATTCATATAGCAGTTGTTATGTGAATATCACTGAATATAGTTAGGATGGTGTTCTGTAACAATATGTCACGGAACAACGAGCACTGATCATTCATGGAGAATACAAAGAATTTACGCAACCATATTACAAAATCAGAAAAAAATATAATATTATATATATATAGAAATATAATATTCAAAGCAATTGCGGAAAAAACATTCAAATAATATGTGGAAATCGCCTCGGAGAATTCCAAAGACAAGCGAGAGATTGAAGCTTTACAAACAAAAGCCACCTTCGTGCTTCTGTCATAAGGATGATGTGCGCTTGAGAACTAAACCAACAACGCTATATTCATTTTCAATCAGGATGGCATAAAGTTTTGTATCTACAAAGCAGCTGAGATATTCTTTTTTACATTTTATCGATGAGCAAACAGGATGTACTTCTTTATAAGGCAATGGTATGATCAATGATTCGTCAATTACAATTAACAGACCTAAAACCAAAGGGTTAAATAATATAGAGTGTTTATGTTGTCAGACTAGAAGGGAGATACGTCTGAACTTGTCGTACAATTGAACTATAAATTATACATAATAAATAAATATAAGTTGGAAGTTCGTTGATTACATGAGAAATAAACGATGAGTGAGAGTTGTTTATCGTACAATTAAACACTGCACGGAGAATCAACCACGAGCGCCGCAGCCCCGAGTGAATTATTTTCCCTGCAGTGTTGTATTGCGTGATAAAGAACGATCACGAGTCGATTATTTCTGATATGTGATATCAATAATATTTACAACCTCTTTAAGAAGTTAAAACGTACAAGCGTTAAAAATATTTACATGCATTTAGATAAATTAATGCTGACTGCCTGAATAGAATCCGACCTCGGTAATTTCGGACAGTCCATTTTACGAAAAGGTGGGTTAAGTTCCCGCATATTCTCACAACCCTTACGTCGATTATCTGTACCTTTTCTCCTTATGCATATACCGAATGTCATATCTCTCCCACTTTTGGGTGCGATCGTTCGGGCACTGCGTTTATCAGCTTAGCCCAGCTACATCTATGAGGAACAACAGTTCCCTCTAAATAATAACCTCGTCCAATTTGTGAGGTCAACAAGTTGCCGTGAAATAAACCACGTCTGTTATTCATTGTTCTTTGCTATTTAGGATGTAGTAATCTCATATTCAAAATAATCGAAACTATATTCAAACTAGAATTAAGTACAGCAAAGAATTGGAAATGCTTTATTACAGAGAATGTTGTGAATGGTGTTAATCACCTGGAAACGTATACTAAGTGATCACAAACATACCCTTAACGCCCGTCGGTATTGCCACCATATGATCGCTACATAGGTATAATGTGTAAACTATAATGGTTGAAAAACTCTGTTCCAACATCTAAATATAGACACGGGTTTTCCCAACTACGAGTTGTCTGTATTTCAAACAAACCTACTTGTTGTCGCTATATAAGAATAATATCCAAATATGTCGCATAAGCAAACAGTGAATCAATATTCACAGAGGACGTATGATTCCGAACGCTTAAACTGCCTTCGAAAGAAGACAAATTTTAGTATCCCACAATATAGGCTACTTGGGCCGATATTGCTCTTAAGGAATTGTACAAACTCAATCGCACCATTGAGTTGTCAATACTCTTTCAAACCTTTAACATCGATATCTGAGTAAAATCCACATTAAAAGCATTAACACTAAAGCTAGAGAATTAATAGTAACTTTCAAAATGTTATAATTATCCACCATAACATGTATATGCACTTCATGAAAATATCAGCTCATATATTACATATTATACAAACTTGTCAATGTTTTAAACATACCTAAAGCCGCTGATACAGTATTTCCCACGTGCCGTCCGCTATGAGTCGCACGTCACACTGTGACAGTGAAAATAAATACAGACACAATACAGTGACGTCACAACAGACGGTATTGCGCAGTCACTGCGGAGATATATCCCTTCGAGATAGGTAACGGTTCAACAAGGAAGTTATTCACAGCAAATACCGAATTTAAAATAATGACTTCTGTAAAACAGAAGCTTTTCCAAGTTTTCATATATTTTATTAGACTTACTGTGTTATCTGAAAGAAAATATAGATTTGTTCACACACATTTAACAAAACACGTTATGCGGAACTGCTAAAATGGATCCAGGCCTGTAGTTTTCAGAATGAGTACACCGTACAATTTGTATTCCACTTCCCTTTTCAATTACATGGGAAGGATTTTATATATATATATTGGATATAGTGTTCTCCAAGACATTGTAGGATTTTCTTACTTTGTATGTCAGATCCCAGGAACAACAGCATGTATCCTTGCGCTCCAACTGTAATGCATTTACCTCACGAATCAAGCCGCGTCTGTTGTCCTCCCTGATAGGGTCCCTGTAATAGCCAAGGGACAAGGAGTGGCCTCCATGTGATAACTCATCAACTTTTGTACATTTTAGTATATGAGGGAACCCCCATTGTGACCAGCAGCCACACTGCTGAAAAAACTTGGATTAAATATATGTTTACTGAATATTACAAGTCATGTTAATATTTCTTCTTTGTTGACGAATACCTCACAACCTGTCTGTAATCTATGACACAATGTATAATTACTAATAACGTAATGTTTGAGAGATACATGTCCTCTGTTACTGTGTAGGTCATACGTCAGTGGCTATTCTCAACAACAACATTTATGTTTCTTTTGTTTGGGGCATGTCATTCTCTTGTGCTATGGTTTCGAATTCACTCGCTGATACAACAGCCTATATTATAATGGGTGCAACGATAGAATACACTTACATACGATTACAAGACTCATTGTCAGTGATTTAACACTGGCCTATGATACATGCTGATATGACTGCAGGTATAAGGTAACGCTGTGCCCGACATGAATTTGAAAAATAACTAGGTCACCCGTTTCGGAGAAATCTACCTCTCCCGGGAATCTGACACGTGTCCACGTAATCCTGTACATGCGCAAACTGTACTTCCTATTTTGCAGGGAAAATATGCATACTTCATCATATGAATCTATATATAATGATTATGGTCACGCGTTATATTAAGGTAAGACATATTGTGAACTGTTATTTTTTTTATCAAAGTTTTAACACTTTTCTTGCTTTGAATACCATTTATACCACAAGTAATTATTTTAAGTAGCTATTCCAGGTGGAGCATTGTTCTGGCAACATATCCTGACATATGGCACATATATTCCCTTGACCATTAACGCCCAAACTCAGCCCAAAACAGAACCCCATGCCTCTATCCCAGCCCCAAATCCCAGCTCCCAAGCACACATCAAAACCCTAAACACAAACACAAATTGCCAACGCATGCTAATCCCCAGCTAAGAAGTTATCATGGTCGGGTGGTTTAATACTTATTCATACAATTATTTCTTTTCTCCAGACAAAATGAATTGGGATGGACACGAGGGTTTGTTACCAACAACATTTCTGTTTGTTGCGTATGTTTTTCTCCTGATACACCAAGGTAAGTTAGTTAACGCCTTTAACGTGAACAATGTCAATCACTGGAAACTTTTTATTCACACCCATAAGCACAAGATTAGCTTGTTGATAGCTTGTTTGAGTTATGGTATGAGGACCATCGTTTCTTCGCTTTTCCTTTCTTAAACATTTGCCCGTGGAAATACTCCAATTGCAATAAATTATCTATTTCGCTTATTTTCCATGTGAAAAACGATGATCAACGCTTGGATATTTATTGGAAGGTATTTGAAACTACAGCTCACTCTATGTAAGGATATTTCAAAGTTTTGATTAGGCAGACTGCATTTCTGTCTGTAATATCTTTGTCCTTCACAACATTTTACATTTACCAGTACTAGTTGTTGGTTTATGTTTGTTGTTTGACACCGCGCTCAGCAATATTTCAGCCATATGACGGTGGTCTGTCCACCCGAACCCGTTAGTCGCCTCTTACGACAAGCAAGGTCGCTTTTTACGGCAATAATGGGTTGCTGAAGACCTATTCTAAGCCGGATCTTCATGGGTCTTACCAGCACTAAGTTCATTATTGATCAAAAGTCAAGTTGATAAAAATAGCTTCCACCATGTCGTATTTTGATGTGTATGTGCTGTCGTATTTGCAGGTGACACCACATGCGTGTACAAAACTCGCCGACTCTTGAAGGATGGCTGTGTGAACTACTGTCCCGAGGACCAATGTCCCGAGGAATGTACCTACTGTGACAGCGGCTTCTATGGGTCTGACTGTACACGGAGCTGCAGAGGACACTGTTTGAATGGAAGGTGTGCCCTCCTGGCCAATGGTAGAGCCGTCAACTGTACGGAGGGCTGTGTGGAGGGGTGGCGGGGGTTAACGTGTAGTACCAGATGTAAGTATCCTTGTCGGGAGTGTGGGAGATACACTGGTGATTGTGTGGGACAATGCAGGGATGGTTTCTACGGACCTGGATGCTTACAGCGATGTCCATATACCTGTTCCCGATGTGACAAAAATAGTGGAGTATGTTTGCCTAACACTTCTGCTGATGCAGACCTATCGCCGATAAAACACAAAATGACATTAAGCCTGACAAATGGTAGTGACATTAACAAGACTCACAGCAGTCACGTGAACAAGACACACAGCAGTCACAAAGCGGGTAAGGGGCTTTCACGAACCCTCCAAACTGATTAAAAGTTAAAAATGATAAAAATAGTTTAACACACACATATCAAAAAATATTTTTTAATCCACAGTTCCTTGTTCCTCATTGTTTACGTTTGTAATACATAACTGGTTGATTGTTTAACGCCGCACTCAGTAATATTCCAGCTATATGACAGCGGTCTGTAAATGATCGAGTCTGGACCAGACAATCCAGTGATTGACATCATGAGCATCGATCCACGTAATTGGGACACGATGACATGCATCACCTGCCCACCCGATCCCCTTAGTCGCCGCTTACGACAAGCATAGTCGCCTTTTACAGCAAGCATTGGTCCACATCAACGTGTATCAACATACTAAATTTCAACAAAAGCAATGTGTGAGTACAATGGGTTTTTTTCTGTTTTAGAGTTACATCAACACTCTGCAATGACGTCAAGACCCCTTGGTGACAGATGGTCAATATCCCCATATTTCCTCACTGGCGTTGCTGTATTATCTGCAGTAATTACTTTCATTATCGTCAGCATCGCCATCACCAGGTATGTCTTCATCACACAATACTGGCTATGCAGCGATAACTATCAATAACTTCCTTTCATTGCGTTCAACATATCACATACATGATGAGAACAACTCTGTTAGAAAAAGAAATACAAACACACGCAGAGTCAAATGAAATTAATTAACATACAATCATGCTGGAGTCAATGTGTAACATCAGACAATTTGTAAATCTCATCAGCACAGACTGTTAAACGGTATGAGTCATCATCTTTCCTGCCCAGGATGACAGCCATGATGTTTCGAGGTTCACCTTTTCCGCGGTCTGCTAAAGGAATGGGAACAGTCACTGTGTCTTTGTCGCCAGGGTTGACCAGCTGTTGTCCTCTTGCGGTTCCCTAGAATGTCTCAAGTTGACCAACTGTTGTCCTCTTGCGGTTCCCTAGAATGTCTCAAGTTGACCAACTGTTGTCCTCTTGCGGTTCCCTAGAATGTCTCAAGTTGACCAACTGTTGTCCTCTTGCGGTTCCCTAGAATGTCTCAAGTTGACCAACTGTTGTCCTCCTGCGGTTTCCTTGAATGTCTCAAGTTGACCAACTGTTGTCCTCTTGCGGTTCCCTAGAATGTTATCATGTACCACTTGGATCTAGTTATTCGGAGTCCATAATGTTGCATATTATATAATATATATATATAATATTTCGTCAAATATTCTGCCTGATATTTCAGTCAATTTACAAAATGACTGATTTTACAATATACATATTCATGTCATCTTTGTGTTTTAGCTTGTGTTTCGTGACATTCCAAGATGATATTGAAGCTAAACATACAATGGGTGTAGCTTGTGAGACGGATGATGAAAATAATCATGCTCTATTTTTCAGGATGAAAGCAACAAGAATGCAATCGAAGACGGGAGCAGTTGAGAAGCGTGAAGAGTCTAATCGGCTCCTCAATGAGAAAGTCAACGTTATTATAAGTAATGTATTTTCGTGAATCTGTATTAACTGACATAGGATGAAACAGACACATACGCGAGTACAATATCGTGCACCAAAAGTGTATTGAAAGTCAGTAGGGCGTGACAGGTTTTAAATAACTGCTTTCAAAAAGTTAAATGTTCAATAATAACTTGCTTCTAAAAATGGAAGTAAAAATGTATTTCAATGATTTAACAACTACTCAAAGACTTTTGAAAAACTGTGGAAAACTACCACTAGGTGAAGTTCTTTCATTCACAAGGGAGCAAGTGATCCTCAAACGTATCAATAACCATTAAAACATGTGACCCACCAGGAGAAAAGGGACCTTATGGGTGCTAGGATACAAGTGTGCAGTGACGTCATAAAGAAAGACGGGATACGATTAGGATACGATGACATGCATCAACCAAGACAGCGAGCCTGACCACCCGATACCGTTAGTCGCCTCTTAAGACATACGTGTGCGCAGCCTGAAAAGGCTACGCTAGGTAATTACGCAGTGTTGTTAGAATATTGGATTTTTGAAATTCGTCATGCCTATTTTTACGTCAAGGAGTAGAATGACCGGATATTTATATTTAAAGTCAGGAGAAAGGGTAGAGTTGCCTCCCTTTTATGATACCAGCTAACAAAGAAAGTAATGCGAATGAATAATGTTTAGAATGTGTTGTTGAAGATGGTGTAATACGTCATCGTTTATTGACAACACAATTTAAATATTAATTGATCTCCATATAACGGGTTATTTTTCTTTAATTATTTTACTGAAACAGTACATCATAATTTGTCTAAACCTTTCTGTCAGTTGACTTTGATTTAAGAAACTGATGAGAGTTAAATTAAAGGCTAAGGCAGTTTAACATTTCCGTTTGTTGACATTCGCTGCGGTTTGTTTTCTTTGGTTGAAAATACATAATGCTATTGAACAGTAAATGACAAAACAGTATACAGTCTCCTAGAAGATGTATTTTGGGGTTTGTTTTTATATTCTAGACATGTAAATTCTGTAGAACTAGAGATAAAGATATAAAGGTAGGCAAAGCATTCTTCAACAATCGATACCTGTGCTGTGTGTGACAGATTCCTTTGTTTGAAGAGTTTATTGATGAATGCCCCGGCGGTGGCCCGAGTTCGAGTAGGTCATTGAATCATCCAACTGATCATAAGAGGCGAGTAAATTGCTTCGGGTGGTTACGCTTGGTGATATCTTATCATAGTACCTGTCATTCTGAATGTCTCTCCTGTTGTTGATTATCATTCTTTGAATATATGCGTCCACAATGTTGGATTTTCCGGAACCTGGCTTATCCAGACTAAAACAAAACGTAGCACTGAAGAAGCATTTTTTAGGCACAAGAGGTCCCAGTTGCTCTGCCGCCAAGATAATAAACGGAAAAGACGCTAGACAGAACAAACTGTTTGCAGTGCATACTTGAACAGATAAAGAATTGTATGTATTTTGTTCTCTGTGTGTCCGTGTCGTGTCCTCATATATAACTTGATCCCGTCCAATTTTTTGTTGTTTTTAAGCCAATTAGTTTTCAAGCTTGTTATGTATTCCCGTTTTTGCAGACCCTTTACAATAATTAGAGTATCAACTTTGATAGGCCTTTAGACGTAAGATGACAACATGGACAACAGTATGGACAACAACCTCTTTGGTATACATACAGGTTTGACAGAGTGGGAGAGCATGACATTTATACACAAACATACAATATTAATATCATGTTTATTATCTCATTTAAACTCTTGTGTAAAAACATCACCTTGTATCCACTCACCTATAACTTGTCAAGTCCATGTCGAATAAAGGTCAAGGTCTCGATTAAACGCCGGAAGTTAACGCTGGGTAGTTTTTATGCACAGAATTCTCCCCATTATTAGTTTGTGATTAAACGTCGGTGATAAAGAGTGTCTTAAAGGAATATACGCCCGGGCGTTTGTTCAAAACGGTACGGGGGCACGGGTGGCCCAGTCGTCTAAGGCGCCGCGATTCGCTGTGCAGAGTTGCGTCCCTTGGGCACGCCAGAAACCTATGATTGTGGGTTCGAATCCCGGTTTGCCCCAATTATGTTTCTAGGTTTGTCAGCACCATACCCGTGCTCGTGGGTTTCACCGAAGTGGTAAACGTCTGAGACCTGCATCACTTCGGGCTTTCCTCCCACATTAAGCTGACACGCCGTGATATAACTGGAAAACTGTTAAAAGCGGCGTTAAACACAACTCACTCACTCAAAACGGTACTCCTTTGTTAATCTACACCAACCTTCATGAAATTTGCGCGATATTTGCAACAGTATGGAGGGTTTGAAGAACATATTACTCCTTTTAATGATTACAATATTAATCGCTACTGAGTATTGTTTTGCGCCGCTTTTAACAATTTTCCATCACCATCACCACGGGGAACAACAGAAACAGTCTTCACACATTGTACCAATGTGGGAAAGGAACCCGGGTCTTCGGCCTGACGAGCGAACGCTTTAACCACTAGGCTACCACCCGTGCCTGGTATAAAGAAAGGTGCCAGTAGTATATATTCACTTTTCCTCATTCAACTCTCTACATTTCATACAATTTACCATATTAAACTACATGCTGTAGTCAATTTTAGCTTGTTACCGTTTCAGTATAATAAAATCATGCATGTGTTACACAATAAATGTGTCTGCAAAATGTGGTTTTGTTTTAATGAAAAATGCCAAAAGGCTCCAGGGGGAGTCGAACCCTCGACCTTCTGCTTACTAGCCAGACGCTCTAACCAACTGAGCTATAGAGCCGCGACGTTCGACAAGGGAGCTGTCTACTGCCGTTCTGATTGTCACCCTTACAAACAGAGAACTGTCAATACTTCCACGTGACATTCGCCTCTAGTCACGTGACACGATATCCGCTCATAAACACTTTCACATTGTAATGTATGCAGAACACTCACTCCATACAGGTAGTGATCCACGTATTAGAATACTTATTGTGAATTTACTAATTTAATTTGACAAATGCTTACTATTTGTCAAGAGATCGATTAATTTCTTTTCTGTCATTAAGCAAATATATTTTATTCGGAAAACATATTATAAAACTGTCATAACGCTCATGTGAATTTTGAAAGTTTCAGTGATTATTTTGCTATTTAGAGTATTGCCAACATTGCCACAAGGCTGTTCCTGCGTACAATACCGATTCTGTGGTTTTGATAGCCCTGCCATGACTGTGGAATATATATACATATATTCCCCAATTATTGTTTTTTTAAATTTACGAAAAGCCTTGGCTCGTCTTGATCAACCTAAAGCAAGTCTAGTTTCCTTGATTCCAGACGAGGAAAGCTTCTCTTGAACAAAATAAAATACAATTATTTTAAAGAAATGTATTCATAGGCTGAGTGTTTGTCTATGGTTCGGAACTAGGTCGCCAGTAGATGGAGCTGTTATTTAAATTTCCCACTATTTCGTTGAGTTGAGTTTAACTTTCTAAATGGTTTCCTAGCTAGTAATATGTGTACTGAATCCGTCATCATTTACCATATGATTTCTGTAAGTATGAACACAAATTAACTCTTGCTAACATTCGAAACTTAGCTGCCGTAAATCAAGGCTTCTGCATATAAGTCTTTTGTAGACTTCCTGAAAGTCATGTTCAGTAAAGTGAAGCCTAGCAAGCTATAATATGTAACACTGAGTGACACACTAGAGATGCGTCTCAAAACTCCCAAGCCGCTATGTCACCGTAACTCCGCCATGAAGGGTAGAAGACAAACAAAGGGAATTCTCTGTTTCATAACACACTTTCCCTTTAGCCTCTTGTTGTGTCCAAGACTTCGTTCTTCACAGATCTCGCCGGGACGTCCAACCCACACGTGGTGCAGAGCAGCTAATCTCGGCTAGAGTTGTCTCCCCTACACTGTCGATCATCTCTTGTAAACGATACCCAACCGTTTTGCTGAAACGATTTAATGGTTAACATTAACGTGTTGCATTCTATGCGTCGTTTAAACACGAAAGCATATTTTTTCAAAAACGATGAATATTCATTAAAAAAAACATATCATGAGTTATGAGTTTTGGCAGAGATTTCGGCATCTGTGGGGAATCTAAGACATCTACACCACCTTGTATCCACTCTCCTATAACATGTCAAGACCATGTCGAAAAAAGTCAGGGATGGGGTAGCTGTTTAACATTCATGGTGTCCAGATATCATTACACGTGAATCTAGTGTTGCTATTTGGGTACATTAAAGAAATAAACAACAACGATATCTGAAACTGCAATCAACACCCTATTGTAAACACATGTATGTAAAGTGTTGTTTAGGCCGAACTCATTTCTCTCTCAAATAACTTTGTTTGTCAAAATATGTTACATGTAGTTATACCAAATTGTTGTCCCAGTTTTGGACATATAGATAGTTTCAATCATAATACTATCGTATTTTGAAGGTGACACCAAGTGCGTGTATAGAACTCGCCGACTCTTGAAGGATGGCTGTGTGAACTACTGTCCCGAGGACCAATGTCCCGAGGAATGTACCTACTGTGACAGCGGCTTCTATGGGTCTGACTGTACACGGAGCTGCCGAGGACACTGTTTGAATGGAAGGTGTGCCCTCCTGGCCAATGGTAGAGCCGTCAACTGTACGGAGGGCTGTGTGGAGGGGTGGAGGGGGTTAACGTGCAGTACTAGATGTAAGTATCCTTGTCGGGAGTGTGAGAGATACACTGGAGACTGTGTGGGGCAATGCAGGGATGGTTTCTACGGACCTGGATGCTTACAGCGGTGTCCATATGCCTGTTCCCGATGTGACAAAAACAGTGGAGTATGTTTGCCTAACACTTCTGTTGATGCAGACCTATTGCCGATGAAACACAAAATCACATTAAGCCTGACACATGGTAGTGACATTAACAAGACTCACAGCATTCACAAAGCAGGTGAGGGGTTTCACATAAAATCGATTTAATGTATATTCATAAACAATATAAACACACATATCAAAAATATTTTGCAATCCGTAGTTCTTTGTTCATTATTGTTTAGTTTTGTAAGAGTGAGTGAGTGAGTTTGGTTTTGCGACGTTTTTAGCAATATTCCGGCAATATCACGGCGGGGGCTTCACGCATTGTACCCATTTTGGGAATCGAACCCGGGTCTTCGGTGTGACGAGAGAACGCTTTAACCACAAGGCTACCCGACCTCCTCTACTCTTGTAATACATAACATAAAGTACACATCATCATGTATCAACATGCATTTCAACACATGCAATTTGGGTGTACTATAAAATATGTTTCAGAGTTACATCAACACCCCGCAATGACGTCAACACCCCATGTTGACAGTTGGTCATTCCCCTCACAGGTCTCCACTAGCGTTGCTGTATTATCTGCAGTAATTACTTTTATTGTCATCAGTTTCACAATCTCCAGGTTATTCTATACTGGCTATACAACGAACAGTAGAAACATCACAATTAATTTGCATTCATTAGATCACACAATTTCTGGATTAAATTCATTCAGTTTGCCAGTAGCAGGTGATACCTAATGACCCTTTGGAAAGACCCCAACTGGGGAGGGGCGGTCGGGTAGTCTAGTTGTTAAAGCGTTCGCTCGTCACGCGGAAGACCGGGGTTCGATTCCCAACATGGGTACAATGTGTGAAGCCAATTTCTGGTGTCCCCCGCCGTAATATTGCTGGAATATTGCTAAAATCGGCGTAAAACCATATTCACTCACACTCACTTCCCAACTGGGGATTCTAGTACGGGATATGCCCCACACATCATTTTCATTTCAGATGCGTTAATTATGTGCTATGAAATAATTGTAATGTTGTCGACAGCTGAGGAAAACAACATTCATTCACTCGCTGTTCTGAAAGTGAGAGAATGATATACATGTACAGGTATGTTTTGTCGTTCATTACTATAGTTATTTATTATCACAACTGCACTGGCTTTAAAAATCACAAATAATAAAGAAAATCTATTTGCATCTACACGTTGTCAAATGAATGAAAAGCGTCCAAGCTGTCTTCAGCCATTACAGCAGTGGCATCCCCAGATGATTCCGAGGTTAATAAGAATATAATGTTGAATCTTGTGATTGGGTAATTTAATTTTTTTATTCTTTAAAGTGTGTAATCATATACTTTTTTACAGGGTGAAAGTGACGATGCCACAGAAAAAGAATTGGGTTCTGTTAGGAAACTCCCCAGACACGGAGAGTCTAATCGGCTCCCCAAATTCAAAAGTGATGGGTTGTAATGCATCCATAATTACTGATGTATATCCTGTACCGTAAAATTCATCATTAATGAAGAAACCTGTTTGAAAACGTCCTCAAGTTGTTTTTTCCATCCTCGAAAGGTCACAGACCCGCTGTTTCTTAATTTACTGGGGGGGCACGGGTGGCCAAGTCGTCTAAGGCGCCGCGATTCGCTGTGCAGAGTTTCTTCCCTTAGGCACGCCAGAAACCTATGATTGTGGGTTCGAATCCCGTTTCGCCCCGATTATGTTTCTAGGTTTGTCAGCACCATACCCGTGCTCGCGGGTTTCACCGAAGTAGTAAACGTCTGAGACCTGCATCACTTCGGGCTTTCCTCCCACATTAAGCTGACACGCCGTGATGTGACTGGAATACTGTTAAAAGCGGCGTTAAACCCAACTCACACACTAACTCACTCACTCACTCACCTAATATACTGACTTGCCACAGCGTAGTTGATATTGTTACATCATGTATATGGCCACAACACGATTTCACGATTATAACGCAATTCCTTCTGTGTGTTTGATCGGAATAATGGCCAGTGATGACACAACGGTGTCTTTAAGTGAGTGAGTGAGTGAGTGAGTCTAGTTTTACACCGATTTTAGCAATATTCCAGCAATATCACGGCGGGGAACACTAAAAAATGGGCTTCACACATTGTACCCATGTCGGGAATCGAACCCGGGTCTTCGGCGTGACGAGCGAATGCGTTAACCACTAGGCTACCCGACCGCCCCACGATATCTTGAATCAATTAGGACATAAACCAACAGTGTTTTGAAATGTTATGTTGTCATCCTGTAGATTAGATACCTCTTATTTTAATTTGGAACCGAGCGCATTAGCAGCGCGTAATTGCACAGGGTACAAAGGTTCTCTATCTCAGAACATTCTGAAAAGGGATAACAGGTAGTTGTATATGCAACAAATATTACTAAAGTTCATACCCATAGTCGAGTTCAAAATAAGTGGTCAGTTGACAAATAACACTCTTAACGTAGCCCAAACATATATGTTATAATTTCATCGCAACCTGCTTCGCACTCTTTGGACTCATCAAGTCATTTCTTGGAAATGGAATATATTTCCCTTTGTAGAGGATATGCTTATCTCTAACAAACGTTTTTAATCAACATTCTTCTAAGTATTTTAAATGTCTAAGCCTTATTAGTTAGTTAGCAATTGCCCCCGGTAAATAATACAAGTTCAAAATACATGACATGCCTCTCCACCCTGAACGGGGATGTGGCAGAACTGGATCACGGTTACTCACACCTCACAACTGTCAATGGCTGCCAATGTTGTTGTTTACATTCTCCGTGCCTCAGAGAAGTAACACGAAGCAGGATGACAACCTTGATCTATGATGTGGTTCAACATTAACCTGTAGATTTACTGGGAATGCGCCTGCTTGTACAATATGTATACCAATGGATCTGGAGTGTGACTGAACAGACGCCTTTCTGGCTGCAGACAAGCGGGCTATTTGGACAGGAGGAATCTGATTTGATCTGTCAATTTCAAGATTTTAAGTATTCAACGTCAGGGTGTAAATAAACATTGATGTGATAGTTGTGGCCCAGAAACAGTAGTTCGTGTATGATTTGTTTAATTGTGCGTGTTCTGAAATTAATTTTACCAAGTTTGATAAGTTGTTATGATGAAATCCCTGTGCTGTGTGTTCAGTGATATCGGGACATTCTTTTCATGGCCTTTCGAAGGGAGGAGTGTTTTCTTATGGGCTTTCAAATCCTTACGGTGGTGGTTGACAGAGATGGCAATGAATATCGATCTCAAAAAAGTTTGCAAACAACACGTTGTCATGTGTTGACTATTTTTAAACACTTTTTTATAATGTTATATTTTACTTTCATTGATGGATGTTTCAATGAAATTGCCGAGTCTGTTCACCATCGAACATGTCCCTAACAAAGTCATAAACATTTCATTTGTATGCCAAATATTTGCCTTGGTAAAGTCTTGTAATCCCATCATTTAAATAGCCAGGATTACTGCCCCGAACATCATATCGTCGCCGAAAAGTTACGAAATAAAACAACCCTATTTCCTCTATTAGACGCGAGGCCGTCTATTAATTTCACGTGTATAAGTGACCTGGCTTGTATTAGAGGCCTAGTGTGTAATATAAATAATATCGATATGTTTTACAGTTCCCATGGGTGATTGATCGGCACCTATTTTCTTATGAATCGATAAATAGGTTATCGGTGTATTCAGACGCACCTGTTTTGTGTGAAAAGGTTTAATTTATTTAAAAGGCGTTTCCGTTGCAAAAAGGAAACCTTTTTTCAACCAATCAGAATCAAACAGTCTTCTATGTCATGGAAGAATTATGTTTATTCAGTTGTATTCAAGAACAGACATGTAAGTGCGCGCACAGCAGGGAGAGCAGAAAGAGGGTTTAACTGCTTACTATACATACTGCCATTATACAATAACTAACTATTGTATAAAACATCTAGAGGGCTCTTGATAAATATTTACATGCAAATAAGCAGCTTATCGCGAGCTCTGTTGAAATCTGTTGGACAGGCAATGCAATGTATATCTGCTGTGGCCAATACAACATCGTCATAAAATGACCTCTTCAAATCAGGGCTGACAATCCAAGTATGTGTAACCGATATTTGGTTTGATTTCATGTAACTTATTAATACCTACGTGGGTGTCCCACTTCTTTTACATGAGATGTCGGATGTAATATCTAATCACAGTTTTGTAATCACTGTATGGGATAAAAAGTGGTGTCATAGATTTGTTGAGTGCTGCTTTTGCAGCAGCAGCCATTGTTTTTCATTTTATGCAACCAACAAAAGACGATGTCGTATTGGCCAGTTGAAGGATCATTATAAAGTTCTAAAATATTTCAAATAATTGGATGATTAGAAGAGACATTTTTCAGTGCATAACGACAAGATAGAGAATAAGAAAAGATAAATATTTTTACATGCAGACTGTCATTGAATGTATGCCAAGGCTGTAGGGATAGCACTGGCCTCAGCAGCGAAAAAAGAGCTACAAGTATTGTATGGTATTCTAGATGATAAATGGTTTGGTCCAACGGCATTGGCACATGCTACCTGGGTTTACAGAGGAATAGTTTCATCAGCTATATCCTTTAGTTTGTCAGAGAACAACTGAATTGGGTCAGGAACATCCATAAAAAGGTCTTGTTGCAATTTGTCAGTACAGATGGTCTGAAATAATGGCCAAATGGCATTGGAAAAATTCCATCGTGTTGTAGGTGGATCAAAGGTGGGATTTATAGCTGTAATTACTGTCCGAAAATGGTCACTGCCACAAAGTTCATCATGGACTGACCATTCAAATTCATTATATGTGTTTGAATCTGTGATTGACAGATCTGAAGCAAAGTACGTTCAAGTTGCAGGATGTAAATATGTGTTTGAACCATCGTTGAATATGCATAAATTAACTAAAATATAATCTTCAAGACGTTTCCCTTTAATGTTAGTAACGGAACTTCCCCATATAGAGGCTTATGTCCATTAAGATCACCCATGATGATACAGGGCTTAGGAAGCTGGTCAAATACATCCTGATGTATACAGACTGCTGAAGATGGAGAAATATACAAATTGTGAAGGTTATTTGTAAAGTGAGACGGACAGGAACAACCTGAAGGTTGCAGTATTGAGGAAGCACCGCCAGCTGCTTTATCACCGGGTGGGAAAAAAGAATGATAAGAATTATACTGACGCAATTCAAATTTATTAGTGTGCTTAAGATTAGTGAACTAAATGCTGATGGTTTATAATCTTGTGGTAATAATTATTCTTCATTATAATTATTCCTGAGCACTCTGCAATTCCACTGAATTAAATTAAGAGATTCGCTCATGGAGATTCTATGGGGGATCTTTCACGTGTACGCGAGGAGGATGGACTCCTATTTCTGATTTCTGAAGATGGCGTGACTTCCATCTCCAGAGGGTCAAAGGAGTTACGAGCCTCAACTGTAGAGAGGATTTGAGATTGTTGTCTACGATTAAGAAGATTTCTTTCATTTTTACAATTCAACATATATATAATCATCCACAGCTGGTTGGATAACTTCAGGTTGTAACTGACTCACTGTCTGAGACGTTGCCAAATTGGAATGACTGTCAGAAGTAGTAGGCACAGTAACAATGTGCACTGGTTGGTCTGAGTCCAAGACAGATCAGTTTGGCAGGATACAGAAACTGTTTTTTCAGACAGCAGCTGTGTAATTGGTAGTAGGAGAATCTTTAGTTGGAGTCTTGCTGAGAATACGCTTTTTAACTTCAAAGAAGGAAATATTGTTTTTGTATTTCAACTTGAGAATTTTTTTATTGTTACTGCCACTCAGGGCATGACTTTGAAAATGATAGATGTGCACCATCGCAGTTTGTGCGTTTAGGATCTTTACTGCAGTCGGAGCTTTGGTGATCCTCACTTCAACGATGACAACGTGGAGCCTGACGGCAAGATTTGGAACCGTGTCCAAACTTTTGACAGGTATAACATCGGAGTGGATTGGGGACATACAATAAAATAACCAGCTTTTATTGATTCGGGCACAGTACATGAAGCAAATGTAAACAAGTATGTGTTGCTTGGTTCTCTTATACAATCTTGTTTCTTGAAAGCGAAGCGCTTGACAGAAGTAATATTTTGATCTGTACGTTCATCAACTATCTCCTCCTCAGACATGTCCGCTGGAAAACGGACTCTGTCTCTAACACTGCCTTTACTAGAGAGGGATGTTTTTTGGGGGAAGAGCGATTAGCGCTACCAAGCACTCACCATGTGGAGTCTGCTCTTCATGCGTGCCAATATAGTATAGAATGTGACACGTGTATGTCACGTAGTATACAATGTGATACGTGTTTGGTTTGTCATGTAATACAGTATGTGACACATGTATTTCATGTACTACAATATGTGACACGTGTATGTCATGCAGTATAGTATGTGACACGAGTAGTCATGTAGTATAGTATGTGACACGCGTGTATCATGTAGCATAGTATTGACACGTGTTTGTCATGAAATATATTATGTGAAACGTGTATACCATGTAGTATAGTGTGTGACACGTGTATGCCATGTAATATCGTAAGAGATACTCGATGTCATGAAGTATAATATTTGACACGTGTATGTTATGTAGCATAGTATTGACACGTGTTTGTCATAAAATATATTATGTGACACTTGTATGTCATGCAGTATAGTACTGACACATGTATATCATGTAGTATGTGACACGTGTATGTCATGTAGTATATCATGTGACACGTGTATGTCATGTAGTATCGTATGTGATACATGTATGTCATGAAGTATAGAACTGACACGTGTACGTCATGTAGTATATCATGTGGCACGTGTATACGATGTGGTATGGTATGTGACGCGTGAATGTCATGTAATATAGTATGTGACACGTGTTTTACATGTAATTTAGTATGTGACAAGTGTATGTAATGAAGTATAGTGTGCGGCACGTGTACGTCATGTAATATACTACTGGCACGTGTATGACATGTAATATAGTATGTGAGACGTGTATGTAATGTAGCACAGTATGTGACACGTGTATGTCATGTAGTATCCTACTGACACGTATATGTCATGTAGTATAGTATGTGACACGTGTATGTCATGTAGCATAGTATTGACACGTCATGTAGTTTAGTGTTCGACACGTGTACAGCATTAGGCACGTGTATACTGTATATAGTACAGTATGTGACGCGTGAATGGTAAGCCCTATAGTACTGACACGTGTATGTCATTTCGTATGGTATGTGACACGTGTATATCGTGCACTATATGACACGTGTATGACGTCATGTAGTATAGTGTTCGACACGTGTCCAACATATAGTATAGCATTTGGCTTGTATATCATGTAGTACACCACGGACACGTGTATATCAATAGGTATAGTATGTGACACGTGTATATCAATAAGTATAGTATGTGACACGTGTATGGCATGTAGCATAGTACTGACTCATGTGCGTCATGTAGTATAGCATGTGACGCGTGAAAATCATGTAATATAGTATGTGACCCGTGTTTGTTATGTTATTTTGTATGTGACACGTGTATGTCATATAGTATAGTTCTGACAGGTGTTCCTCTAGTTGGATAGTATGTGACACGTTTACAGCATGTAGTATGGTATGTGACACGTGTATACCATGTAGTATGTTATGTGACACGTGTATACCATGCAGTATGTTATGTGACACGTGTATACCATGTAGTATGGTATGTGACACGTGTATACCATGGAGTATGGTATGTGACACGTGTATACCATGCAGTATGTTATGTGACACGTGTATACCATGTAGTATGGTATGTGACACGTGTATACCATGTAGTATGTTATGTGACACGTGTATACCATGTAGTATGTTATGTGACACGTGTATACCATGTAGTATGGTATGTGACACGTGTATACCATGTAGTATGGTATGTGACACGTGTATACCATGTAGTATGGTATGTGACACGTGTATACCATGTAGTATGGTATGTGACACGTGCATACCATGTAGTATGGTATGTGACACGTGTATACCATGTAGTATGTTATGTGACACGTGTATACCATGTAGCATGGTATGTGACACGTGTATACCATGTAGTATGTTATGTGAATAAAACGCCAGGACCAAACAACCTATTCTATAATAGCAAAGTGTGCGCGGTATATTAAAACAGGTTTAAAAATATTACAAAGCATTGAGTCAAATGAGATTGAGAATATTCAGGAACTTTAAGTTGTACTGTTAGCTAATATTCGTTATCTACAAGATGAATATGCTGCTCTTTTAGTTAGTGGTGCAGTTAACCCTGAAACCGCTCGATTGTTCAGAACATTTAGAAGAAAACCTCTTGTTTTACTCCAGACGCAATAAACGACCTGAGAACCGCAACCGTAGCGTCAGTATCAGTACAGCAAGATCGGGGATCCTACCGTGGACGCTATCCCCTCCGACCAAGAGGTCGAGGATTCAGATCACGTGGATTTGGACGCAGTGACTTTAACTTTCGACAAGCACATTCTTCACAAGACGTGTTTTCACGGGTCGAAACATCCCTACCACTCGCGATAATGAAGGGGGACAATAAATATCGAAAGACATGGCAACAAATTCCAGTTATAAAATGTCAGCGGTCGAGGAAGAAAGTTTGATTTTATTGTAGTCAGACATTAAATATATTCTTTATAACATTGTACAACATTGTTAAACGTTTGACCATTGCCAAGAGAGCGTTTAAGGTGACACGAGTAGTCTCCCTTGTTTTGTATACACTAGATTTCCATTGGTGTTAGAGGTTGGATTACCTCTCCTACACTGATGTTTTAATTTCTTTCCCTATTTGTATTGTTTTTCATGCAAGTGTCTTAGTTTATGTTCATTTAGACATGTGTGTATGTTTCTGCTTTGAAACATTTCGATTGGGTATTTTACATTTGATGTTTAAAATGTGTTTTCCAAAAACTACCCTACATTTCACGGCAGGTAATATTCAACGACATGAAGATGCCTGGCGCTAGATAGGAGCTCCAGATAATGTTTGTAAATGTGTTTGTGATGGCGTAAAATTACCATTTACTAAAGAACCACACACTTTTCATATGTCTAACCACAAATTCACTAATAAACAATATCAATTTGTGACAAGTGAAATATGCAGTCGAAAACCAAAATGTGTATCGCTTTTTGGAACTGTACCTAAAAAGGGGGGGAAATTGAAACATGATTTACCGGAGCTGAACAGTACATGTTTAAAACAGGGATACCAATGTGAGGACATAGAACGGTTAGACAGTGTGTTAAAGCAGGTGATTGTTTACTTACAATTGACATTAAAAACTGATTTCATCATATACCCATACACCAAGATGACAGATTATCTTGGGTTTCAGTGGCAAAATATATTTTATGGATGGAAGGTTCTCCCATTTGGCTTATCAATAGCTCCGTACTATTTTGGTAAAATACTCAAACCAGTTGTTACGTATCTGCGATCTCTTGGAATGAGAGTTGTGTGTTATGTAGATGAAGTTCTACTTATGAGTACTCCTGCACATATCGTATCACAAAAACGAACAATTAGTGAACACTCTTTCAAAGCTTGGTTTTTTTTATCAATTGGGATAAGTGTGACTTAGAACAAAGCAACACCACGTCTTATTTGTGTTATATAGTGTGCACAGACGGAGAATTCCCTCAATTGAGAATCCCATCATCACGGGTAAGGAAACTGAAAAAAGACATAAGACGTTGTCTTGCTTTACCTAGCATTGAGGCCAGAGTGTTGGCTCGCATCTCTGGTCAGTGTGTATCAATGTTCCGGGCTGTTGCCCCAGGGACACTATATGCTTAGAAATACATACAGTAGAAGAAATAGTTGGGACGGTAAATTGACACTAGATTCGCCAGCTGAGGAGGATATATTGTGGTGGTTTACTGCTCTTGATAACTGGAATGGACAAAGCGTAATTATTCGACAACCTGAAGTGCAAATTGTAATAGACGCAAGTTCGACAGGTTACGGCGCGGTGCGCAACGGGAAACAGGCAGCAGGATTTTGGCCTCCAAAGATAAGCAGACTTCACTCAAACAACAGAGAGATGTTAGCCATTCGCATGGCGTTGCACACCTTTAGTCCAAGTTTAAAAGGAAAAGCTGTGAAGATTCTGTCCGAATGTTTGCAAATATCATAAAGTTTACTTTGGGTAGGTCGCAAATTTAACGTTGGGGAGGTCGTTATGGAATGTATTTTTGTTTTGTCCTAGAATTATCCCTTGCTGCAAGTTTCGCTTAGGTTTGCAGACATATATCAGGCATTTCGCTAAAATAGTGTTGGCTTTCAATTTGCTGGTTCTTAAAAGAAATGAAAACTCGCAAATATGTGAAAATATATTTTATTATGCAATAATCATTTTCATTTCATATTGATATAAATTCTAGCGACGAAGGTCTTTCCATAATCATGAAAATATCTCATCATTTCATTTTTCTTCTTCAAACGTTCAGGACAAAAAGGGCACTCGCAGGAAAGGCAAACCCTTCCCCGAACACCTGGTAGCATGACTATTTGGTTGTAATTCATAAACACATGTTGATCATATTGTCTTAATCCTACAAAGAACTCCCACGATAATTGAGAGGGTTTTGACGTTTAAGCCGAGACAGGGATATGGTGGTGGTGACCCAGTAATGTTTCTCTCTTTGTTCGCATTTGTATGTAGCTTTGGAGTCTGTTACAGAAATGGAATGGACATGTCTTCACACAAATAGTCCGTGAGTGAGGGAGTCGGGTTTAACACCACTTTGAGACGTATTTCAGTTATATCACAGCGTGTCAGCTTGATGTAAAAAGACAGCCCGAAATGATGTAGGTCTTAAATGTTCACAACTTTGGTGAAACCAACGACCACAGGTATGGTGCTGACGAATCTATAGCTAGAAAAATAATAATGACCAGTCGGGATTCGAACTCACGAAGTTCTGACATGCCCAATAGACACCAACTCGAGTGCCCCCAACTTGAAAATGTGACCCAAAATTGACTTGTTCATACTGTTATATCGCGTAGCCATGACAAATAACTGACTTCATGTAACTGATGTATCATTCTTACATAACTCTATACTTAATGAGACGTACAGGGTATGAAACTATGGGAACAATGATTAATGTTGGCTATAAAAACAAAGAGTCCTGTGTAATTATCCTTAAGAAGAGGACAGGCACTGGGCTGGCTTTATGTCATGAGACACTCATTGATCTTCCCCATAGCAGACACTATGTACTAAATAGAAGACGATTACATGGATCAGGGGCCGTAACTGTGTATGCACAAAATCTAAAACAATGTAGCAAGGGATGTAACTCTGGAAAATTATAACTTAAGGCACCAAGTTTCGATCTCAGTCTTGACAAGTATCTCTTACATAAGCATGAAAACTTTCATGCATGTAACTTTAGTAGTTTCTGTGAAAAGCTATCCCCATTTCACGCAGTATGCACCAAGTTGAAAACACGGAGCAAGGGCAATAACTCTGTAAAAAACTAATTTATGGTACCATTTTTTGAAGTCAGTCTTGACAAGCATCTCTCAGATAAGCATACAACGTTTCATTCATGTAACTTTCGTACTTTCTGAGAGAAAATTATCTTCATTGCAGACACTATGCACTAAGAAAAGCATGGAGCCAGGGCCATTACTCTGTTAAAAGGATCTTTATGAATTTAAGACACCAATTTCGAACTCATTTAAGATCATGACCAGTAATATCAGTGTGTAAAATTTCAGTTCTCTAACTTAAATAGTTTTTGAGAAAATGTGTCCCCTTTGAGAAGCAGACGGAATGACGGGCGGACTGACGAACTCCCTCCTATATCCCCCGACCCATTTCGTGAAGGGGGATAAAACATACTGTCTGAAATGTATTAAGACACAACACAAAAAAACACAAACATTCTTTACACAAATGAATGAAATCATACATTCACCAAAAGGGTGAATAACTAACCACATTCTATCATGAAATGGTATTCACTTCCGATAATGAAAGTTTTTCCTAATATACTCTGCAAGAAAGAAACGCAAAAGGGATTTAAGATGTATATTTTACATATCATTTTAAAAAATCAACAGATGGTAATCGATTGTTCAAAATTGGCACATATTGCCATTCATCCAGGTTCCATATGGCACACTTGGAACAGTAGATTGTCAAAGTGAAGGTATCATAATGATAATGATGCAGATTATGATGACGACAAAGGCAATTGTTGACACACATACATCTATATACATGTAGCATGAGCGGGGATTTGCACTTAAGGTTCTTTGGAAGTGTGTCGGGCTGGTCTGTGAAACATATTCCCAACACGCCTTCAGTCTTTGCATGTTTTTCTGTAAAACATAAATGAGTCATGATGCATAAACATTCAATATACATAACTTAACGAACATGTATCTACAGAATGAACAGTAGAGTTCCCCTTACCTTTTTGGAAACCTTTGATATATTCTGACGTTCAAGACGTTTTATACATTCATCCAGATCATCTTCTTTATCCAACATGCAATCCAGAGCGCAGTAAACAAAATATGGGCCATCGCCCTCGCTGAAACAAGAGTACGGTATTATTTATGTCTGAAATAATATCATGGAACATGAGCAATACAACCATAACAATGGAAGGACTACCTTTTTTAGTACAAGTCGTGAATTATGTCAATGAAAGTACTCAACTCTGAAGGTCAATCAGAAGGTAAGAATCTAATGGGACAAAAACATTCCAGGAAACAAGAGTGTGTGTCTAATGTTCAAAAAGCTTGAACTTCCCTGTCACCGACTGTAATGTCACATCCTTTCCCTTTTCACAATGAGTGATGCGCGCAATAAAGGAAGTGGCTCAGTGAACTAAACTTTGTAACGGTTTCCTTTTTAATGCAAAATTGAATATGTAACCGAACGAGTCTTTACTTTTTAATTAGTGTGTAAATAATCATAGTTGTCTTTGCAGTTTTGGAACCATTTTCAATTTACAGACTGATTAGAGTTAATATCAAATAACATACACTCTTCAAAAAAAAAGGAAAGGACAGGTAGATTTTTAGGAAATTCATTGCACTCAATAAAATGTGGATATATTTAATTTAATATCATAGATTGTCGTTGTATAAAGGCATTCAAAACTGTTCATTGTCATGTCACATATGGCCACAAGGTATCCCGTGTGACCGCCCAGGGCAGCAATCACGGCTCTGCATCTCCTCGGCACTGACTAGATAAGTGTACGAATTCTGTCCTGCTGAATTCTGCGCCATTCTGCTTGTAACGAGTTGGCCAGTTGTGGATTGTCTGTTCGATTGGTTTGAGATCTGGAGATCTCGACGGCCTGGGCAGGACGTTGATGTTGCAATTATGAAGGTAGTCAGTCTACTGTGACACGAGCTGTGTGCGGTGGAGCGTTGTTCTGTTGAAACAGGGCCCTCTATGATTGGAAGGTGAGGTTGAAGAATTTGATTCACGTAGTGATTTGCTGTAAAGTTTCCTTGAACCACAACTAAGTCTGACGCCCCCCCCCCCCCCCCCCCCCCACACACACACACACACACACAGCCACCATGACGCTACCGCCACTAAATTTGTCGGATTCATGTACCCAATGTGGCACAAAACGCTCATTTCGTCGACGATAAACACGTTGTGTTCCATCTCGCCGGTGAACAGGGGCGATAACTGGTCTTCTGGGTCGGATTCGAGCCTGGCGAAGATGGTTCCTGACAGTATGGTCCCATATCCTCCTCAAACCATTGACATTTTTTAACAAGTGTGAAAACAATGCCGTTTAAGACATTGCAAATTGACAATGGCTGCGTTTGTCGAATATCAGGCCACCAACCTTTTCCAATAACATATCCAATTTATATACCGGATTTTTTGTGTAGTCAGTTTTCAATGAACTACATACTACCTGTGCGTTTCTTTTTTGGAAGAGTGTATATATGTGTTTACCTTGAGCAAACTACAATTTGCTTTTTATGGAAATTTTGGTCTCCTCTGATTCTGCGCATGAACTTGCAGAAACCTTGTTTGTCAAACCAATTAGGATGGTGGTACAGATGGGCTGTTTTCCTCATGCCATTCTCTGAAAACTGGTAATCAACAAAAATAACCGAATATTTAATTGTTAAGTTTTACAGTGACAACACACACATACACTAGTAGACTATAGTAGTTAATGTCATGATATCATATTATTGTTAACATGCTCATATACCATGCGCATTTCATGTCACGAAGTGACGACGTCACTTGTGATATACGTCAATTCCGGTGCTAGAGAACGGGCCACCTAGAAAGACTGTACAGAGTCATGGTTGGTTGGTTGGTTGGTTTGTTGTTCAACGCCGCACTCAGCAATATTCCAGCTATATGACGGCGGTCTGTAAATAATCGGCGGACCAGACAATCCAGTGATTAATACCATTAGCATCGAGCCACGCAATTGGGATCGATGACATGCATCAACCAAGTCAGCGAGCCTGACCACCTGATCCCTTTTGTCGTACAGCTTGGTGCCATAGTTTTGAATATCTATGCACAGATCAAGATAAAACTCTGAATATAGTCTTAGTTGTTTCTAACTCTGGTTGGTTGATGAGGTGAGGCAAAGAGAAAGCGAGAAGCTAGGAGAGATACAATTAGTATACATAAGGATACCTACAAAGTGTCAGGCCCGTGAAGACTCCGGGGTAGAATAGATTTCAGCAACCATACTTGCCGTAAAAGGTGACTATGCTTGTCGTAAAAGGCGACTAACGGGATCGGGTGGTCAGGCTCGCTGACTTGGTTGATGCATGTCATCGATCCAAATTGCCTGGATCGATACCCATGATATCAATCACTGGAGTGTCTGGTCCAGACTCGATTATTTACAGACCGCCGTCATATAGCTGGAATATTGCTGAGTGCGGCGTTAAAAAACCAACCAACCAACCAACAACGTGTCTAAATATCAGGAAATCCAATAACTCACATTATTCGTTATCTGAATATTTCTGAACAGGGTTACGTTCAGTATTAATTATTTGACTATCTACATTTGAATACTATATTAAAATTAAACTTCCGGAAATTTCTTGGAAACGAGCGCCCTATTAATTAGAGAATGTAATTTCTTGAAATTTATCATGATGGATAGTGGTGAAAAGTCTGGAAGAATAAAAACTTCTGAGATTGTCAAACTTCCAAGTTAATCTTTAACTTTTGAATATTTCAATATCCACATGTGATTAACACAACTTGTCAAATATAAGCTCTGATAGTATTTAATTATGCCTTGCTTGATGGTGTCAAATTATTTGTGATACTATTTCTTTCATGATTGATCATTTTTGTAATTTAATAAACTCCGTTTGATTCAATATGAACAGTATATACTCTATTAACCATATCAAAACACACATTTACAAGCGTTTTGATAAAAACACACTTACCCCTAAAGTCCAATCGTCAGAGTTATCTCCACTCTCAGCTGTTAGGACAAGAGAATTACGTGGGGTATTCCGCCAAGGAGCTGTTAGATAACCATCAAGCTAAAAGAAACGAAATGGTAGAATATTTATTTATTTCAATTTAATAATGATGTTTGTTTGTTTGTTGTTTAACGCTGCAATATTCCAGCTATATGAGGGCGGTCTGTAAATAATCGAGTCTGGACCAGTCAATCCAGTGATTAATATCATGAGCATCGAGCTACGCAATTGGGATCGATGGCATGCATCAACCAAGTCAGTGAGCCTGACCATCCGATCCGTTAGTCGCCTCTTACGACAAGCAGAGTCACCTTTTACGGCAAGTATGGGTTGCTGATGACCTATTTATAATCTGGGTGTTCTCATTATAACATGATAATTCCAACATACAAAAGGGTTCATTTAGCTTCGTTTCGTCTGTTTGTTGTTCAACGCCACACTCAGCAATATTCCAGCTATTTGACGGAGGTCTGTAAATAATCGAGTCTGGACCAGACAATCCAGTGAATGATATGATGATACGCGCGATGGTAAACGATACCACGCCAGCGAGACTGACCACTTGATCCCGTTAGTCGCCTCTTAGCATACATTCTCAAACAGTAACTATTTAAGCGCATTCATGTGAATGATTCCATCACAGCGTGCTGGAGTTTGTTGATCATGCGTACTTAGATGAACAACACTCTGTAATGGTTACATTACTACTGTAGCAATTAATATAGTTATCTGGACCAGGTTACATTCAAGGGAAAAATAATCTTGAAATCGAACTTACCATGCGCGATTGTCCAGAAGATATGAAAACAATCACTTTGATGTCATATTTCCAAATCATCCTCAGAAATTCATCATCTCGTTCACGAGTGCTGGGCACTAAAATATAATGATAACAAACAGAAGCAATCATTACAATATGTATATCCATTTAACAGAGACATTAATTTAGAATGCTTCACAAATATTATTATTATTATTGTTATTATTATATTACGAAAATGTTATATTTGAAATATTAAATACCGGAAGGTAAAGAAGTAACATGGAAAGTAATAAGTTTACACAAAATTACAAATGGTCCAACGTACGTTGAGTCATAATGTATCTATTTCTTCCCTGGATTCCCTGAAAGCATACCATATTTATTATACATTCAGAACATGATTGTATCTACACATAAATTAACCGTTAGTGTTTAACGTATAATTTCAGATAAAACGAAAGTAAGAATCTACACCTTCTTGCACAGATTATGAGATATTTTTTCTTATATTAACGCTGGTTGTTTGTTTGTTGTTTAACGCCGCACTCAGCAATATTCCAGCTATATGACGGCGGTCTGTGAATAATCGAGTCTGGACCAGTCAATCCAGTGATTGATATATCTTAAGCATCGATCCACGCAATTGGGATTGATGACATTCTTCAACCAAGTCAGCGAGCCTGACCACCCGATGCCGTTAGTTGCCTCTTACGACACATGAACTACTAACCGACATTTTTTAAAAACAGGGTCGGTAGAGTAGCCTAGTGGTTAAAGCGTTCGCTCGTCACGCCGAAGACCCGGGTTCGATTCCCGACATGGGTACAATGTGTGAAGCGCATTTATGGTGTCCCCCACCGTGATATTGCTGGAATATTGCTAAAAGCGGCGTAAAACCTTACTCACTCATTGTTTAAACATATCAAACGAGAACAAACAGAGGTGAGACGAATTAACCATTGTAACTTACAGTAAAAGGATAAGCATTGGGAAATTCGCCAGGATCTATTTCCTGGGGTTCAAGGGGTGAATCCGAATCTGAAAATATCAAAAACTTTTATATCTGAAGTACACACAGTTGATATTTGGCAATTCCCATAACCCTTGTTATCGTACATCAGTCGACTATGTCAGTCTAAATGAGTTTAAAAATAAAGTCATTTTAACGCCAGGATGTGTACTCGTGAAACATTATTAATTATAGGCATCTGTCGACCAGTGCACAAGCGTACACATGAACAAATCCATATTCGAAAGCTCCAATAGTTCATATTACCTTCTGATAGTCGTGCTGTTTCTCCACTCCCGTTTCTGAAAGAAATTGTACAATGACATCAATATCAGGAATAAACTAACGATATAAAAGAAATGGTGAAAATGGAAACAATTTGCCTTATTTTGCTATTGCGATCCAACTGCATCCAGGTTTCAAACAAAATAGCAACCGAACATAGGAAATAACATACACATATCCAACAAACTTATCTTAAATAATCAATCACAAAAATCACAAGCAGGAAATGTGTAAGGTTATCACGTCGTTCACATGTAAAATGCTCATGTCGTCATTCCAAATATCCGGGAAATATAATATCATGTCATTGAAGAGAATATACAGTCTTCATTTTCTGCCGAAACATATTTCTTGGGGGATAAAAAGCAAAATAATGGAGAAATATATTTGAATGGAACACTGCAAATAAGTGACGACACCAGGGTAACCATGTCCTACTCTTCCGGTAGCATCCACCACTCTCTTTAGATATTTGTTTATTGTGTGTATTCTCTCTTATTAAGTGCGCAAATTTGTTTTTATATAGTTTTCACACATGGAATACACAAATAGAAATCTCATAGTTAAGTTCAGTTGGTAACATTTTGTAAATAATGAATACAACTTAGGAGATTATATTCGATTACCTTGATTCGGGCGTACTTTTCATCAAGGACTGTTTCCATTTCCTTATCTTCGTATAGATAGTTTCTCCAACAAGACATACAATCGCCAATATCATCACAACCAACGCTGTGGTATTACCTTGTGAGATACATTGACACAAAGAAATTAATGAAATCATTCAATATTTTAAAATGAAGAGGAGGTGTAAAAATTCCATATCGAACTTATATCATACCCTTGATTCACATTTGGCTACATGCTAACTAACAAACCAAATTATGTTTGACATTTATCAGGAAGTCCAATCTCATAAGTAGTGACCTTGACAGTCGATATCAACATCGTGCATTTGTATTCAGTATCTGTAATTAACAGGTGGTAGACAAAAATACGATATAAGATTTTGTCATTTTGATTTCACATGAGCTGTTTCTTTGGGATGACACAGTTTGAGTAACAGTCTCAACAATTAGAAAGGATAAGAATTTGTCCGTGTAAATTTGACACCAATTTGGCCAATTTTCGTGTATGTATGCTAGTGTTGTGGTTTTAGCTATGTTTGGGTCGGTTTGTTTATTTATTTGGCTAGCTAGTGTTGTGTCTATTTTGGGTATTTTAAGTTTAGGGGTGAAGATATTTGATTGTTTGCAGTTTTGTTTAAGATTTTTAATTTGGTGTTCATTTAGGAAGTTTGTTATCTTTGGGATATTGGGGTAAGTAAGGGGTGTTTACGAACTAGAGCTTGGTTTTTGGGGCTGATGTTTTGGTTTATTAAGTTTTGGATGAGAGGGTTTGATTGGGACGCGGCCCAGAAATTTAAGCTTAGCTGTTCCCTGCGTAGACTTAGTTGCATTTCTCCTGTTAAGGCCTGAAGTGAAGTGTAGGAGGTGCCATGTTGGGTGCGTGTAATTAGCTTGAGAGCCTGATGCTAATTACACTCTAACACCGTTATCAAGCAAGTGATATACAGTTACTTACTTACTTACTTACTTTGGAGATTTAACATGCGCTTTCCGACTGATGCGTATTTCGCACACGGGCCCGGCCAGGCCATTTAATGTGTTTCCGAAAGGGGCGAAAGTGGTCTGTGCAACCCAAGAGGGGGGTTTTAGGGGTTGCTTATATAGAATTTGGGAATTTTGAGATTTGGAATAGATGCCGATGGGATTGGGGAGGAGAACTAAGGGAGCTGGGTATGGTGGATGTTTGTTTGTTTATGTGATTTTGATTTGGTAGGTTATTGTGTTTTTAGATGCGTTTTATTAGTTCCGTTTTTATTAAGAATACGCCTAAGGCCTTGAAGTTTTCTAGTTTATTTTGTGGGTTTAGTATTGCTTCTAGAGTTAGAGCCTTGTTTAGATTGAGGGTGGTTTGTAATGCGGTTCGATGTGTTAGGTAGTGTGTGCAGTAGATGAGTGCGTGTTCTGGGGTTTCTGGTTGTTTGCAGTGTGGGCAGTTACCTGTAGTGTGTTTTTTAATTTTTTTAGGTGGTTATTTAGGTTGGTGTGTCCTGTTTGGAGTTTAGTGATTACTCTGTCGATTTTTTTGGATGGATGGAGAATTTTTGGTTTGGTTAGTGGTTTGCTGAGCATTTTTGTTATTTGGCTATTTGAGTTTAGATATAGGTTATGCCATTTTTGGTGATTTTTTGCTTGTTTACACTTTTAATTTCTGATTTTGAGATGGGTAAGTTTAAGCTTATTTCTGGGATTTTGAGGGATAGTTTAGCTTCTTTATCGGCGTTTTCATTACCGTATATTCCTACGTGGGCGGGTATCCACAAGAAGGTTATTTGATGCCTGCCTTAGTTAGGTCGTTGGAGCTTTTAAGTATTTGATTTATTAATTTAGGTCGGTTTTTGGAATTTTTGTTTAGGAGGGCTTGCAGTCCACTTAGGGAGTCGGTAAGTATTAGGATTTTTTTAGTGGTTTTTGGATTCTTGATTATGGATGTCTGAGGCCATGCCCATTAGTTCTGCCGTGAATATTGATTGGTTGTTTGGGAGTCGGAAGGATTGTGTGGTTTTAGTTGGTTGTGTGGTATGGACTCCGAAACCTGCGTGTTTGGAGGTCGGATCTGAGGATCCGTCCGTGTAAATGTGACACCAATTTGGCCAATTTTCGTGTATGTATGCTAGTGTGGTAGTTATAGCTATGTTTGGGTCGGTTTGTTTATTTATTTGGCTAGCTAGTGTTGTGTCTATTTTGGGTATTTAAAGTTTAGAGGTGAAGATATTTGATTGTTTGCAGTTTTGTTTAAGATTTTTAATTTGGTGTTCATTTAGGTAGTTTGTTATTCTTTGGGATATTGGGGTAAGTAAGGGGTGTTTACGAGCTAGAGCTTGGTTTTTGGGGCTGATGTTTTGGTTTATTAAGTTTTGGATGAGAGGGTTTGATTGGGACGCGGCCCAGAAATTTAAGCTTAGCTGTTCCCTGCGTAGACTTAGTGGCATTTCTCCTGTTAAGGCCTGAAGTGAGGTGTAGGAGGTGCCATGTTGGGTGCGTGTAATTAGTTTGAGAGCCTGATATTGTATTGAGTCAAGTTTTTTAGATAGAGAGTTGTTTAAGGTGTTCTATATGGCGCAGCCGTAGTCTAGTTTTGATCTAATTAGTGATATGTAGAGAGAGAGGAGGGTATCTTTGGATGCTCCCCAGTTAGAGCCAGTTAGGCATCTTAGGGTGTTTAGGTCTTTACTGCATTTAGTTGTTAGGTTTTGGATGTGAGCATCCCAGGTGAGTTGTTCATCGAAAATAAGTCCTAAGAATTTGGTTTGTTTTTGAAATTTGATTGTTTGATTGTTTAGCTGGAGGATTGGGGAGGCGGGTTTCATGTTTTTATGTTTGAATACTATTCCTGTTGTTTTTTCTGAGTTAAGGGAGAAGCCCCATTTGTCAGCCCATTGTTGTATTTTATTAAGAGATTTTTGGAGTAAATTTTGGACCATGTTCATGCTTTTAGTGCGGATCCAGATGGCTCCATCATCCGCGAATTTTGATGTGTTTACTTTAGGGGATAGGCCCTCGAATAGATCGTTTATCATTATATTGAAGAGGGTGGGGCTGTGGATACTGCCCTGTGGAGTACCATTTTCTAGGGGACATTCGTCCGATAGAGTTTGGTCTATACCCACGTTTATTTTACGATTGTTTAGGAAGTCCTGGATGTAGTTTATTATCTGACCTTTGAGTCCTATTTTTTTAAGTTTTTGTATTAGCCCATCGTGCCATACCATGTCGAAAGCTTTAGAGAAGTCTAAGAAGATGCCTGTGGTATATTGTTTATTTAGTTGTCCTGTCTTAATATCTTGTTCTTGTTCTATACAGAGTGTGGTTGACAAATATATATACAAGTAGGAGGCAATGTTTATACAGTAGAGTAGATATAGTTATATCGGGGTAGAAAAGCCTGTTATGTACACACAAGGGTGGTGATGATAATCATCGGTGAAGTCAGTGACATAAACAAAGAATGAAGGCAGTAATATAAACAATAGGATCATGGCTGATGTGGGTCTTTGATTAGTTCATGTACGCCGGGGGTATGTTATAGCCATGGTCACGGTTGACCACACTCCGTATTTCACTTGCTTGATAACTGCGTTAGAACCTACACCTAAACGTCGCTCTTAATTGTAATAAAGAAGTTGTTCATCCATAAATTCTTATCCTTACTTAGTACTCCAACTTCTAAATGCCTATCAATGAAGCCTCAATAATGCATTAAGAATAGTAATAAAAACTTGTGCTTACATTTTTTGCAGTCGTTTATCGTTGGCAAGTGAGCATCAGATGCTGCAGAAAGATGACATATAATATTTTTCTGATGTAACAACATGTATCTGTCAAAACAACCACAGGATCATTGAGAAAAAATGTCATCCTTTGGATGTTTGGCAGCCAGAAGCCAATCAGAATTTGAAACATTATTACCAAAACACCAAGAGTATAAATATCATTCCTAGATGAAGTCTCACTATCACCTTGACGTAGAGTTGGCGGACACAATCGAAGAGAGAGAGAGACTATAAAGTATACTTAATCATAATACTATTTGGCCTGAAGTCTTTGAATGTCTATGGGAAATGTTTGCCTTGAACATGAGCACATCGTTTTCCGATGCTGATTAGCTTAGGATAATGAAGGAAAAGTACAAACATTTGGCAAAAGACATCTTGGTTAAGGGACTCGTTGAGAGTAGATTTGCTATCGAGCTTTTTCTCTAATTTTGGCCATACTATATAGGATCATATCAAGTTCAATAATTGCATGTGTAAGAAAGAAAAAGAAAAGTCAGTCTTAGGAATAGGTCCTATTTCTTCAATGAAATAGTATATTTCAAGTTATATTTAACTGTAACATTTGATATATACAGTTGGCCAAAAGGGCCCTTTTGGGATTCGTATTTAAGTAGATATGCTGTACTCACTGTTTTTGACGCACTGTGTACAATTTCCCCCTTTAGCAGCTTCGTTACAAACGTAACCGTCATTACATCTCTGGCATTTACAAGATTTAAAGTGGCACTCTTTGTCCTTGCAGCTTTCGTCGCAAGGTGTTTTACAAAAGTCAGAGCAATGTCCTTTCTCACAGCCATTGGTACATTCCCCTGTAGTTCTGTTACAGAGTTGTTCACCACATGTTTCTGAGCATTTAACCATGCAGCTTTTTGTATAATATGTATCGTTGCACTGTTCACAAAACCCAGTGTCGATATCACACTGAAAGTCGCATTCTCCAATACACTTACTAGAGCATGTAGGCCCGTAATAACCCTTATGACATAACGTGCAACGTCCATTGGCCTCCTGACGATCGCAATGGGTTAAGTTTCGTTCCACACAAATCTGAGTAGCATTGGAACCTGCAGAAGGAGACATGTAGACATGTCAAATTAAGTGAAAACGAGAAGCATGTTTCAATTACATGCAAGCAATACCTCTAATGCCCGGAAACTCTCATACCAGAAACATTATCATGAATTATTTGGACTTCACAAAATTAGGTGATATCTAATTACAGTAAACTACGGTTATAACGAACTCAAAGGGACTAATAATTTTAGTTCGTTATAACCGTAGTTCGTTATAAGCATATATGCAGCATAACTACAGCAAATAGTCGGGACCAAAAAGTAAGTTCGTTATATCCGTCAGTTCGTTATAAGCGTGTTCGTTTTAACCGTAGTCTACTGTATATATATCCCAAATGTTGTCTAATACTGTGCAAATTAAAAATCGAAAAGAAATGCCTCTTGCTGCCATAATAGTTATGAACACGTCCAGTTTGATAGCATCATTTGCTGTTTGGGGAGACGGTATGCAATATAACCTAAATACAGTTAAATTACAAAATGACATGCCTCTAGCTAATTATTTGAAAGTATTAAGCACTTCCTATTTACTAAAATCGGTACCGCTTCGGTAAAACATGGCAAATGTTTTGTTTTGTTTGTTTATTTATTGTTTAACGCCTCACTGGGCAATATTCCAGCTTTATGACGGCGGTCTGTAAATAATCGAGTCTGGACCAGACAATCCAGTGATTGACAGCATGAGCATCAATCCACGCAATTGGGATACGATGACATGCATCAACCAATTCAGCGAGCCTGACCACCCGATCCTCTTAACGCCTCACTGGGCAATATTCCAGCTTTATGACGGCGGTCTGTAAATAATCGAGTCTGGACCAGACAATCCAGTGATTGACAGCATGAGCATCAATCCACGCAATTGGGATACGATGACATGCATCAACCAAGTCAGCGAGCCTGACCACCCGATCCTCTTAGTCACCTTTTACGGCAAGCATGGGTTTCTGAAGACCTATTCTACCCCATGACAAATGCAGTACAACTTTGAAAAATAAAGTCGTAAGGCTCTAGCTACCTTAATACAGTTATATGCTCTTACTATCTGCCTAATGGCTTTGACCTTCACTTTTAGACAAGAGATGCCAAATACTCAAACTGCAAACATATTTGAGTGTTGTTACAAATATATATTCACTGTAGCATACTGTAAATATAGTCTTTCAATCTGTGAATGACGCCTCTCAGGGGTAAGCAGGGACCTTCTCAAATTTAGAACCCAATTAAGTTCCATTCAAAAGTGATAGTGTGTACACAACCTTTTAAGGACGTCTTCTCCACACTGAGTGACTCTGACCTTCAATCATCGCAGGTCACATGCAAAAAGCACTTCTATTTATAGGCGTCTGTGGTGGAACCAAGACCACAATGAAATTAATTGAACGAATTCCAAAGGAACCTTGACATTGGACACAACAATCACGTCTGGCGTATATATGTTTTTGTTCAAATTTTGAGCCATGTTGTGTGGTTATATTGTAGGACAACCCAGCCTGAAGATCATGCATGTTAAGATTCTTCAATTTCGATTCAGAGGTACTAACATTACCGCGTGAGTGCGTGCGTGTGTTAATGTGTGAATGTATGTCATATTTTTTCGCGAATATGCCTGCCGCCGACCCTGCAATTTGGTCAGAGTGAGTGAGTGAGTTAGGTTTATCATAATAATTGCTTTTAACAATATTCCAGCTATATCACGGAGTGTCAGCTTAATTAAGGAGAAAAGTGTTGCAGGTATCAGACGTTTACTTCTTTGGTGAATACCCTCGAGTCTGGACATGGTGCTGACAAACTTAGAAACACAATCGCTAACCTGGATTCGAACCTACCAGAATAAATGTAATGATGTAAAATGATTAATTCTGTACTTACATTTAGAAGTAGTTATCAGCAGAAGAATCAGCATCATGTTCGCCATGGTGATCTAGGTTTGTAAAATAACAAGATATTGAATAATTTGTATGACACAAATTCATAAAGAACCTTGAATGCCATTAATCTTAAAGGAAATCAATTTCAATGTGTGTACGCGCGTGAATGTGCCTTGTGCTTAAAGGTGTGTTGTAGTTGTGTGCGGCCTTTTTATGTTTGTTTGTTTGTTGTTTAACGCCGCACTCAGCAATATTCCAGTTATATGACAGCGGTCTGTAAATCATCAAGTCTGGACGAGACAATCCAGTGATTGACATCATGAGCATCGATCCACGCAATTGAGATACGATGACATGCATCAACCATATCAGCGAACCTGACCACCCGATCCCGTTAGTCGCCTTTTACGACAAGCATAGTCGCCTTTTACAGCAAGCACGGGTTGCTGCATGAAGGTCTATTCTACCCGGGTCTTGACATAATTTATGACATGTACACCTGAACAGGAGTGACGTGAAATTTAACATGTTCACAGAGAAATGAGTTGTTCCATAGATTCGAGGATGCACTCCGGATACGGTCGATAATTCACTCGAAAATTGCATTTTTAAACCCTTATTTTATAGAAAAAGTGAAACCTCTCTTCAATGATTATTCCGAAAACATGTCTCTACAATTACTGTATACAAGTTAATTTTTAATGCGATTTTTTAAATATGTGCTATGGTAACTCGTTCACATATAGCTGATGTCGTAACATATATGTTAATCCAATGAATGATGTCGGATATTCTAACTTACTTAGATATGATTATCCACACGTCATGTCAGTATAAGGATTACATTTCATACAAACATGTGTTTCTACTAACTTCAAAGAGTGCAGCCACAGATAGATAATTAGTGAAAGAATGCCGTTTTAAAGACTATGTCATCTATATCACGGCGTGTCAGCTTCAAGTGAGGAGAAAACCCAAAGTAATGCAGGTCTAGTGTGTTTTCTCACTTTAATAAAGCCCACAAATCGCAGGTTTAGTACGGATCAGGATTTGAATCCACGATAATCTGTTTCTGGCACACCTAACGGACGCAACTCGGCACGGCGAATTGCAGCGCTTAACAACTTGGCCTCCTGCGCCCCACATAGAAATACATTTATATTACGTCAGATCACAATTTGTAATACCTAAACATACGAGGTTCAGGAATTCAAGTTACATGAGTGTATGCAATTTTAATACAAAGTACATACCATGTTCGTGGTGTGAGTAGCGGTTGTTACAATCTTGAGTAATAGCAGTTCCCGGAAGCCTCCGAAAACGGATATCGCGGCAATAATCCCTGCTAAAAATAAACATAATTATGCGTCAACGCTAGCGATCACCATAGCACAACCTGCGCAATAACAACAAAGGATCACATCGTTATATATTTCCCTGGCGTGTATAATTCTATAGCTGTGTCCCGGTATCATAATTAAAACTATCTACAGGGCTACAGTAATGCCGATCAGATGAATGTAAGATTCTGTATTTCCTCCAGATGTCATTCCGAAGATAACAATGGAAATATATACAATTACACGCGGTTAACACAATAAAAAAGGCACAACATATTTACAATTACACACAGTTTATCAAATTCAAATACCTAACCGAAGACAGATATCCAATGAAATATATCTGATTAAAAGATGCTTTAGTTTGTATAGATACGAGGCGAATTGTAGTATGATAATAGTTTTCCAGTCCTTATGTATATAAATGTTCACACATGGCGTCAAAACCATTTCCTTAACATAAGACATATCCATTGTACGATTCCGACCACTATCGAGTTGTGATGATACCAGGTGTTCGCCATCACGGGGTTCGCCTCGCCCCTGTGGGTTATGGTGGATTCGCCTGACTTGCATTGCTTAAAACGGTATTAACTTATAACAACACGTCTTCCATAATAACATTGAATTTAGTCATGTGTTTTCTAACTCTGATCTATTTAAAATATCGTATTCTGAAACAAATATCCAATAAATCCTATTTCAACCTTTCAACAAAGATGGCCAGGAGATTTCAAATTAGCATTCTAGGATTCGAAGCGTGAGATATATGACCAGACGGGCAGTATTTCTCACGTGTTCGTCCTTATGCATATCGCGTCAGTGATTTAAATATGGACACATAAAGAAACGACGAAACTGTTCAACGATTACTATCCAACCACAGTGTACATTCAATAGAGATACATGTATATAGTACCTCAGATGTATTTTTCCATGAACCTACAATATGTTTGAATATGTGTGTCTTGAGATACTTGGCACTTGAGACACTTGAGAGACTGGCACTCCAACAGAACACTGCCTGTTCCATCCGTTTGGAGGAGGAGCTGAATCATGTGGAAAGATGTCAGACTCCCTACTCGGAAATCAACACTCTAACAAGGACGTATTATCTTCTCCCTTTACAGCGGATGTTGATATATGCTACATTTGACTAGGTACCAATTGAATATACCTAAAAATGAGTCCTTGAAACAGCTTATAATAGCCATCGCATCAAAATGAATCCAATATCAATCCGCTTCCGGTTCATGACTCGTCGAAATTGCGTCGTGCTATCATGGGGCTGGGATTTCATTTTTTTAATTTTTACTTTCACGGCAATAATACTTTCTTCAAAGTAGGCTTTTGGGGTTGGAGATATGTCAACTAATCCAAACTTCTTCACAAAGCGTTGCGATTTTAGTACCTTGGGACACGGTGTCCCAGTACTCATACCAACCACACTGTACTTTTACAGAATTGCTTCCCTTGGTTGTGCCAGAACAATCATCATTATTTTAAATATATTTGTGTTAAATTTATACAAAATGATTGACATTTCCATGAATTGAATAATAGTATATTTACGTTTAATATGCTCAATGCAAAACGATAGCGCAGATATTTAAGTTTCATTCGTATAGTTTGCTTTGATTTCAACTGTTCAACTGGTATAAAAGAAAGTTTGACATGTGCGAAATACGCTCCAGTCGGAAAGCGCACGTAAAATCCCTTAATATAAGTAAGTAAGTAAAGTTAGTTGTGGTAGAACAAACATCAAACTTGTGAGATAATTTGACTTGTTTAATTAATGTACCTTAAATCCTACCTTGTGGAATAATGTCTTTACAATACTTAGATTCCAAACATTATGTAATGGTAAAACGTGATTGCTTTAGCTGCCAAAATAAGAAAGGGCCATAACTGAATACATTATTTGAGATCTAATGAGATGGAATTGAAAATAGAACTGTTACGTCAAGCTGACGGTTACTTAAAATACCTCCAGAATTGCTATTGCCTCAGCTATCACAGTATTGGTTCATGCATTCCACTTTAAAAGTATTCCGGGTGATGTGAAATAACAGTTACTGCAGCCGAAATACAGAATTGTCAGATATCCTTCCCGCAATTACCATCAACGTGGGTGAGTCATTTTCGTGTACATATGAATCATGATATGCTAAGATTTACACAAGCTCTGGGGTTTTATCCGATGACGCCATTTTGGTACTCTATTAAGAATCCAAAATATTGTTTAACACTCGCGAGTAGATATCTCTGATATAGTGACCCGTCAAGATCAGGGTTAGAATGCTGTAAAAGGCGGGTGGTCTGGTTCGCTGACATGGTTGATCCAGACTCGATTATTTACAGACCGCCGTCTGGAATATTAGCTGGAATATTGCTGAGTCCGGCGTAAAACAACAAACAAGTTTGATATAGTATCCTTTAAGCTGTGTATTGGCAGTACCGGTATCAGATGCTTCTGAATGTCCACTACGTCTTCTGACCTACCCTCAATCGTATATTATTGACAAGATACCAAACATCCATGGTGAGTTGGAGTGCAGAAAAGTTATTTGTATGAAAATTAAACTGATTAAATTTTTCATTCAAAAGAACTAGTGTATGTATCTGCGGGCATCCAGTATAGTCAGGCCGTGTGCTGCGCTGAGAAGGGCCCGCTGAGAAAAGAAGTTTAGTTCTGTCAAACTGCCTAAGCCAGGTCTGGTAGAAAAGCCAAACTTAAGGCAATAATTAACGGGTATGATGCTGACAAATCAGGGAATATAATCTGAGAAATGGCACATCTCAGGGACTCGAACTTGCACAGAGTCTTGCATGGCCTTAAACGACTGGCCCACATAAATATATAATTGTATTACTTATTTATCTTAAGCCCGATAACTTCCTACAGTGTGCCATATCCGTCCCGAAGTTAAGGACGACACGGATTTAATACAATATATGTTATAGTGTGACATAAGAGGTAGTTATAGTCATGTATTCTGCTAAGTCTCAGAAGGTTTCGGCGTTGTAACATGGGATAATGTACTTAAGAAAAAAAAAAAATCCTTTGCAACTAGAGAAGCGAACTTAAATATTCAGTTGAAATAGCCAACTGAAAATGAAACCATGTTATACCTCTAAACTGCTACCGCGGCAGATTGTTAACAGGAGGGACGAGCGGGTTGTTTGTTGCCTGGCTGCGTAATATCAGTCCAAAGGACTATCAGCAAATTAGGTCAGGGCCGTTGCATTGGCTGATATCAACAAACACGTCAGAGTTGTAAGCGATCAAAATTAACATTGGCCGCCATAGTGACAACGTTTGACGAAACTATTACATGGAATCTATATTGTCTATATCTCCCTAACCATACCTCCCTCGTTACGTAATGGTAAGGAAATATTAACTGTGAACTAAAAGAACTCATATTAAACCATCTGGATGTCTGCCACAGACCCGGTAAGGTTAAGACAATCATTGAATATACTTTTCTCTTCAGAGTCTTTTGCAGGTCTATATCAGCATTTATTTGTTTGATGTAACAAAACATCTTTTTTTGCAAAAACATAATAGCTGGAGCATAGTGTGTGGGTAAAATATGCCGTCGAATTAGCGGCGACGAAATATAATGTAGCCACACAACTGGGACCTGCATAACATTCAAATAAACATAGGTGGGTTAAGGTCGCAGTTATCTGCACATTATTGTTACTATCAATGAAGAATACAATAATGTGTAAATAATGTTTCAAAGAATATTTCTAACAGTTTCCAATTCCCCCTAAGGGCAGATACAAATGAAGATCAATGTCTAAGATATAATTATAACCATACTATTCCAAAGTAGAGATATTTTATGGATAACAACTTCTTTATTTACTGTAAAGGCGACGTTTCGGTATAGATCCTTATAATGATAATAGGTATTTCATAAAGTGTTGGCTTATAGAAGAATATTTTACACATCTGTCTGTGAGTTAAATTGAAACACATACCAGACAAGCAGAGTTGTAACTTCCCTCGTCTCACTTCAAACTGAGTTTGAGTTTGATATAACATAACATCGCAGGACTACTTTCAGAGTGAGGTCATGAATATCAGTAAGAAAATAGATCTATATTTACATATAGGAACTGATATGACATATAACCCTTTTCGGTGTAATTGTATGAATTGTATAACGGCTATTGATGATAGGTTATTATTACATAACACCATAACGAGGCCAACCGATAGGGAAGGAACACGAGACTCCACTTCCTCTCTCTGTCAAATAGAAAACATTCTCAAGCAGTTATGTCGTTAAATATTTGATGTAATGACAACACGTGGTAGGATGTTCTTACTTTGTATGCAGATCCTAGGAACAACAACGTGTATCCTTGCCCCGAAAACTGTAACACACACACCACGCTGTATCTCTCTGACACCTGTGATATGATGGCCACTCTTTCAGTTTTCAGGGACCCTGTGAAAGCTGAAGGAGTGGCCATCATGTGATACCCCAGTAGGATTTGGATGTGTTTATATTCAATATTTAGGAACCCTGTTGTGACAAGTAAACACACTATGAAATTCTTGAACAAATTTATAAATGGTCATATATACCTTATTTTATTTCTTGTTTGTTGTTTGGTGAATACTTCATAACCTGTGTACTGAATGTTACAAGTTATATTTACTATGTATTTTTTCTTTGGTGTTTGCCGAATAACTCACAACCTCTAAAAATGCACACTGAATATTACAAGTCATATAAATATATTTCTACAACGACAAAAATATGATCACTAACAAAGCAATGTAATAAAAATACATGCATCCCTGTCACAGTGTAGGTCATGAGTCAGTGACTTTTCACAACAGAAGTATATTTATATCTCTTTTGTTTGGGGCACAGCACTCTCTTGTGCTATGGTCTACATTTCTCTGGTACCACTATATAACACTATCTTAATCAGTCTTTTAAGTCTCAAACTGTAATATCGTTGACGGATTTCTTTTCAT